ATTGTTTATATAATGCCGTGGATTGATGTGCCTTCAACGATGGGACGCTGCTGTAACGAATGCGCTTTGGTGACGTGGATGGTGTCCAGCGTCAATTCAAATGCGGCTCGCCAACATTGGAGCGCCTCGATGAGTGTCTGCAATCTGTGCCTGTAGGGGTGAGGGCTTCCCTGTAAAATGTCGCTCAAACCAGGGTAGTGGTGGTCGTACTCAGTCGTCGACTGCATCTCGACGACTACTTGTGATGCCTACGCGATCGCTGGGACAAGAACCCAGGGTGTGCGACGCGCCACGTCAAAACCCAGGGTCCACACACCCAGCACACTTTCATCTAGGTGCAGCCAATTCAATTTGCAGCGTTCCATTTTGCGAGCGACGGGTCGTTGGCGGCGCCGTAACCAACCCGAAAAAGGTATCTGCGTCGCGAGGAATCGCCCTGGGCAAAATGTTGTCGTCTGCATTTCCACACCTGCGTGTGCGATCCCACCTCAACAGCAAATCGGGCAAGCCCTATCGCCCTTGGTTCGCCTAACCTACCACCCCTTGCTCTAGTTTATATGTCTCACTTGCTCCAGCTGAGATTATCAAAATACGCTCGACTTCGCTCACTTGCTAACTAGCCTCAGTGTCTACCTGCCTAACTTGATTTCCCCGGCTGATACGACCTCCGTCGGTAGCAGAATACCTGGAAGCGTGCCATTCAGCCAGCTCTTTTGTAACTGACTTGCTCAGCCATGGCTTCGAGAGTTGCTCTAGCGCTCCTCGCGACCTCACTTCTCCTCACCTCAGCAGCTGCTGCTCAGTTCGCTCCCCGGCCGTCGCCTGACTCATTGCCCAAACCTGCGCCCCTCTCGTCGCCCATCACGTCGCCCATCACGTCGCCCAGCATGTCGGCCAGCACGTCGCCCGTATCGCCACCTGCGACGACGTTTCGCGCGGAGCTGAAGCAAGTGGCGAGCATCCTCGCTGGGCAGCCGGGCTACAGCCTTCCGGCCAAAGTGTTCTCCACCCTTAGTACGCCTTCTCTTCCGTCTTGCTTGCTCTTTGCACCTCTGCTTTTCCCCTGCGACCGTGGTACTGTCTTGCTTTCTCTCTGCGCACTTGTTGTGCTTACTCATCGCACCTCGGCCCTGTTCTTAAGCCCACGCCCGCCGTTCTTATAAGCTGCGCCCTCAGGTTGTCCTGCTTTGTCGCTGAGCTCTTCTCACACCTTTACTCCGGTGTGGCCACCCGCCGCTCGTCGGCTTACACTTGCCCTGTCATCCCTCCTGCTCTGTCCTTCCGTTCCTGGCTGAGTTTCCTGGCCGCAAGGAAGGATGCATATTGTTCCCGTTTCACCCGCTCCTTTCCTTCCCTTCCCCTCCCCTTCCATCCTGTTCCCATCCCAACTGCGTTTCACTGCTGCAATATCGCGCGAGCCCATTCCCAGGCAACTTCCCGAACGGCAAGCTGAAGCTCGTCGAAAACACCACGGTTCTCGTCCCCACCGACTCCGCCCTCGCGAAATTCGGCCTTCGCGCGCTCTTCAACCCCAAGATGGTTACCAAACTCGCCCGCTACAACATCATTCGCGGGCGCTTCTCCTTCAGCCAAATGAAGAACCTTCCCCGCGGCACGCAGCTGCGCTCCCTTTACAAGAACCGCCCGGTAGAGCGCAAGGCCGTGAGCCCCGCCGCAAAGGACTGGGTGATCAAGAACAAGGACCTTCTCGAGACAAACTTTTTCCAGAAGTTCGGGACGCAAGCGAGCTCCGCCGCGCTCAACAAGCTTCTCCCGCCCGCTGGCAACGAGGTGGGGTTCGGCCGGCCCAACTCCGGCCCGCTGTCGTGGGTGCGGGTAGACAAGCCCGACCTGTTCAGCGGTAAATTCATCAAGGTGCACGGTGTGGATAACCTTATCAGGCCGCCTGCTTAAGGTGTTTTTTTTATAGTTCCATCTTTAGGGAATCCTGTGGCAATCTAGTGTTAGATTTGCATTGTTCTTTCCCTTAGCAGCTCCGGTTGTGTAGATTATGTAATGCGCATAGGAAGACTTCAGAGCTGTCAATATTGTTGGGGCACAGCTCGTGCCCTGGTAGGCTGTAACTAATAATGATGTTCATGTTTACCATTTTCATACGATGTAAGCAGGTCGTGCTGATGCATTGTGGCATGTGCTGCTGTGCTGCCACCCCGTCCACTAGCTGTACCAAGCTCCTGGAACGTTGCTCCAAACAGCATGAACATTGGCCGCACATGGAGATAGACGTACACATGCTGCATGTCCACACTCCACACCACATGCTGCTGCATTGCACCATGTGGTGAATACTCTGACAGCAGGGGCTGTGGGGGTTCCATGACTCACACGCATCACAAGCTGTATCCGGGGAGACACATGGCGTCAGGGGCTGTTGTAGGGGTGACATTATCACGTCACGTGCTGTACCTTGGAATGTCATACCAGGGCTACATCATGCTTGCTGTTTGTCTCTGGCACCATGAAAGCCACTGGTCGTGGAGCTCCAAATACGGTATGTGTTGAGTTATTAAATGCTATAGATCATAGCTCGAAGACCTACCGACTATTCTATTGAAATGTAAAACACTAACTAGTCTTAATATGGGCAGACGTGACGCTCCATGGGTTGGCAGCGATTTTCAACATTCTCAACAGGGGTACATCATGCTCGCTGTTTGTCTCTGGCACTATGAAAACTACTGGTCGTGGATCTCCACACACGGTATGTGTTGAGTTAATGCTATAAATCATAGCTCGAAGACGTACCGTACCTTAATGTTGAACACTAACTATTCTCAATATGGGCAGACATGACGTCCCATGGTTTGATGTTGTGTCCCGAGTTGGTTTCAGTAAAATGTGATCGATTTACAGCATTATACGCATATTCAAAACAACTAGGAGGACGCGGTCATAAATGTTCCAATCATTGCATTATGAAAAGGCTTTATGAGTGTTTTCAAAAGCTCTACCATGATCCGAACAATTTACGCCAGGACGATATATCGAGGAAGTGTCAGTTTCATCGTTGTCGTCACCTTGAAGCTGCCGAACCAGCCTCGGTTTTCCCAGAAAACAGGAAAACTCAGGACAGTCAAAAGCACAGGGATTGTCAGAACTTGCATCTAGCCCACGAGTGGAAACTTGGCTACACGAGTCTTGCGGAGTTAGTCAGAGCTTTCTCAATCCTGTTTGCTTCTCCCTTTTCAACAGCGCTTCTCGCGCAATCCTTTGCATGTCATAGAAATACCCTTCGCATCCCTTTCCTCGTTTTTAAACCGCTGTTTTTCGAATTGCTGGTATTTATTTACGCATGGATCGCTGTGCCTGGCTAAAAGCGCAGCCATGGCTCAATCCGCATGCATCTCTGAACCGCAGCCGTGTTAGCGATCCTGACACCCCTCTCAATGCTAACGGGCCTAGCACCGAACCAGCTGGTTCGGTCGCTGAACCAGCTAATCCTGCAAACCTTCCCTCTCCGGAGCCTAGCTGGGTCTTTAAGGGCTTCGGAAGCTTCCACGTCAGCGCGTCGGAACAATACGGATCGCCGTCCGTTGGAAGGCTTTCACAGCACCTTGAGAATGTCGGTTCACATCACAACGAGCATGTATTGACTGGAACGCCATCTCGTCATGATGAGCCTCGGAATGATGAGCTGCAGGGTTTTCTCGCTCCCGACGCCATTCACCTCGAGTTTGCCGTGGACCAGCGGAACCCTAACGCCACGCTTTTCGTGAGTGTAATGGGTGTGAATCTATTGGTGTGAATGTTACAAGAGGCGTGTGGAGTGTTGGCTCCAGGCAGTGGTTGAGGCGTTTTGAGGCGTGTGGAGTGTTAGGGGTACTTTTATGATAAGGCCATTAATCCCTCGTTCTATCCCGTACCTTTCATCCTATCTCGTTTCTTTCATATATCTCCTCTTAACTTGTGTATCTGGTCTTAACCTGTATTTTTACTCTTATCATGTAGTTTTCATCTTATTCTGTACCTCTCATCGTATTGTGCTCTGTTCCTGTATCAGGGTTTCCGAGTGGGCTGCCTGATCCGGCCTTCACTCATGAATAGGACTCATCGTGTTCTGTACTATCTCCCACATTCTATCTCTCTCATTCGTGGAATCCCGTACTGTTCCTGTATCAGGGTGTCCGAGTGGGCTGCCTGATCCAGCCCGCCCTCACGTCAACTGATTACGAGCCAACAGTGACAACGCCAGCGTCAACACCAGCTCCAGCTACAACAGCTGCAGCAACACCAGCAGCACCAGCAATATCCGCACCAGCAGCAGCATCAGTAGCACCCTGTGCAGAGACACCAGCAGCAGGCCGAGCCCCAGAATCAAAGTCCCCACCAGCTACACGACTCAGGTATGATGAAGGGCATGTCCTATCCAGCCATTATGATGCTTGCCTGGAAGAGGGAAATGGGAGAGGGGGATGGGTTGTGTTTCGCCTCTGTCTCGGTGTTGTGAATGCGTCTTCTTCTCTTCCAAGCTAAGACCTACCACGTCCTCCTGCTGTTTCAGGACTGTGCTCGATTTTGGGACAAATGGCGTTTTCCTATTGGACGCCTCTGCTGTCCGCCAGCTCATCAGAGGCACCCGGACGTTGCCATGCTCCACGTGTCATCAGCTGGAAGGGGGTTGCAACAAACAGCTTGGAAGTGACCAACAGCATGGTAACGAATGCGTTGGTGGTTACCATCAGCACTGTAACCAGCGTTATCGTGGTAACAATGATGATACCAGATGCCACAGTACCGAGGGCCAGGGTATGGCTGGTGGCTGCTTGAAAAGGAAACTCTTCCAGGAAAGCGTGGGGGCCAAAAAGGGCATTACGAAGAGAAGAAGAAGAACGGAGGTGGTTGCTGGAGTTTCTAAGTGTGATTGTGAAGTAGGTGGGGGAGGGGTTGGATTGGGAGGGAGTGAGGACGAGGATGGAGACGACAGGATGGGGAGAAAAAGGAAGGGAGGGAGAAAGGGAGCACGCATCAGAGGGAAGCGGATGAGGGTTGCTAGGGCGGACAACAGTCAACAGGGTAAGAAAGGAGCAGGGAGATCGAGGAGGAATCGAGGAGTGGGTGGAGTGTCAAAGGGTTTTGCACTGAAGCGTGGGATGGGTGGGAGAAAGGGAGGAGCACGGGGGAGGAAGAGTAGTCGGAGCAAGGGGGCTTGTGGTCGGCTGGATGGTGAAGAGGAGGCGGAAAGGTTGAGGGTGAGGGGGCAGAGGGAGGAGGGAGAGGAAGGAGGGGAGGGAGGGGAGAGAGGGAGACATTTAGAAGAGGAGGATAGCGATGTGGTTCTGGTGGAGGGACCTGGGGAGGGGAGGCTGGGCGAGGAGGAGAAAGAGGGGTGCGCTGGTGTGGGGAGTGGTGCTGCGGGTGTGGGGGGCGATGAGGGGAATAGGACCTTGGACGCGTCTCAGAAATCCGTTGGTGTGGGGAGTGATGAGGGAAGTAAACGTTTGGACGCGTCTCAGAAAGGTGTTGGTGTGGGGAGTGAAGAGGGGAGTAAGGACTGGAAGGAGAGGAATGTAATCTGCACCCAATATCCAGCCAGAACGAATAACGAGGCATCTACTAACAGGGATAGGAACTTGATCTGTACTCAGTTTTTTGCTATCGAGCCAAGGAGTGGGGAAGTGGGGAGCGGAGAGGGGGAGGAAGGAGAAGGAGAGGAGGTTGAGGAGATTATAATGGAGGAGAGGGAGGAAGACGAGGAGACTGAGGAGGGGGAAGAGGAGGGAGACGATGAGGGAAAGGATGAGGAGGAAAAGGAAGAAGACGAGGAGGAGGATGAGGAGGAGGAGGAGGAGGAGGAGGAGGAGGAGGAGGAGGAGGAGGAGGAGGAGGAGGAGGAGGGGGAGGAGGAAGAGGAGGAGGAAGAAGAGGAGGAAGAGGAAGCAGACGGGGGCAAGGAAGGAGATGATACCAAAGGAGCAAATGATGAGGATGGAAGAGGTATCGAGTGGTATGGGGGGGATGAGGGGAGCCCGGATGAGCACAGAGTTTTGACAGACGAGAGGGGTGGCAGGGGTGGGGAGAAGGACCACCATATAGGGCGCCTGCACTCCTGTGCAGCATGCATGCACGGCTGGGGTAAGGGGAACGATAATGGACTCGTGCACTCCTGCACCGCCTTTGTGCACGCTGTGCCGTATGTCAGCCTGCTGCTGCCGCATGTCACCTTCACTCTGCATGGGCTGTGCGGTCCAGATGAGCAAGGGGAAAAAGGAGATCTAGAGGAGCAAGAGCCAGATGTTGAAAGGTATGTGCTTTTCGTCTATCTTGGTTTCTCGATCCCAATTGACATTGTCCCTCCACTTGCAGCGTACTCAAACCTCCCATCCCATCCCATTTTGGCTGGCCTTTTTTCCGCATGGTGGGGATTTCTGCCTGCGTGCACCTTTCATGGCCCATGCACCTTGTAGTGTTGTTTTTATCTGTGAGCGGCCCATGATGCTGGAGTCTCACCACTTCCTGCTTGCTTGTGGTTCCAAACCCTGCTTCCTCCGGTTCTTGAATTTTGAGTCGACTGAGAAGTAACCTTGCTCTGAGCTCTCCATGTTGCCGACCAAAGTCGTGTCTAATTCATCCCTGCTTGCAGTGTGGTTCTCACTGTAGCAGCTTCAATGGCAGCAGCAGCAGAAGAAGCAGCAGCACCATTAGAAGCAGCAGCATCATCAACGGCAACTGCTTTAACTACCACCCTCTCTCCAGCTCTCTCCTTCCCTCTCCCGGCCTTCTACCGGTGGGCATCAGCGTGTGAGCGGTTGAGTGCAGCAGCAGTGGGGGCCACGGAGGCCTGTGGGGCGGACAGCTGGCTCATGTCACACCTGCTGCTGCAATCAGTAAGACCACCAGACCGTTTTGTTTTAATTATGTTCACTGCGTGATCGTCATGTGTCTCAACGGCTGGTGTCTGCGTTGTCTACAGTAGTACTACAGAGGCCTGTGGGGCGGACAGCTGCCTCATGTCACACCTGCTGCTGCAATCAGTATGTCTGTTTTTTGTTTTCGTTTTACACATATACACATGTATATCTGTAAGCATATGGTTAATAGATGTAAGACCTGCGAAACGTAGTGTGCTCCGCCCCAAGTAAGGGGTGCTAACTGCCAGGGTCGTTTTTCCATCGTAACGAGGTTTTTAAAGTTCTAAGACGTCTTCCCCCTTACCATCAGGTTCATTTCTCGTGTACCGGAGAGGTGGCACATGGAGAGATGGTGGCAGGGGCTGCATCAATATACATGCAGTATGCAAGGGCACAGGTGAGTGCTGTAGTCTTGGGACCTCTCAAAATCCCAACAGGCTCGTTTCTCTTCTATCGGAGAGTCGGCACATGGAGAGATGGTGGCAGAGGCTGCAACAGGATGCATGCAGAATGCAAGAGCACAGGTGAGTCTCGAGTTTTAATCTCCAGTCCGTCCTCTTACCCCTCTTCTGACCGGTTGGTATTTTCTTTCGAGTCCGCCTCCCTCGCGTGCCTGTGTTGCTTTATCTCTGGCAGGACAAGCTGAGGAAATTGTTTTGAGTCGACTAAAAAAGTCACCTCCTCCCTCTCGTGCCCGTTACGCTTCATCTTTGGTAGGAAGAGCTGACGAAATCCTCCTTCCCATGTTCATTTTTCTTCCACTCCAATCCTCCCTCCTTCCCATATCCGTTTTCCTTACTCTTTTGCAGGACGACCTGAGAAAGGCCCTCGAAGCTTGCCGGTTGCAGGCGTCTAGGCGCAGGGGCGCACCTGCCAGCCCTGCTGGGATACAGGACTTGAGCTTCCTGCTTGACAAGGTATGTGGCGATTGATATGTAGGGGGAATTGGAGAAATGTGTTAGCATTTGTGTGCAGGCGTCTAGGCGCATGGGAACACCTACCGGGTCCGGTCCTGCTGCGATGAGGGATGTGAGCTCCCTCCCTGCTTGACAAGGTGTGTGTGGTGGGGTGAGGTGATTGATGTGAAGGGTTGCATGTGAGCTGGAAGTTGGAGCTATGTGCATGGACCTTACATATCTATATTCCAATAATGCCAATTTTACCGTTTCTGTCTTGCCTGTGCAGGTTGGCTATCTTCAGAAGCAGCTGCTTCTTGTGAACATTTTTGGTGGCAGAGTTTGAAAAAAAGCTCAGTAGGTTTAAGGACATTATTACATCCAACATTGCTGTGGCGTCGGGGATGTAGCTCAGATGGTAGAGCGCTCGCTTAGCATGCGAGAGGTATGGGGATCGATACCCCACTTCTCCACTGTTTTCTCCTCCCTTCCAGTTTTTTGTTCCTCGTGAAAGGATGTCGCATTCCTCTAATCGTCGTTCCTTCACCCGCGGCGCTAGGCGTCTTGGCGTTTTGTTTAACGGCTAGTTGACGGAGCTTGCTGTCAGGTAGGCGCAAAATGGACATTTGCGAGTAGCGGTGTACGCTGGCCTTAGGGGCGCGTTTGACTGACCCCTCTCTCTCTGAAGCACAATGCAGCATCACCCACCGCAGTGACTTCGTGCCGACTCGGGGTGACTTAACGAACCATCGATGTGACGTCGCGAATCGTCGAGACGGCGCAACGGATTGCAGGCATACAGGGCCTTCTCGATTGGAGCGGTAGCGAGGGCCCGCGCTGCTAACCGTGACAGCGTAGCGTATCGGCCGTCGTTATAACGCGTATGGAGCAGGATCGCCGCCGACTAGTCACCCGCGCGACTGTGGTGTTCGTCGCGTTCGGCACGCGAGGGGACGTGCAGCCACTTGCGGTAGGCTCTTCCTCCTCGTCTTAGCCCCTCCTCGTCTTAGCCCCTCCTCGCTTCCCTCCCCGCCTTCCCCCTTCGTCTTTCCTCCTCGCCTTTTCCCTGCGCGACCTTCCCCCTCCTCGCTTTCCTCGCTTCTCCCCCTCCTCGCTTTCCTCGCCTTTCCCCCTCCTCGCCTTTCCCCCTCTTCGCTTTTCCCCCTCCTCGCCTCTCCCTCTTCTCGCCTTTCCGTACCTTCCCCCCTTCCCTCAAATACCCTTAACCGCCTCCTCCCCCTCTCTTGCACCCCATTCCCCCACTTTCATTCCCGCTCCGTGTAGGTGCTAGCGTTTGTAAGGCGCAATTCTCCTTCCCCCCCTTTCACCTTATTCCCCCACATTCATTCCCGCTCTGTGTAGGTGCTAGCATCAGCACTCGCCGCACAGGGGGTCAAAGATGTGATAGGAAAGGGTGCAGGAGAAGAGGGGGAGGAGGGATGGGAGGGAGAGGGGGAAAAGCGTGGAGGTTACGGGGGAAAAGAGGTCAGGGGAAGGAGGAGGAGAGAAACGTCGATGGCAGTGTGGTTTGTGACTCATCACGAGCACCAGGTGTGGTTTCCTCTTCAGGTCTCTGTTTCCTCTTCAGGTCTCTATTTCCTCTTCAGGTCTCTGTTTCCTCTTCAGGTCTCTGTTTCCTCTTCAGGTCTCTGTTTCCTCTTCAGGTCCCTGTTTCCTCTTCTGGTCTCTGTTACTGTTTCTCGAGGTCTGTGATTCTAAGTATCATGTACACTTCTTCAATGTGTCGCATACGTTTCAGGCAAATAAAGATTCCGTTGTTCCACTCCCCTTTTCTTCTCTGGTGTTCCGTGCCTTCCCTGCAGCGCAGCCTTGGGCCGAGCCTAACCGCACACGGAGTGGGCTTTGTGGGAGTTTCTTCTCCTGCCTTCAAGAAACGAGAGGGCAAGGAGATGACAGAGGAGAAAGCAGAACAGGAAAGGAGGAGTGGAGAACCGTTAGAAACGAGAGAGGAGGGAGAGGGGTTAGGGGAAGTAGGGAAGGGAGAAGGGATTGGGGAAGGCGAAGGGGAAGGGGAGCGAGGGGAGGCGAAGGAGGGAGGGGAGATTGACCAGGGAAAGGGGAGAAAGCGGAGGAGGATCATTCGCTTGAGTGAAGGAAATGAAGAGGAGAACGAAGGGGGGGATACAAACGATGACGAAGAGGAGGGGTGGGGAGAAGAGGAGGAGGGGTGGGGAGAAGAGGAGGAGGGACGTCATCGCAGGGAATGCTTTGAAGCCATTAAGAAGTGCCTGGAAGCTTGTGACGGGGCAGAGGGGACGAAGGGGGCGGAGGGGGCGGAGGGGGCGGAAGAGGCGGATGATGCAGAAGGGACGAAGGGGCTGGAGGGACAAGGTGGCAGCAGCCTGAGCAGCATGGATGACGAGCAGCCGCAAGAGACAAGCAAGCTTATAGTCTTTAACCTGTTTGCCCTTGTAAGGTGCTCTGCTCCTTCCTTTCCACCCACCAGCACTGCTCCCATCAGCTCCGCCTGCAAGTCTGGGAGTTCAGGCCGTGCCATGAATAAACTCTCCGTGCCATTGCAGTATCATCCCACATGCGACTTTTGAGTCGACTCAAAAGTCACCTCATTTTGAGTCGACTAAAAGGCACCTCATTTTGAGTCGACTCAATAGTCACCATTGCAGTATAATCCCACATGCCCTTTGGTGTGCGTCGGTAAGCCTGACCTGACATGAACTCTCTGTGATTTCTTTGATGTTTGGGCTCTGTTGTGTTGTGTTGTGTTCCACGTGCCCGTATTCCTCTTGCCTGTGGCGCCTGCAGGAAGCATGGCACATAGCGGAACATTTCGAAGTCAAGTGCATGGCTGCTGCGCCCTACGTCATGCCTTACAGGTCAGAGAGAGAAGCACACTGAATCTCTCACCCGTCTCGTAGTTGCCACGACCGTTGCCCATCTCACTTCCCACGTCCTGTTCTGTGCGGTTTGCCCTGTTCTCACTTCGCATCTCATTCCCCCCCCCCCTGATCCCTACAGGCCTCCCCACCAGTTCCCTTCGCTCTTTGCTCGCAGCCACCCGTCCCTTTTCCGCCGGTTGCAACGAGCAGTTAGCCCACACGAGGTGAGTGAGAAGGTGGCTTTTGAGTCGACTCAAAAGTTGCTTCGCTCTTTGCTCGCAGCCACCCGTCCCGTTTCCGCCGGTTGCAGCAAGCAGTCAGTCAGCCCACACGAGGTGGATGTGGCTGCTTCTTACTCTCCTTCTATGCCCCCCTACCTTCTTGCCTCCTCCCCTGCCCTCATATGCCCCCGTGCCCTCATATGCCCCCATGCCCTCATATGCCCCCATGCCCTCATGTGCCCCCGTGCCCTCCCTCCCTCCCTCCCTCCCCCGCTTCTTTCCCCACCTCCTCATTCCCCCCCCTACCACCCATCCCTCATCCCCCTCTCCCAGCTATCATGGGCGGAGGTGTCAGAATGGATGTGGCCGCTGCTCACTCAACTCATATGGCCATCCTTTCCCCTCGTTGCACTCCTCCCTTCTCCCCCCCCATCCCTCATCCCCCTCTCCCAGCTATCATGGGCGGAGGTGTCAGAATGGATGTGGCCGCTGCTCACTCAACTCATATGGCCGTCCTTTCACCTCGTTGCACTCCTCCCTTCTCCCCCCCCATCCCTCATCCCCCTCTCCCAGCTATCATGGGCGGAGGTGTCAGAATGGATGTGGCCGCTGCTCTTCCCCTGCCACCGGTGGGCACGGTGGAGGGAAGCTTCTCTGTGCCTTCCTCCCTGCGCTCTCCTGGTTTGTCCTCCTCCCACATCCTTCAGGATGCCTTTAGGTCCTCTAGAACCTCATGTTTACGCCTTTAGGTCCTCTAGAACTTCATGTTTACGCCTTTAGGTCCTCTAGAACTTCATGTTTACGCCTTTAGGTCCTCTAGAACTTCATGTTTATGCTTTTAGGTCCTCTAGAACTTCATGTTCATGCCACCCCTCCCCCTCCCCCCCTCCTCTCCCCTCCCCCCCTCCCCTCCCCGCTCCTCCTCCCCCCTCTCCCCCTCCCCCACCACTTCCCCCTCCCCTCCCCGCGCCCTCCCCTCCTGTCTCGTTTTCCTGAGTGATTTAGCACACACTGCTATTGTCGTGTGTACTTCTTTCGTACAGGGCTCAGCTAGACCGTCTTTTGAGGAGTTTTGAGGTTCCTGAAACATCGCCGCACTTTGCACCTGTGCAGTGCAATGCAGGTTCCAGTATGCAGCGACTTTTGAGGCGCCGCAAAAGACTTCTGAGGGGCCTCAAAAGTCACCTGTGCAGTGCAGGGTCCGGTATGCAGCGACTTCTGAGGCGCCTTTTGAGTCGACTCAAAAGTCACCTTGCACTTTGCACCTGTGCAGTGCCGGGTCCAGTATGCAGCGACTTTTGAGGTGCCGCAAAAGTCGTCTCTTAACCCGCAATCTTTGCACGTGTGCAGGATCCGGTAACAGATGAGCCGACCCACGAATGGCCTGCGCCCACACCCTTGCTGTACGTATGCGAACCAACATATAAGTTTCCATCCCTTATACATTCTTTATGATATATTCCGTTGAGGAATCATATTGCCTCTGACAGTACCGAAGAGATGGTAAGGCGTTCCAACTGCAATGCTGCCAACGATGTATATCTCCGGGTTTCGTTTGTCTGTTTGTTTGCTTTTCTTTTGGGAGGGAGGGGGGGGGGGGGTGGGCTGGAGGGGGGCGAGGGGAGGGGATGGGGGATTTCTGTTTCTCTAGCGACCCAGTTTTAGGTTCCGCAGCGCTAAATCGGCTCGTCTATTATTTGATGAGTAAAAGCCACCTCATGAGTAAAAGCCACCTCTTAAGAACATGCAATCTATTTAAGGTGAAGACTTGGAGTTTCAACGGCTCCTCACGGCCTGCTTTCCTATTTGTCATCCATCCTGTTGCTTTCCCGATGCATCTCCGCTCCCATACCCCTCTCCCATTCTCACTCTTAGCTGCTCTTCCAGTACTTCCTCCCTCCTCATTGCCAGCGAAATGTGGTGACGTTTGAGTCGACTAAAAAATCACCCCGATGCATCTCCGCTCCCATACCCCTCTCCCATTCTCACTCTTCTGTCTCTGCAGCTGCTCTACCAGTACTTCCACCCTCCTCGCGTGCTGGGCGTACCGCGTAGCCAGAACAATGTGTTCTATGTGGGCTTCAGTTCCATGGGCAGGTGGGTGATGGGCAGGTGGGTGGTGCAGGGAGCAATAGAGATGGGGTACGTTGTACCATAGCTAGCCGCATTCACTCACCGTATGCTTTCATGTCAGGCACGGCACCACCACCAGAGCGATGTGTTCTATGCGAGCTTCAGCTCTACGTATGGACAGGTGGGCATTGGAGAGGGGAATGGGGACAGGGTAGTTAGTTTCCCCATAGTCACCTATGCGGTTAAGCTTATAGTTAATGTCCTCTGTACTTAGTTTGGGATTGCGGAACTAAAGTCCAACTCAGTTATTATTCCTCGTGCCGACGATGCTTGTCGCGCATTTCTATACTTGACAGCATAGATATGCGAGACAGTATAATTGCATTGGAGTGTAGCCGAGAACAGTATCGAGCACAGCCATAAGGGATCTAGCCTGAGGCAGGAGGCAGGAGGCACGAGGCACGAGGCGGACTTGATGGCCAGGGAGAGGGTCGGAAGCAACTCAACGGAGGTGCGACAAGGCGAGAGTTGGACGAGAACAGCAGCGCATCATGCAGGCGAGGCGCAAGTGCGGGTGACCTGGGGAGGGAAGGGGCCAGCTGGCTGAAGATGGGCGTGTGGGGGATCCAGAGTATGAAGGGTGGAGATTCTCTCTTGTAAATAGGTAGGTTGTGGGTCTTTGATTTTGTGTGCTATGTCGGATGCATGTGAATGAGAGTAAGAGCTAGCGCAGGAGTAGAGCGAGACTCTCGTCTCATTCAATCCCGACCCTAGGCAGGATGCACCTTGTAAATAGCAACCTAGGGTCCGAATGATTGAACGAGACGAGGGTCTCGCTCTACTCCTGCGCTAGCTCTTGCTCTCATTCACATGCATCCGACATAGCACACGAAATCAAGGACTCACAACCTACCTATTTACAGGAGAAAATCTCCACTCTTCATACTCTGGATCCCCCACACACCCATCTTCAGCCAGCTGACCCATTCCCTCCCCAGGTCACCCGCGCTTGTGCCTCGCCTGCATGAGGCGCTGCTGTTCTCGTCTAACTCTCGCCTTGTCGCACCTCCGTTGAGTTGCTTCCGACCCTCTCCCTGGCCATCAAGTCCGCCTCGTGCCTCTTGCCTCGGGCTCGCTCCCTTATGGCTGTGCTCGATACTGTTCTCGGCTACACTCTAATGCAATTATTCGCGCATATCTCTGCCGTCAAGTACAGAATTGCACGACAGCTGTCGAAGTTTTCTTGCCCCATCCTTCTCCTTCTCATTCTGTCCTCTGCTGCCCCAGGTGTGCTCATGGTGAAGATGACCGCGGAGGCGTTCTGTCTTCCTCAGACGCTGTTCTTGTGTATTGTCCTTCAGACCGTCCTTGCACGGTTTTTGAATGTTATGGGTCTCCTTGCCCCCTTCCGTGGCCTGCTCAGCTCCTGCTGCGGGTCCTTAGGAACCTGATCCGACCTCTTGCCCTTGGCGCGTGCCACCCTGCTTTGCTCCTGTCCACCATCATCCCCGCAGCTAACCTCAATTTACAAGCCCCCCTCCACTCCTTCTGCGTTGCTCCTCGCCACCATCATTGCCGCAGCTGAAGCCCTCAACCTGCGAGCCGTGGTCGTGACAAGTGGCGACAGCGCATTGGAGGAGGCAGTCGCTGCAGTGTGCAGGGACGAAAAGCAGCACGTGCAGGAGCAAGAGGAGGAGTGCTGGCGAAAAAGAGCAGCAGATTTGGTTGCAAGGGGCAGAGGCGAAATGCTGTCAGTGGATGAGAAACGGTGGCTGTTGTCCCAGCGACCATCCCAACCAACACCACCCCAATTGTCAACCTCACCGCTCTTGCCTCTCGGCCTTCCCAGGATGTTTGCGGGTGGGATGGTCCTTGCCCTTCGGGGGTGAGTCGATACCTTGTTCCTCTTTTTTTCGTCACATGCCTTTCAAGGCGAAAGCACCTCAGAATCGTCTTTGCTTGTCACATGTGTCGACTCAGATTGAACGATGCTGTTGTGTTTTCGTGTTCCATCTGTCTCACAACAGACAGACTAGTCACGTCACGGTTTGTCTGTTGTGATTTCTTAAGCAACAAAATTAAAACACAACTACTGTTGAAGTGTAGGCTACATGCTATTTTGATACATTCTGACCGCTCTACATGAATGTCAGGTTGCGTTGAGGTGTCTCAAGTCTCCTATACTGTCTTGATGCTATGTACCATTCCCCCCTTCACGCATTTCCAGCCCTGTCTCTCACGAGTGGCTCTTCCCCCGCTGCTGCTTTGTGCTGCACCATGCCGGCAGGTGGGTGGCATGGGGTTGTGGGGGATGGGAAGGGGGGAGGGATGGAGGAGGGGTGGGGGAGGGGTGGGGGACGGGAGGGAGGAGGATTGTGGGGGAGCGGTGGGGGAGGGGTGGAGAACGGATGATATCGGGCATTTCTGCAGTTGGCTGGCGCTCCCCATGCGTCCGTGTTGCTTGGCATGCTGTCCTTCTGCCCTTCATTTTCGCCTCTGCACACCCATACACTCCACCCGCCCATGCACCCACATGCACCCCTATGCACCCCCCTACACTCCCCTACACCCCCGTGCATCCTCATGCAACCCCATACACCCGCATGCATACCCATGCACCCATCTGCACCCATCAGCGCCACCACAGCAGCAGCACTGCGAGCAGGGGTGCCCTAGCCCGTCTGTCCCTTCATCCCCTTCACCCCCCCAATGCCCATATCTGTACCTTCACGCAGCCCCATGCACCCATCTCCACCCACCTGCACCCATCAGCGGCACCACAGCAGCAGCACTGCGGGCAGGCATCCCTCAGCTCCTCTGCCCCTTCATCCTCGACCAGCACTACTGGGCAGTCCAGGTCCCTCCCTCCGTCCCTTTGCCTGCATGTCTGCACCCCCCTGCACCCATCTCAACTTATCTGTCTGCCCCGATCTGTGTATGCACCCCGATCAGCGGCACCACAGCAGCAGCACTGCGAGCAGGCGTGCCCCAGCTCCTCTGCCCCTTCATTCTCGACCAGCACTACTGGGCTCACCGCCTCTGCTACCTTGGGGTCGTCCCCCCTCCTCTCCGCCCGTCTGACCTCATGCCTGTAGAGTCGGCGCACCATTCACCAGGTGAGAATGATTGCCTAGCCGGTTAATTTCCCCCTCAGCTTCCCTGCCCCTCCTTTCATTCTCGACCAGCACTACTGGGCTCACCGCCTCTGCTACCTTGGGGTCGCCCCCCCTCCTCTCCGCCCATCGGACCTCATGCCTGCTGACTCTGCACACCAAACAACAGGTGCGTGACTGCTTGTAGAGGGTGTGGGAGGTGAGGGTAAGCACTGCACTCTGCTCGCCCCAGCTCCTCTAGGACCAGCGCTACTGGGCTCACCGCCTCGGTTTTTGAGTTGACTCAAAAAGCGACTCATTACACGTGAGGGTAAGCACTGCACTCTGCTCATCCCAGCTCCTCTAGGACCAGAGCTACTGGGCTCACCGCCTCGGCTACGTCAATGTTGCACCCATGCGATCACCCTTTCGAGGCGCCTAAAAAATGTTGCACCTGTGCGATCACCCTTTCCTTGTTGTATTCGTATATCACATCTCCAGCGTTCATCACATTTGATGTGATGGACCATGTCTCTCTGCCCATTTAGCTGGCCACACTTCATATATTGTGCATCTCACTGTACTGCACACACCTCACGTTCTTTATTCTGCATTTTGCTCTACATGTTTCTCGTTTTGCCCCATCACCTGTTCACCTTTCTGCCTCTGCTACCATATCTGTCCCAGCAGTAGCAACCGTCGTGAGTCGCTTCGCTGCTGCATTGGGTGTGGGCATGAGGGAGCGCGCACAGGAGCTATCACGAGAGATACAGACAGAGGTGCGTCTCTTGGATGACTGACGGTTGATTCTTGGGAGTGATGCTTGTGTGTCTCTAGGGTGACACTTGGTTGACAATTTCATGATTGAGTAAAAAATCACATGGGTGCCACAGATACTGGCATGATAATGCGACCCTCTATGCTGCGGGTGTGTGCTGCCGTGCTGCCATGCTGCCGTGCTGCCATGCTGCCGTGCTGCCATGCTGCCGTGCTGCCATGCTGCCGTGCTGCCATGCTGCCGTGCTGCCATGCTGCCGTGCTGCCATGCTGCCGTGCTGCCGTGCTCCCGTGAGGCCATGCTGCCGTGCTGCCATACTGCAATGCTGTGTGTGTGTGTGTGCCGCTGTGCCGCTGTGCTGCTGTGCTGCTCAGGATGGTGTATCAGTAGCTCTAGCTGCAATAAGGAAGGAACTACTCAAGTGATTTGCAAGGCTTCACAGCTACCGACATTCTTCATTAAGGCGCCTCTACTGTAGTACCCAAAGAGATTCAGTGACCCAAGAGCGGGGATCAAGCAGGCTAGCCAGACCACTTTGCAGGGATTTGTTGCAGTTACTCGAATCTTGTAGAAAGAGGCTGTTGGTCGTCAAGTTCGTCACGGGAAAATCCGTACATTTGTCCGGAACTGGAAGGCATCTCTGACCCCCCTCACATCTTTTACTTTTACACATGATCTACACCAAAGTTTCCAGCTTTGGCATACATACATTGAGTGCCGCGACTTCAAAGGAGCCTCAAAATTTGACTTATGAGGCGCCTCACAAACCGAATCAAACCAGCTTAGACGTCCTCCTGTCCGTTACAAGAAGCGCCATGTGACGCTCATGCCTTGTCCCCCTCGTCGTCCGAATCATCCCCCCTCTCCCTGAACCTCGGGTTCTTCTGCACACAACCACCACACAAGCAGATTCCGATGCATTTAGGGTTGTTTCAGAATCGAGTGAGACCGTGGTGACTGAAGAAAAAGGGAGAGATAATTTTCAATTGTCTCACCTTTTGGTCGTCAGCAACCCCTTCTGCCCCACCCTCTCCTCCCCCTCCTCCCTTTCCTCCTTCTCCTCCCCCTCCTGCCCCTCCCTCCCTACCACCTCTCCCCTCCCCTCCTTCCCCTCTTCTCTCCTCATATCGCGCCCGCCCACCCCCGTCCCTGCCCCCTCCTCGCCTCTCTCCTCCCTCCTCCCTGCCCCCCCGTCCCTCCCTCCCCGCTTCTTCCATCTGCTCGTCGTCGTCTCTCCCTCTCTTCCGCATCCCACCGCCTCCTCCTCCCCCACCTCCATCTGCGATTAGGAGCGAGAAGGGGAGGGAAAAGTGGTCGTGAGTAATAGCCTCTGTAGTGTCTGTCGGTCGGTGTGATAATTCTCCCATCACACTTATCACATGTCATGATTACATACTTACAGTGATACACTTTATAAACAGAGCTGCTTACCTCTGTAGCCGCCCCGCTGCCTGTCATCCCTTGAGTAACGCTGGGCCCTCCCTGAGAGGGACAGACAGACACAATTGGGGAGATGGAATGAGATGGAGTGAGATGGAGTGAGAGCGAGAATAATGAGTGACAGCCGAGAGAGGGGGAGAGGAAACAGATAAAATGGAGAGGAGACAAGCAGAGTGGGATTATGGAGGAGTAAAAATGGGGGGAAAAGGGAGGATGGGGGGGAGTGGTAATAGGAGAGGGGGATGACAAGTCGCTAGGCCATATGGTGGCACATGGGCTATCGGAGCACAGAGGGCGAGAGAGACGTGATAAAAGTTGTATTTTGAGACGTCTCAAAATACATGTCGCTAGGCCATGTGGTGGCGCATGGGCTATCGGAGCACAGAGGGCGAGAGAGACGTGATAAAAGTTGTATTTTGAGACGTCTCAAAATACATGTCGCTAGGCCATGTGGTGGCGCATGGGCTATCGGAGCACAGAGGGCGATAGAGGCGGCTGTCTGCTCATGTTTGCGAGTGTAGGCAACGCTATGCATGTACGGTGGCTTGCACATGGCTTGGCTTGCACATGGCTTGGCTTGCACGTGGCTTGGCTTGCACATGGCTTGGCTTGCACGTGGCTTGGCGTGCACGTGGCTTGGCTTGCACGTGGCTTGGCTTGCACATGCTTGTATGACTCACTTGGTCCCGGCTGGTTCCCCAGTCACTGGCCCATGCGGTGGCTCATGGGTTGTCGCCGCACCGAGGGCAAGTGGATGAAGGAGGGAAGAACTCCCACCCCCTCCTTTTAAAAGAATGTATGGTCATGTGGTCTGTCTGTGTTAGGTGCATAGCCTTTCAGGCACTCACGGGGTCCCCGCTGGTTCCCCAGTCGTTGCTGCATGCGCTGGCTCATGGGCTGGCGGGGCACAGAGGGCGAGTGGCCAAAGGAGGGGGAATTACCATCCCTCCTCCCACCCACCAAGGGGCATGCATGGTGGTGCAGGGGGTGAGTGCAACGAGCAAAGGTGCAAGTCAAGTCAACGCCACTCACTGGGTCCCTGTTGGTTCCCCAGTCGCTGCTGCATGCGGTGGCTCATGGGCTGGCGGGGCACCGAGGGCGAGTGGCCAAAGGAGGGGGAATGACCACCCCCTTCAGGGGCATACCTATGCTTATGTATGGTGCCTTGCACATGCACTGATTACTCACGGGGCCCCTGCTGATTGCCCAGTCGCTGCTGCATGCGGTGGCTCATGGGCTGGTGGGGCACAGAGGGCGAGTGGCCAAAGGAGGGGGGCATGCCTCCCGGGCTCCCCCCCTCTCCCGGCATGAAGAGCGGCGCTCCGTACTGCTGAATGGCCGCTATCTCCTTCTGTACCAGCTTGCCGTAGCCTCCTCGCCGTGCAGTAGGGGAGGGGAGGGGAAGGGGCGCACATAGGGAGAAAGGGAAGCGCAGGGGGAAGAATCATGGGCATCCACAGCACAGAGGGGACTCCCCCCCTCTCCCGGCATGACGAGCGGCGCTCCGTACTGCTGAATGGCCACTATCTCCTTCTGTACTAGCTTGCCGTAGCCCCCTCGCCATGCAGGGAGGAAAAGAAGAGAGGGTAGGGAGCACACAAAGGGAGAGAGGAAAGTCCAAGGGGGAAGAATCATGGGCATGCACACTGCACAGCACAGAGGGGACTGCCCCCCAACCCCTCCAGGCATGAAGAGTGGCGCTCAGTACTGCTGAATGGCCGCTATCTCCTTCTGTACTAGCTTGCCGTAGCCTCCTCTCCGTGCAGTAGGGAAGCAGGGAGGGGCAGAAGGGAGGGGAAGAGGGGAAGGGCACGGGAACGATCATGGGCATACACAGCACAAATCGGCTGAGCCCCCCTCTCCCGGCATGAAAAGCGGCGCTCAGTACTGCTGAATGGCCGCTATCTCCTTCTGTACTAGCTTGCCGTATCCTCCTCGCCGTGCAGTAGGGGAGGAGATGGAGGGAAGGGATGCACAAAGAGAGAGGGGGGGCGGCAGGGGGGACAATCATGCCCCGCACTGCTGAATGGCCGCTATTTCCTTCTGTACTAACTTGCCGTAGCCCCCTCGCGGTGCAAGAGAGGAAGGGAATCGAAGGGGAGGGAGCGCACAGAAGGAGAGGGGGGAGGGCAGGGGGGACAATCAAGCTCCGTACTGCTGGATGGCAGGGTGCAGTAGCTTGCCGTACCCCCCTCGTCATGCAGTAGGGGAGAGAAAGGAGGGTGGAGAGCACAAAGGGAAAGGACGAAGGACGAAGGAGGAAGGAGGAAGGAGGAGTGGAAGGGAGGGAAGGGAAGAGGAGGGAAGGGAGGGGTGGGGAGGGGAAGAGGGAAGGGAGGGGTGGGGAGGGGAAGAGGGAAGGCCGCAGGGGAGCAAGCATGGGCATGCACAGCACAGGCAGAGTGACTGCTCACCGCCCCGCGCCGGCATGAAGAGCGGAGTGCCGTACTGCTAAATGGCTGCTACCTCCTTCTGTACTAGCTTGCCACCAAGAGCACATAAAGCTAGTAACAGGGCAAAAGAGGCACATATCTGGGTCATAGTCGGTCCGGTATTCGTCCCTGACTTGCCCTCCACTCCTCCCCCGCCCCCCCCACCTTTACAGGCATGCCGTAACTAACACGCACATAAAGCTAGCAACGGGGCGAGAGAGGCACATATCTGGGTCACAGTCGGTTCGGTATTCGTCCCTGACTTGCCCGCCGCTCCTCCCCCGGCCCCCCCTTCACAGGCACGCACCAACTAACACGCACACAAAGCTAGTAATTGGGCGAGAGAGGCACAAATCTGGGTCATAGTCGGTGCGGTATTCGTCCCTGACTTGCCCTCCACTCCTCCCCCGCCCATCAAGGTGAGAGGGATGCAAGCAAGAGAGGCGAACGAAAGGCGAGAGAGGCACATATCTGGGTCGTAGTCGGTCCGGTATTCGTCCCTGACTTGCCATCCGCTCTGTCCCCGCCCACCATAAAGACGAGGGAGAGGGGAGGGAGAGATGTGACGGATAGAGGCGAGAGAGGCACATATCTGGGTCATAATCGGTGCGGTATTCGTCCCTGACTTGCCCTCCACTCCTCCCCCGCCCATCAAGGTGAGAGGGATGCAAGCAAGAGAGGCGAACGAAAGGCGAGAGAGGCACATATCTGGGTCGTAGTCGGTCCGGTATTCGTCCCTGACTTGCCATCCGCTCTGTCCCCGCCCACCATAAAGACGAGGGAGAGGGGAGGGAGAGATGTGACGGATAGAGGCGAGAGAGGCACATATCTGGGTCATAATCGGTGCGGTATTCGTCCCTGACTTGCCCGCCGCTCCTCCCCCGCCCCCACTGCCGCCCATCCTCGTAGCCCCAGTCAAAGTCCACTCTGATTGGCCGGTCGTCCAGAATCGTGCTGCTGACGTATTTCACCGCGTCCTCCGCGTCCTCCCTCACATAGTACCTGCACCAGAAACAGACAAAAGGGAGAAAAAGGGGGGTGAATTGTGTGCTGTCTCGCTTGCATGGTACCGAGACTGCGAAAAGGCAAAAAAAGAAGAGTGTTAACGGAGGAGGCAGAATGGGAGCAGGAGGGAGGAAGAAGCGAGAAGAGGAGGCGATGTGGAGGGGGCAGGGGACAGGGAGAGGAGAGGAAAGGGAGTTGAGGGAAGGATGGGTTGGGGGTTGGGGGGAGTTGCATGGAAAGGGGGAGGAAATGAACCAGGATGGATGGAGGGGAGAGAGGAAGTGGGGGAGAGGTGGGAAGGAAGGATCAGAGACAGCACAGCTCTCATCAAATGACGTCTCAAGCAGGTGGCGTTACTCACGCAACGAAGCAGAAGCCGCAGGGCGTCATTGTATTCTTATCGAGTCCCATTACAATGCGTCGGATTTCCCCCGCCTTGGAAAACACCTCGTAGATCTGCTCCTCCGTGGTGTAAAACGACAAGTTACCCACGTAAACCGTGGTAGACACCCTCAGCGCCTGCTCGAACTCCTCCTGCGTGCCGCGGAACCGACGGTCACGATACGCCGAGATCTGCTCTTTCTGTTTGGAGCATCGGCGCGCAGGGATGAGATGAGACGGATACGCAATGGAACGCGGGTAAGGAGGACGTGGTAAGGATGACGTGGCAGTAAGCAGGGATGGACGGAGGGTGGTCTGACGGAATTGATTCTCCGACCCCTCGGATGATAATAAGTACTCGGAAAGCTCAATTTCTGCGAAATTACCTTGAATAACCGCGACATGGCGGCGACTGACTCAGTTCCTCGCACGCAGCACTCTTGTAACACGGCTTTGAGCGGATGTGGTGGCGGGAGTGCTTCCGCTGATCAAGTTGCTACCACCAAGCGATTCAGATAAGGTACTATCAAGGGACGTCCTTTGGAGTTGGTTTCCAGCAGGGTGTACCAATCAATGTTCTGAGAGGGGAGTAGCAAAACCGCTTCTAATCGCACAGCATTGTTCTCAACTGAGATGCCCTGGTGCTGAAAGTACTGTACACCCAAGTTTCAACGAAGCTGGATACAGAATGCTGACGAACCCTTTGACGAACACTTCAACGAAGCTGGATACAGAATACAGAACTATTCCAGGGTAGTGGCAATGCGAACGAAAGTTGAGAGAAGAATCCGTATGTTTTCGCCTCCTCTGATGAAAGGGCAGTTAAAGCCCGCGTCCCAAATTGCGGGCCGCGAGGGTCAAGTTTTTAAAACTTGACGAAGTTGAGTGTCCAAGCTTTTGAAAGTCACGCACTTGCAATTTGGGACTTTCGAAGACAGATTCACTCACCAGGGGGAAAACCGAGGGTTGGCTGGGTCTCGCGGAAAAACCGAACCTAGACGAAATCGGAAACTCTCGCCAAAGCCCACACCAGAAAAAACTCCCTCTGGTCAACTTTTAAAAGCATGAACAATTTGGGCTGCCGGCTTTAAGTTTGGCCGGGCCTCAAGCAAGGCTGAGATGTTACCCGTTAAAGCCCAAGACCTGAATTACTCAACGGAAGTCAACGCTAAAAACTAGGTTCGGGAGGCAGGCACGGAAAGGTTCGGTTGGGTTGCGAGAGATTTTCACTCGCGAAACCAATTTGCGACAAAAGTTTCTCGCTTCCCATGATGGTTGGTGCCCTTCCCACAACCAGAAAAGCGCGAGCTTATCAAACTGTGCACAGTTTGAGATAGCAAGCAGAGTATTAGGCATAGACCATACCTGTAGACAGGGCAGGGCGTCGGCGTTCACTCAAAAGGGAGTAGATGCGCCATACGATTTGGGTGGCGCGGATTTGCAATGATGACGCGCAAAGCTAGTTTGCGCTGGGTGAAGATTATTGTGTCGAAATGCAGGTTATTGTGCAACTACTCCGTAGCGTAAACTCGTGGCGAAAATCGAATCGCAACCGTTCGCCCAAACGTGACCCTCCCCTCGCCCTCGCTTTCCTTTCCCACGCTTCCGCTCTCTTTAGCCCGCGTCGTCGCCATCGCTTCCGCAGCTCGTCGCGTGCCCGTCGCCTTCGCTCCGCCCGTCGCCTTCACTTCTCCCCCGTCGCCTTCACTCCCCCCCCTCTTCCGTTGCCTTCATTTCCCCCTCCCGTCGCCTTCACTTCCCCCTCCCGTCGCCTTCACTTCCCCCTCCCGTCGCCTTCAATTCCCCCTCCCGTCGCCTTCATTTCCCCGTCGCCTTCATTTCCCCCTCCCGTCGCCCTCATTTCCCCCTCCCGTCGCCTTCACTTCCCCCTCCCGTCACACTCGCTTCCCCACCCGTCACCTTCACTTCCCCTCCCATTGCCTTTCACTCTCTCCTGCTCAATCTCTTTCCCCCTGCTCACTCTCTTCCCCCCTGCTCACTCTCTTCCCCCCTGCTCACTCTCTTTCCCCCTGCTCACTCTCTTCCCCCCTGCTCACTCTCTTCCCCCCTGCTCACTCGCTTCCCCCCTCCTCAATCTCTTCCCCCCTGCTCACTCTCTTCCCCCCTGCTCACTCTCTTCCCCCCTGCTCACTCTCTTCCCCCCTGCTCACTCTCTTCCCCCGTGCTCACTCGCTTCCCCCCTCCTCAATCTCTTTCCCCCTGCTCACTCGCTTCCCCCCTCCTCATTCTCTTTCCCTCTGCTCACTCCCCTTGTTCTAACCCCACTTTCCCCATTTCTCACCCATTTTCCCCCTTCACGCTCTCTTACCCCCTCTGCTCGCCCCTGTTTTCCCAACTCACGCCTATACTCACTCTCTCCCCCCCTGCTCACTCTCTTCCCCCCCTGCTCACTCTCTTTCCCCTTGCTCACTCTCTTTCCCCCCTTCTCACTCTCTTTCCCCCTTCACGCTCTCTTTCCCTCCCTTCCGCCCGTTGCCCCCCTTCGTCTCGCGCTCGTCCCCTCGCAATCCCCGTCTCTCTCTCCCCCCGTCGCCCTCGTTTTCCCCGTCGCCCTCCCTTCCACTCCTCGTTGCCCTCGCCATCCCTCCCTTCTCCCTTCCCATCTCGCACACTTGTCACGCCCCCTTTCCAACCCGCACATACACCCTTCCCTTCTTCCCTGTTTCCTCGTATCCCCTGCGCTGCTTCCCCCCATCCTCCGACTTGCTCCCCCCATCCCCTTCCCTGCTTCCCCCCAACCCCTTCCCTGCTCCCCCCCATCCCCTTACCTGCTTTCCCCCTTCCCCTTCCCTGCTTCCCCCCGTCCCCTTCCCTCCTTCCCCCGTCCCCCTCCCAGCATCCCCCCATCCGCTTCCCTGCTCACCCCCATCCCCTTCCCTGCTCCCCCCCATCCCCTTCCCTGCTTCCCCCTATCTCCTTCCCTGCTTCCCCCTATCGCATTCCCTGCTCACCCCTGCTCCCTCTGTTTCACCCTTGCTCCCTCTGTTTCACCCTTGCTCCCTCCCCTTCTTCTCTGCTCACTCTCTTCCCCCTTGCTCACTCTCTTTACTTCTGCTCACTCTGTTCCCCCCTGCTTCCTCTCTTCCCCTCTGTTCAATCTGTCCCCCGCTGCTTCTTCTCTTCCCCTCTGCTCATTCCGTTTACTGTCTTTCCCCCTTCACTCACCCCCATACCCCCCAATGCAGTTACAGGTGCTCAGCACCAGATATGGCTTTACCATGGCCTGGTTTATTGCTTGCAGTGTAGCAGACAAAACCGGAAAACAACATTACACATACACCCCCTAGCTTTGTTCCCTTCTCGAGTCTGGTGATTCCCCTTACTTTACAGATACGGTAATATATTAATTGTTGAACTCCTTGGTATTGGTCATGTGTATGATTGCTCTGAGGCTCATAATCCTGTATTATAAAAAAAAAAAATCCAATATATGGCATGGCTATACGTGTGTTACTATCAGACAGCTAGCACATGCACAACCAGATGCAGAGCAGACCTGTCCAAACACAAATCAAGAAGTCAGATGTGACGTGGCTGAAGTATAAGGGAATGACAACTGGCAAATGAGGAAGGGAGGAACGGAGGAAGGGAGGAAGTGAGGAATGCAGGAATGAAGGAAGGGAGGAAGTGATGATGGGAGGAAGGGAGGTAGGGAGGACGCTTGGGGGAGAAGCAGAAGGGAGGGGAGGAAGAGAGGCTGGGGAGGAGGGTGGGGAGGAGGGTGGAGAGGAGGGTGGGGAGGAGGCTGGGGAGGAGGCTGGGGAGGAGGGTGGGGAGGAGGCTGGAGAGGAGGGTGGGGAGGAGGCTGGGGAGGAGGCTGGGGAGGAGGGTGGGGAGGAGGGTGGGGAGGAGGCTGGGGAGGAGGCTGGGGAGGAGGGTGGGGAGGAGGGTGGGAGGAGGGTGGGGAGGAGGGTGGGGAGGAGGGTGGGGAGGAGGGTGGGGAGGAGGCTGGGGAGGAGGCTGGGGAGGAGGGTGGGGAGGAGGCTGGGGAGGAGGGTGGGGAGGAGGCTGGAGAGGAGGGTGGGGAGGAGGCTGGGGAGGAGGCTGGGGTGGGGCGGAATGGGGTGGGGCAGAAAGGGGTGGGGCGGAATGGAGTGGGGCAAAAAGGGGTGGGGCGGAATGGGGTGGGGCGGGGCGGAATGGGGTGAGGCGGATTGGGGAGATGAGGGGGATGAGGAGATGAGGGATGGGGAGGTGTTGGATGGGGAGGAGAGGGCTGGGGAGGAGAGGGATGGGGAGGTGAGGGATGAGGAGGTGAGGGATGGGGAGATGAGGGAAGGGGAGATGAGGAATGGGGAGATGAGGGAAGGGGAGATGAGGAATGGGGAGATGAGGGAAGGGGTAATGAATGAACGTGTATGCGACGGAAGGGTGCTGCTGACCACGCACCCTCCCACACCCCACGCGATGGGAAGGGATGAGAGGGTGGGCGGCATGGGTAGAGAAGCGATGGTGAAGAGGGGGAACGTGATGGGCAGGGGAGTGATGACGACGTGGAGAGAGGAGGAGAGAAGGGAGGTCGGCGGGAAGGCTAAGCGAGGACGATGGTGGCGGTGGGCGACGGTGGCGGTGGGCGACGGTGGGGAGAAGCGTGGGCGACGGTGGGGGGAAGCGTGGGCGACAGTGGGGGGAAGCGTGGGCGACGGTGGGGGGAAGCGTGGGCGACGGTGGGGGGAAGCGGGGGCGACGGTGGGGGGAAGCGTGGGCGACGGTGGAGGGAAGCGTGGGCGACGGTGGGGGGAAGCGTGGGTGACGGTGGGGGGAAGCGTGGGCGACGGTGGGGGGAAGCGTGGGCGACGGTGGGGAAAGCGTGGGTGACGGTGCTCCGAAGCGTGGGCGACGGTGGGAGGAATCGTGGGCGATGAGAGGGGAAACGTGAGGGAAGGTGGGGAAAGGCGTGAGCGACGGTGTGGGGGAAGGCCGGAGGAAGCGTGAGCGGCGATAAGGGGAAGCGACGGTGGGGGAAAGCTTGGGCGACGGTGGGAAGAGTGGGCGTGTGCGTGGGGAGGTGTGTGAGAGACGGTGGGGAGAAGCGTGGGGGACGCGGAAGGCGATAGGTCCAAATGCGATGTTTGGGAAAGAGCTAGGAATAAAAGTGAAAATGCTCATGGCCTATGCTGTAGTGGCGTTTTATTCTATCTCTTCGCATACTCTAATCGCTTCGCGTACTATGGAAATCACACGACCTGAATTACCGAAGAAGGCAAACTGTGCACATTTTGAGCCCTTGTTCCTTCAGGAGGGTGTGGTTGGGACTCTCGCCAACCAAACCTGTTCTGCTCTACGACTCTGTGTTTCTTGGCGAAATGTTTTCTGGTAACCAGCCTGGCTCGGGAGGTCAACTGTGGGTTCGGTAGGCAAACTGTGCACAGTTTGCCTTCCTTTTTTTGTAATTCAGGTCTTGGGCTTTAACGGGTCACTGAGATTGGTCTCTCATTCCTGATCTAGAGATTATCTCTGATCAGTTCATGAGCGTCGTTATTACCGCTGGAAACGCGATCCACGACAAGAGCGGACTTGTCATTATCAGTCAATTTCTGGCTCCCTGACTAACATAAGCCAGACGTCGTAATGCAGAATCAAGAATTAAGAAATATGTCTGACTCCTGACTCGTCACTCCAGCCATGGATGCTCCTAGACACTACACCTGTTCCGCAGGACCTCCTGCTCACCTGTTTGCGATAACAACCTAGAACGCCGCATCTATCGGCGGCAAGAGGTCTTAGCCACGACATTCGCTGATACTGCGTTTTTTTTTCGTGACTTGCGGATTGATTACAAATTATTCAGGCGAAATGTCGCTGTTTGGAGGGTTCAAGCCTTCCACGCCGGCCACCGCGGGAACCCAAACTTCCGCTTTAAGCACACCCGCGACAAGCACTCCGTCAACCCTTCAACAGCAGCAGCAACAGCAGCAACAGCAGCAACAACAACAGCAACAACAGCAGCAACAGCAGCAGCAGTTAACCCTAGCAATTCAGCAGGGCCAAGCGCATCTGCTGACGAATAACGATCCCAGTCGAGGGGGTCCGCAACCGGCGGGATTCGATACCAAGTTCAGCGAGCTACACCCGGACAGCCAGAAGATCCTGACCCACATAGAGTGAGTGTTTTCTGGAATCACAATAGCGAGCCTGACTATATGGAGGTCATAGACAGCCAGAAGATCCTGACGCACATAGAGTGAGTGTTTTCCGTTTAATCCGTTTAACTGACCTCCTGCCATCCGTTATAGAGAGGTCGCCATTGCTGTACCTTAGGAGGAAGGCGTGTGATTTCCGCACACTGAATTACGGACTCGAGTAAACAGTTCGGTTTCCCCTTTTTTCTGACCTAATCCCCCCTTCCCCTGCTCTAAGAGCAAGACGTCGGGCTTGGCGTGCCGAATGAGCAAGTAGCAAGGTGTTGGAATGAGGTTACAATTTCCATTAGTTATTTTAAATCCAATTTCTCGTTTTCCTGCCATCAGGAGCAACCCATTGGAGCTGCGAGCCGAAAGCCAGGTGCAAGTTTCTGGAGTAACATTACAAAATTCTATAGTATTTTCAACCCATTTCCTCGTTTCCCCTGCTGTCAGGAGCAAGATATTGGAGCTGCGCGCGGAGAGCCAGGTGCAGAGTGTTGGAGTAAAATTACACGTTTCATTAGTTTCATTTAATCCAATTCCTCGTTTCCCCGGTCTTCAGGAGCAAGATATTGGAGCTGCGAGCCGAGAGCCAGAGGCTTGGGCAATCCAGTCGGCTGCATGATGGCTCACAGTTGGCGGACAACCCGTTTGAACGGCAGGCGGCTAGAGTCAGCCAGGTGGGCAGCGGTTATGTGCGGCTGATTTGTGTTATTGCCATGGAGAGGTGTGGCTGACAGATTATTCACGATTGGCGGCCAACACGGTTGAGTGGTATCCAGCTGGCTGGTTTGAGTTGGTCTTTAGCTGGTCCGCATAGCTGGCGTGTGAATATGGCTGACGTGGATAGCTGACTTGGATTCGGAGCAGTGCATGAGTTCTTTTCCGCAGCTTCTCCCTCCATTACCACCCTCTCTTCCCCACTGCATATTCTTCTTATCTCCTCCTGCCTTTCTTTCGCCCTCTCCCTCTTCCAGAGCTTCTCGCACGTGGCATCACGGATGGACATGGAGAGAGCATCCCTCCACCACATGCTGCACACGGCGCAGCACCTGCTGCACCACAGCCCCCCCTGCTGCTGACCAAGCTGTGCATTTCCCCCCTCTCTAACCCTCCTTTACCGCCCTCCAGAGCCTCTCACACGTGGCATCAAGGGTGGACACAGAGCGGGCGTCCCTGCACCACATGCTGCACACCGCGCAGCACCTGCTGCACCACAGCGACCTGGCAGTGCGCTCCTTCTCCCTCCTCCGCTCGCGGTTCCCCCACCTCCCTGGAGCAGACTCGCTGGCACCAGGTGCGCCTTCAGACTTGTGCTGTATCCCGGGTCTGCTAAAATCCGCCGATCAGTCCACCTCTCTGAGCCAACCCAACTGCACCAGTAACTTCAGTTCGCAAACCCCGTATGTTTCGCCTTAAAACACACCAATTTCCCCACCTCCCTGAGCCAACCTAGCGGCACCAGGTATGAAATCCGCGTGTAGTGAGGCGATTTTTTAGGCTCCCAATCAATCACCTCCCTGAGCCGACCCTGCTGTATTACGATATCCCTGAATCGACTTAAAACATGCTGATTCCCTCAACCCCCCCAGGGCAAGCGGACATCTACCAGGGGTTGCCCTGCCTGCCATCGCCCTTCCTCATCAACACAGTCGCTCGCTTTGAAGTCAAGATAGCAGAGTACCGCCACAAGCTCACCGAGCTCCCCCTCTCCCCCCTCAACCTCCCCGTCATAACCCCCAGGGCAAGCGGACATCTACCGGGGCGTGCCGTGCCTGCCGTCGCCCTTCCTCATCGACACAGTCGCTCGCTTTGAAGTTAAAGTAACAGAGTACCGCCACAAGCTCACCGAGCTCCAGGCAGCCATCGAACCAGCCCTGGCAGACTCCAGGTTCGGCGTCGGGTACTCCCGAGCCGCGTCGGCAGCTTCGGCGGCAGCAGCGGTTGAGGCTCTCCCTGTGATTATAAAGAATCTGCATGATTTTTTCATACATGTAGCAGCTCAGGTGGAGAGGGTACATGAGAGGGTGGATGCGGCAAGGAATGCGTTTCTGGCGGAGAGGCGGAGGAGGGGCGACCGGAGTAATCCGTTTGCAGAGGCAGACCGGATTGAGGCTGCTGCTACTGCCAGTAAGAAACCCTCCCTGCTCGGCTCTGCTGCTGGCGTTGGTACTGGTGCTGCTGGTGGTGCTGCCGGTGCTCCTGGTGCAGGAGGTACAGGCAGTGGGATTCTTTCCTCTCCGCTCTCCCTCCTTCCCGGAACCACCACTCCCGGCGCCTCCCCAAACCCTACCGGGCTCTTCCCCTCCTCCACCTCCACCACACCATCCCTCTTCGGTTCCACCACCCCAGCCACCGCCACCACCCCTGGTCTCTCCCTCTTCGGTACCCCCCCTGCCTCTGCTGTAGCAGGCAGCTCCCCAGGCACCTCTCTCTTTGGCACCCCCACCCCATCTCTCTTCGGCAGTGCCACTCCTGGTGCCGCTGCTGCTGCAGCATCCACCCCTGCTCTCTCGTTCGGCAACCCTGCCACTCCTGCCACTGGAACCACGTCTCTCTTCGGCGCTCCGAACCCGGCAGCAGCAGGCTCGTCCCCCGGCTCCTCTCTCTTTGGGAACACCTCGGCTTTCGGCGCCGGCGCATCTGCCTTTGGAGCAACCCCAGGAGCAGCAGGAGCGGCCGCAAGCACCCCGTCGCTGTTTGGGTCCCCGGCTGGTCCCACAACCGGGGGTCTGTTCGGAGCAACGCCAGCAGCAGCGTCGCCTTTCGGTGCTCCCGCTGCTTCGCCGTTCGGTGCTGCTGGGGGACCCTCGCCGTCGCCGTTTGGAGCAGCGGCGTCGGCTCCTGGCACATCGCTGTTTGGTGCTCCTGCTGGGGGTGCGGCAGCTGGATCTGGCGGCTTGTTTGGTATGTACCACGCTTTTTTAGAATTCTCAAAAAACAGAGTCAGCCTGACACCCCCCTCTCTCGATTTGTGCTGGGGGGGAGTGCAGCAGCTGGATCTGGCGGCTTGTTTTGTAACAACCGTTTTTTTTATGATGGTTGCGGTTTTTCAATTGTCGATGTTTGTGCCTGTTGGTGTATGCATATCGCTCTTCTGAAGTTTGCTTGTCAATGTTTTATGTTTGTGTGTGTGCTTTTTTTTTTTTGTCAACAGGTGCTCCTGCCACTCCGACACTTCAGCCGGCTGCCCCGATGCCTTCTGGTTTTGGCAACACAACTCAAACGGTGAGCTCATACTCAGTGTTTCTTTCTGTCTTTTATTTTATTTTATTCTTCCCCATCTTTTATTTTTTTCCCCTGCACATGTCGTGTTCGCAGTACGTGATCGCAGATTTATTTTTAATGATGTTATCCTGATTTGTTTTCTGTCCCTTGCAGACCACTACCCGTTCAAAGTCGCGGGGCTCCTCCAGAAGACGCTAAGAGGACACTAAGATTTCTATATAGACATAAGACAGCCAATCTGCCAGTGCGCTTTAGAAGGGGATGCTATTAGAAAATTTTGCTTTCACATCCTAGGTGCCTAAGAGCGTTTTTTTTTTTTTTTTTTTTTTTTTTTTTTTTTTTTTTTTTTTTTGGGATGTATTTCACTAAACAATGCATACACCCACAGTCGTAACTGGAGGGAAAGGAAGGCACATATAGACATGTGGTTGTCTATCATGGCCCTCCTGTGCCACCTCATGGTGGCTTAAAGAAGGTGCTAGGTCTGTCCCAGATGGACTTGAAATTATCGTTCCACGTCAGCAGTTCGTCACCTCCGCAAATCCTTTCCAGCGCTGTCACCTCCCTGGCTGACAAATGTTGCCACCTTCCTTCGTTTCTGTCCACTTGCTGGTCCCCAACATTGCGCCGCCCCTCACTGTATATCCGAACATGTCTCGCAAAATCAGCCCCAATCTTCCTGACCACTCGCTTGGGCTCGAACGTTTTTTTCCGGAAAACTGCGTCGCACCTCTCCCGCCAAATGTGCCTGAAGGTAACTGCAATGAGCGTGGATTCCGGGAATCCTGACACCGTGCTGTCATCAGCAAAGAGCAGCTCCTCCAGTGACCCAACCTGCCTGTTTGGATTGATCAACCAGAGCGAGTCCTGCAGCGCGCCGCACACCCCGCTGACCATTGGACAGCTCATCAGGCAGTGTGTTGATGATTCCTCTTGTCCACAGTACGGGCAGCATGCACGAGGGCCAAGGAAAGCCACCCTGCTCCCTACTTGCAGGTTGTTGCTGTGCAGCCTTAGCAGAATTTCCCTCGCCTTGGCTGGAATTGCCAGCGAGTCCCTCTTTGCAATGACCTTCCCCCAGTCGATCTTCCTTCCCCACGCCTCTTCCCACTTCCTCTGCTGCTTTGTTGCTCATACGGCTTCTTGAACAGGTGTCTCAGCTTCCTCTGCGCAGTAGGTTTTCCTCCCTCACACAGGAAAGAGGCCCGTAGCCGTGCAGCTGGGTCTCCCATCTGCCCCAGCATCCGGCCATCACGGACTACCATAGGAGTTAGTATCCCCAGCATCGTCGGCGGCTGAACCACTTCCTCTAGTTGTCGTACCCATCCTTTGTATCCACTGTTACCAGTTCACACTGCAGCTCCTTCGTTTCCGTCAGCGCCACCTGAAGGTAGCTATTTCTCACACCCACATCTCTCCCCACTCTGACTAGTGTGGATGCTTCCGCAATAGACTCCGCTGAGACTTTCGTCAATAATTTCTCCTTCCAGTTCTCCGGCACCGCTTTCCAGGCTTGGAGCGCCCATCTCGCCGTGGTTGATCGGCCGGTTTGTTTCGTTAGCTCCCACATGTCCTTGACACGCCATCCGCCTCCGTACTCTTCCTGTAGCAGGTCTCCTACCGTCAGCCCCCTTAGGCATTCCGACCCCTTCTGCCTGCCGAACGGGCTGTCCCCTTGGTAGTGGATCCACTTGCTGAACCATGGTTGCTCTCTCTCCATCTCCCAACGGTTATTAGGCTCCGGCATCTCCGGCAGCTGCTTGTCCCAGACCAGAGGGATAAGTGACTTCCATCTTCCGCTTCCACATATCCACTTTGCAAGTATCGCCTTGTGAGCTAGTAGCGTTGCCCATCCCAGGGGCATATTCGCCGCCTTCTCTTGCAGCCATTGTTTCATCGGATTCTTCTCCAGCAGCACCGCTCCCAGGTTCCACAGTGCCTGACCGTTAACTCTTTCTTTTGGGCTAATCACCCCTAACCCTCCTTCTTTCCTCCCCAGGTGCGCCAAGAACTCACTCCAGAGGAAAAAATGTTTCTCCTCATCCGCACACCCCTTTGAGATGAAATTGTGGCACAGCTTCAGGATCTTTTTCCAGACCTGCTTCGGTGGCTGATACACCTGAGCTTGGAACAGGACTATCGGCATCACGTAGGCATTCAAGACCGTCACCCGCGCTGATGTAGTGATGTGCAGCTTCTCCCAGTTGATGAGAACAGTGTTGACCCGTATTAGTGTTCTGTCCCAAGTAGGCTCTGCTCTCCCATCCGATGTAATCCAGATGCCTAATAACCTCTCTGGTTTTCCTCTTTCAGCCCAGTTGAAGTCCATGTCTGTAGGCGGGGGATTCGGTCTGTTCCTCCCCAATGGCATCACCGTCCACTTTCCACGGTTTACACGCAGTCCCGACCTGTCACCAAAGTCGTCCAGTAGGCGTTGCGCTTGCTTGAGTTGCTCTTTTCCTTGGAGTAGCAACGTTGTATCATCCGCATATCCAAGATATGCTAACCCGTCTTTCCCTCTCTTCCTCAGCCCCAATTTCCTTTTCTCCGCTTCTTGACTTAGTGGTTCCGCTGCGCAGATGAAAAGATATGGCGCCAGCGGGCATCCCTGTCTTACCCCAGATTCCACCTCCACTCTGTCACTCAGCCATCCATTGACTAACAGTTGCGTCGCAGATTGATCATGAAGCCCCTTGGTCCACCCGATGAAAACTGCAGGGAAGCCCATGCGCTCCAATGTGCGAAACAGGTAACTCCTTGACACTGAGTCATACGCTTTCTGAAAGTCGACAAGTAGTAAATACCAGTCTTCCTTCCCGGTCACCGCCGCATCAATTGTGTCAGCTACCACTTTGACCGCATCCACCAATCGTCTGCCAGGAACGAAGCCAAACTGGTTCTCAGAGATTACTTGCGGCAAAACCTTCTTCATCCTGTTCGCTAGTAGTTTTGCTACTATCTTGTATGTCGCCCCAAGTAGAGTGATCGGTCTGTAGTTCCCCAAATCTGTCTTTTCCCCTTTCTTATGTAGCAGTATCGTCACTGCCGTCGATGCGGTTTTCGGGAGAGTTGCTGTTTTCTCAAAGTCCCTCATGAAGTTCATGACTGCCTCCCCCAGCAGGTCCCAATTATCCTCCAGGAGCTCCTTCGGCAGGCCATCTGCTCCAGGCGCTTTCCCACGCGGTAGCTCTTTCATCGCCTGTCTGACCTCCGCTTCCGACCATGGCGCTGAGAGACGCAACTTCGCTTCTGCATCCAGAGTTTTCGTGGGAGCCACCAACCACTCATCCACCTCTGCAACATGCTGCTTCGACTCAAAGAGTTTGGTGAAGAAATCTGACGCCGCCGTCAGAACCTCCCTCTCCCCCTCATATCTCTTCCCCTCATACGTAATTTCTTTAATCGTCGTCTTCGCCTTCCGTGCTGTTATTCTCCGGGTCAGAAACTTTGTCGCAATTTCACCATTCATTTCCGCTCCGACGCCTGCCATCGTCTGCTTCCTCCTCCTCTGGCTATCTCGATACGCTTTAAGCTGTGCCTCGTATTTGATAAGCTCCTCGTACTTCCCACCCAGACTCGAGTCCGCCATGAACTCCTGTCTTAAAGCCGCCACTCTATCCTCCAAATGTGAAATCGTTCTCCCTATCCTTTTCCTCTCCTCCCGTGCATGTGCTTTAAGACTTGCTTGTATCGCAGTGAGCGTGGAGTGTAGATCCGTTTTCCCCTTTTCCCCTTGATTGCTCAGCACTCGCCGAATGGATTTGCGTACTCCAGGATGCTTCGTCTGCGCCGCATCCATCCTCCATAATCCAGGACCGTGCGTTTCCCCCGTCTGAGCTAACAGTAGTGTGGTGATCCCGAACCAGTGATCTGTGACATCTGATGGAGCTGCTGTGTGATAGGCGTCGGTGACCAGAGGAAGCAGAGAGGCCGATGCAAGCGCACGGTCAATGCGCGAGCTAGTCATAGTCGCTCTCGCCAGAAAGGTAAATTCTTGACGCGAAGGGTATAGCGTCCGAAACGTGTCATGTAAGTCCCATTTCGAGCAGATGTGTAACATTCTTTTATTCTCTGCCTCCGATCCCTGCTGCGACGTTCTGTCCATGATAGGATCCGCGATAATGTTCAAGTCACCTGTGAGGAGCACATGTCCAGGCTGTGTTAGAGAGTCCACGAAGGGAGTCAAACTATCTCTAAAGAAACTCCCTCTGATTGTTGCTTGCGCAGGAAAATACGCCGCTAACAGCATCCAGGTCAGCTGCCTCCAACACACCGTCACCGATAAAAGCCTCCCTGATACATGCTCCAGAGTGTTGCTGAAGACAACCTCCTTACTAAAACTAAGGACCGCCACTCCTCCCGCTGACTCCCCTGGGGCTACTACTGCTGTTGCTTCTGCTCCTACTTGAGTCCAGAAGTTGTGATCAGCCGGTAATCTGGTATTAGTAAGTACAACCACACCCCTGACCTTCTGAGGCCATTCCTGCAGATTCTCCCTCTTCACCGCGTTTCCAAGTCCATTCACATTAAGCGCGGTGATGCTGAGTTCATGGCGTTTATTCATTAATCCACTGATGTGAACCCCTCTGCATCCACGGGTTGTAAGACTTAGTTGTTGTGAGCAGCTCGTCAGCTTCCGATCTTATCATTGCACCCATCCACCGATCCAGAAAACGTGTTAAAAGCATAATCCCACACAGCACAGCCATCGCTACCGAGGCGCTAACCACAGCTCCGCATACTATCACTTCATGATACTTGTGAAGACTAGCATCCAGCTTACACTCCCACTCCGTTATTGCTCCCCCCACTCTTCCGCAGATCATTTGAGGAACTCCTTCTTGAGTGCTGCAATGTTGATCGCTCCCTTGCTGTTGCGTGTGGCTGCACCTGCGGTGGTCAAGTTGGTTGTGTGGCGTACTGACGCGACATGTGCAGCTGCAAGTTCCAGACTGCTGCCGTGTGCCTTGCCGCAGGCCTCGATAACACAGACCCAGTCCTCTCGAGACTCTCCAGTCGAGGTAAGAACAATGGCCGGGTCCAGCAGGATCACTTTCAGTGAGTCTGTGACTTTCAGTGAGGCCGCTGCGGGGAGGAGAGGAGAGAGCAAGGTCAGTATCATGGAAAGAGAGAAAGGCGAGACAGTCCGTGCATAGCATAGAAACAGGAGTACCGTTGACTTCATGGATACGTTTAACCGTGAGGTTCCATTTAGCAATGTTAGCCTGACGGTCAGTGACGTAGTCATCGTGGTAGCGCGTCATATGATGCCCGTTGCAGTAGTCGCAGTTGAGCGAAGGGAAGTGCAGCAGCAGCTTCTTTCCATTCATTGCAGGGTCCAGGATAAAGTGTCGCCAGCGGTAAGGGTCATTCTCATGCTGCACCAGGAGACCCTTAATCTTGTCTGTGTCCATTCCCGTAACCGGGTCTTGCACTCGGTGAAAACCATAAGCTTCCTTAAAAGGTGGCCTCCCCCTCTTAACCAACCACACCATCACCAGGAATTTCTTGATCCGCTCCGGGGTCAGCTCAGCCGGGACACCCTTCAACACCACTTCAAAGGCCTTCGGATAGAGGTTACGCGCTCGGATGTAATATGCATTCTCAGGGAACTGCCAGCCCAGCTTCAAGGGGGTTCCGTCAGCACAATCGTGAGCAACAGCACGCTTCCAGACGAACGCAGCATCCTTCTCACGAAAAAAGGTAACCTGAATACGTCCAAACCGCTCCTTTGACAGGTAGGTAGGGAGAAGCTTCTGAAACTTCGTTGTAGTCAACACATCTGCCGAAAGTTCCTTCTTCCAGTGAACCAGATGAGCAATGACCGAGTCCATTGTCCGCGGGACTTCTTCAATGTGCTTATCTGGGATCAAAAGCGTTAGCGGGTAACAAATCTGAGCAGCAACAAGACCAGCCATAACAGGATCCGCTTCTTCATCAGAGTCGTCGCTGAGGTAACCAGCGCCGTCAGCACCCTCTTCTTCATCATCAATGAAATCAGCGTCCGGTTCAGCAGTTGGCGACAGAGGCTCAGGCAGCCGTGACTCAGTAGGTTGCTCATGTTCATTGACCGAGTCCTCCTCCAATCCCTTGCCTTTCATTGCAGAAAGCCTGGCAGCAGCCATCGATGATGATTCCGGGCGATCCATATGAACAGGCGGTGACAACGGATCGCCAGCAGCATCCTTGACCTCTTTCGCACCGTCAGTCTTCATTGGCGAAACTGGAGCACTGAAGTTCCGTCCCTTAGTACCAGGCTTGGCGTTAGCCTTCTGGGTCCTTCCCTTCGGCGGCATAATGCTGGGTAGTAAAAACAGCTGATGTAGATCTGGTTGTTTGATAATGAAGGGTGAGCCTTTGAGTGCCATCTTATATGTTGTTAGCCGTGTTGTCAAAAGACCCCTGGTAATGTCTCCTTTGTCAATCAGTAGGCAGCGCAAGTCCCTGGAGCCCCGTGTCGCATTTCCTTGGGAAGTCCAAGGATGTTCACTGGGTGCGTAACCTTGGGAGTTAACAGCCTCGGGATCCACTGAAGATTGATAAGCTTGAAACATGTTCGCTGTATGAACACAATTTGTTAACTCGCTTATAGATGAAGAATGGATAAGAGCGTGTCCGAAGTGAAGCGTCGAATGGATGTCGATGGATGTCGGTAAACGTCAACCCTCGGATCGAGAATTCCAACCGTCAAGATTTACCGACATCGGATGTCAACGGATGTCGACTTCACTTCGGACCCGCCCTAATCTCGAGGCATTGACTGGTGAAGCAACTTGTTTGGTTTCCGTTGCCACGGAGGTTTTTGCACGTAGTTTATGCGGGCAAGAGTAACTCATCAGCCCCCTGATGTCGGAGGGACGCGCTAAAAGCGTGAATGTGTGACGTGGCGTTAAACAGATGCAGGCCCTTGTCATGTCACTGGTACATTGAGGATACTTGGGTCGTTGCCTGTTTCTTTCCAGGGTCAACTCAAAATCCGCTCGTGGTAGTTTCCTGTCCAATCCAAATCGTGCAAGCCCAGTCCCCAGGCTCATCTTCGCAAACGGCTTGTGTGGCTTCTGCCCGCTTCCCCGTTTCATCCCTTCCCCCAAACCTAGCGCACATTCACCCTTCGCTACAGCGACACCTCAACCACATCACATCACAAGGAGAGCCAGAGAATCGACCGTATTGAAGCACACGTTACCAAAATCAAAATAGCAAAACCATATGATAACACACTATACCACACCACGCACCGCACCACAGAGTTCAGAGCAAGCTAGTGCCTAGATACTAGTTCTTCGGGGCGTTTATCCGCCTTCCACATAGATATGTCACATCTCCGTAAGGCAACCCTAAATTCCGCCATACACCACGCTTTCCAAGCGTAGGTGATTCATGCTGCTCCTGCGCTAGACGTTGGCCTTGCGCTATGCACTTCTAGAGTCTAGGGTCGCCGTCTTCTTATATTCTTCGTACATACGTAATACTCTCGCTTCCTGTGCTATGACGAGCTTGCTTAGCACCGGGATTTGCGGTCCGCCAAGAGTGCATAGCAGACAAGCCTCGGATCTTTTCTCCGATCTTCACAAACGGTTAGCCTGCGCGAGAGCGACGCGACCGTTTCCCCGATGCGCCTCGACGCGCGGGGTCCTTAGAATCCTCTCCAGTGCCGATAGAAGCGGCGACGCCTCCCCGCCGGATGATTCTCCCGAGCCTGTTCCCGCGTCATGCGGTTCGTTCTCCGCGGCTTCCGCGAATATTCCCCCTTCTCGGGTTATCCTGGTGCAATCCAGCTCCGTAGGAAACGCCAGCGCATCCGACGGCGAAGCTTCTTCGGGAGCTTCGAATCCCGAGGCCAGCGGCTTACGTCCGCAGCAACAGGACCCGAAACAGCCTAACTCGCAGCAGCATCAGCAGCAGCAGCTCTCACAGATTCAAAAAGGGAATTTAAGTCCAGCCGGGTCGAAAAGCGACAAGGCGACGTCCGACGGAAGAAAAGCGCAAGGCACGTCATCGAAACCAAACGGCGCGGGGAAGGACGGGAGGCGCGGCTCGCAGCGGCCGTCGCGGCGAGGCAGCGACGACAGCTCCCCGTGGTGGCGGAAACTTATCCTGGGGATTCTCCCAGATCTGAAGCTTCTCACGTTTTTGGTGACGAATCTGGTGGTTCTGATGCTCTCTGCTCGGATTCTTAGCTCGCACCCGCTCGTCGTGAAACGCGCGGCGCGCCGTTTCGGGTTACTTCCAAAGACCGTCGTTGTAACCCTGGAAAAGTGGGGGTTACCGGCGAATACCCTGGTGTCTGACGAGGCGGCGTCTGCTGGTTCTGATGCTGGCAGTGCGGGTTTAGATGCGAAGGAGCGGCAGCAGCGGCAGCAGCTGCAGAAGCAGCAGCAGGAGCAGCAGGAGACGACTCGAATTTCCTTCTCCATCACTGTTCCGTTTTCGGAGTTTCTTTACCACGTGAAGAAGGACAATATCGTGTCGATTACTGTAGACGGCGACAAGGTGTCGTTCGTCCTGCGACGCCCCGAGTTCGCCAAAGGGCACAAGGCGACGGAGTTACAACCCATGATTCGCCAAGTGGAAAGAATGGCAGAGAGCAAGTGGAAGGAGGCGGGGGAAGTTTCTGGGAAGAAGGTGGGGAAGATGCCACCTGTCCAAGTGCAGCTGACTACCGTGAAGCCTGCTGACGTGGCGGTCCCGTACGCGGAGCTCATGTCACGCCACGTAGAGTTTGGTGCTCCGGATAAGGCGTCGTTTAAACTCGTGAATACGATTTCGGTGAGCAGTCATGGGGAAAGGGGTGGGGGGAGGGGGGAGAAAGGGGAGAAGGGGGAGAGGAGGGGGGGGGAGGGGGGGGGGAGGGGGGACGAGGGAGAGGGGGAGAAGTCTAGTGAGGGTATGTGAGTGAGGGTGGGGCGGGTGCTCTGCCTGAGGCGTCGTTCAAGCTCGGGAATACCATCTTGGTGAGCAGTCAATGGGAGAGGGGGGAAAGGGGGGAGAAAGGGGGAAACGGGGAGAGAGGGGGGAAAGGGGGGAGAAAGGGGGAAACGGGGAGAGAGGGGGGAAAGGGGGGAGAAAGGGGGAAACGGGGAGAGAGGGGAAAGGGGGGAGAGGGGAAAGGGGGGGAGAAAGGGGGGAGAAAGGGGGAAACGGGGAGAGAGGGGAAAGGGGGGAGAAAGGGGGAAACGGGGAGAGAGGGGAAAGTGTAGTGAGAATATACGAGTGGGGGTGGAATTCGTGTGTGTGGAGCGGGGACGTCTGAGGGCAGTGCAGCCATGTGAGGGAGTGTGTGTGGAGTGGGGACGTGTGCAGAGAGGGTGGTGTGGTGAGAGTGTGTGTGTGTGTGTGTGGTAAGTGTGTGTGTGGTGATGATTTTCAGTCTCACTCCTTTCTTTTTCTTATCTTTCCCGTTGCCATGCCCTCCTTGCCATGCCCTCGCATCTGCGTCCCTGCACTATCCTTCCCAGTCCACTCTCCTGTACGCAGGCATAGCAGCGGTCGTGCTCTCGCGCTTGCAAATGAAGCTCCCACAGGTTAGTGAAGGGATTCGCGTATGAGGTGAGTTAAGTCGCGAGGGGGCGATTTTTGAGTCGACTCAAAAAGCGATTCATCACACGCGCACAGGTTAGTGAAGGGATTCGCGTACGAGGTGAGTTAAGTCGCGAGGGGGCGATTTTTGAGTCGACTCAAAAAGCGACTCATCACACGCGCACAGGTTAGTGAAGGGATCAGCGTATGAGGTGAGTTAAGTCGCGAGGGGGCGATTGACAGGTGGTGGAATCCGCATGGGGGCATTCGATGCACGCCGCTCGACTCCACTCCACTCCACTCCACTCCACTCTGCTGCTGGGCCCTGTCTCTCCACATATAATGTGCGTTTGCTGAGACAATTTTCTTAAGGGGGCATTTGATGCACGCAGCACGCTACTCCATTCCACTCTGCTGCTGGCTCTCCACTCCACATATAATCCGCGTGTGATGAAAAAAAGAAATAGTTTACTCAAAAGCCTTTCTTAAAAGGGTGCTCGATGCACGCCACTCCACTCTGCTGCTGGCTGTTATAAGTGCGTTAATGCCGTATCGTTTGCTTTCACTCATCCACCCATCCTCCCATCTGATGTCCGTCCCAACTCTGTCCGTCCCAACTCTGCCCATCCATTTCTCCACGTGGCATGGCAATTCATCTTTTTCTCCATCCTTCCATGTGGCATGCCATTCAAACTCTGTCCATCCTTTCATCCACGTGGCATGTCCAAAGTTTGGGGGTAAGGCACGCAGTCAGAAGGGAAAGGCGCCGCCAGTGCTGTTTGCTGACGTGGCAGGGGTGGATGAGGCGAAAGAGGAGCTAGAGGAGATCGTGGTAAGTGGGCCGAGTGTTGGTGAAGGGGGAGGGGGAGGGGAAGGGAGGGGAGGGGAGGGGAGGGGAGGGGAGGGGAGGGGAGGGGAGGGGAGAGGAGGGAGGGTGTGGGCTATATGGGGGTGGATGAGGCGAAAGAGGAATTGGAGGAGATCTTGGTAAGTGGTGGGACGAAGGGGTGGGGCGAGTGTGTGAAGGAGGGTCTCCTTTTCCCCTACTTTATCTCCCCTGGTGACTCATTGTCCAGCTTTCTTCTCTCATCCTTGCTTCGAAATCCGAGGAGGACCTTTGTGCCGCCGAAGCTTGACTGATTAAACACTTTATCTCCCCTATCTGGTGACTTTTGAGTCGACTCAAAAGTCAGCTTTACTGATTAAACACTTTATCTCCCCTATCTGGTTTCTTCTTCATCTATTTCATTCTTGCCTCTCTCTCTCCTCCTCCTTTCGCCACCCCAGGGGCACCTTAGCACGCCTAGGCTTTACTAAATAAAATCCGGTTCTTTTGGTTTCTGCTTCATCTCCTTTTTTGCTTCTCCCCGCCCCGCCCCGCCTCACCACCCCAGGAGTATCTCCGCACGCCGGAGCGTTTCACTCGACTGGGGGCCAGACCTCCCAGAGGAGTGCTGCTGGTGAGGGCGTGTGCTGTGCTGCTGGTGAGGGCGTGTGCTGTGCTGCTGGTGAGGGCGTGTGCTGTGCTGCTGGTGAGGGCGTGTGCTGTGCTGCTGGTGAGGGCGTGTGCTGTGCTGCTGGTGAGGGCGTGTGCTGTGCTGCTGGTGAGGGCGTGTGCTGTGCTGCTGGTGAGGGCGTGTGCTGTGCTGCTGGTGAGGGCGTGTGCTGTGCTGCTGGTGAGGGCGTGTGCTGTGCTGCTGGTGAGGGCGTGTGCTGTGCTGCTGGTGAGGGCGTGTGCTGTGCTGCTGGTGAGGGCGTGTGCTGTGCTGCTGGTGAGGGCGTGTGCTGTGCTGCTGGTGAGGGCGTGTGCTGTGCTGCTGGTGAGGGCGTGTGCTGTGCTGCTGGTGAGGGCGTGTGCTGTGCTGCTGGTGAGGGCGTGTGCTGTGCTGCCTGCTGGCTCATGGTTCCCTCACACAATGTTGCTTTCTTGCTTGTATGCTTTTCCACCTTCAGTGGCGTGGTCTCAAATTTGATGCTTTCGAGTGAGTCCTACTCATCGTTATGGCTTCTTAGGAGCCCAATCTAAGTCGTAACCAAATTAGCGAACGCAGAAGTTTCCTCAGCTAAACCTCCTCTGGCCTTTTTCCCCTGTTTGCCGAGCCTGCCTTTCAGGTTGGGCCGCCAGGCACGGGAAAGACGATGCTGGCCAAGGCAGTGGCTGGGGAGGCAGACGTACCCTTTATAAGCTGCAGCGGTAGCGAGTTTGTGGAGCTGTATGTGGGCCTGGGTGCGTCGCGAGTGAGAGAGCTGTTCGCGCAGGCAAAGAAGGACTCGCCGTCTATCGTGTTTATTGATGAGGTGAGCTTGTAACGGGTTCTGCTTATAGTGAGAGAGTGATAGTGACTGGGCCAGAGGACTTTTGAGTAGACTTCAGAGCTGTTTGCACGCATATAGAAGGGCTCGCCCCCCATCTTGTTGATTGATGAGGTGAGTGTATGGCAGGACCGGGTTACGCCTCGAAAGAAAAATGTCTTGTGAGTTGAAGTTCCACGGGTCACTGGTCATGAAGAAGAGCTGCAGCGATCCCTCACGCTGCAGCTCTTCTTCATGACCAGTGACCCAAATGTCTTGTGAGTTGAATAGAAAGCTGTTCGCACGAATCATGAAGGACTCGCCCTTTGTCGTGTCCAGTGATGAGGCGAGCTCGTATGGGAGTCCTTTATTTGTGCGAGCAGCACTTGAACCGACTCATAAGTCCAACTGCAACCGTCCAAGGTTATGAGTCATGACCAGTTGTGTGTGTGTGGTTTTTTGAGTTGTTTTATGCCCAAAACACACACACAACTGGTCAAGTCACCTTCTCCCTCGTTCCATCCCCTCTGTCTCGAGGTGACTTTTGAGTCGACTGAAAAGTCACCTCGTTCACCTCGTTCCATCCCCTCTGTCTCGAGGTGACTTTTGAGTCGACTGAAAATTCACCTCGTTCACCTCGTTCCATCCCCTCTGTCTCGAGGTGACTTTTGAGTCGACTGAAAAGTCACCTCGTTCACCTCGTTCACCTCGTTCCATCCCCTCTGTCTCTCCCTCGACAGATTGATGCAGTGGCCAAGGTGCGGGATGGGCGCATGCGCAATGTGCGATGTATTGATGCCAGCAAGCTAGTGATTTGATTCGTGCTCTTTCCCATCTCTTCTCCTGTGTGCAATCTCTCCCTCTCTCTTCCCTCTCTCTTCCCTCTCTCTTCCCTCTCTTCCCTTTGGCAGATCGATGCAGTGGCCAAGGTGCGGGATGGGCGCATGCGCAGTGTGGGCAACGACGAGAGGGAGCAGACCCTGAACCAGCTGCTCACTGTGAGTGGGGGGGTTTGTGAGTGGTTGGAAGAGTAGGAGTGTGTGCTTGTGTGTGCTTGAGCGGGTGATTGTACGGGCGCATGCGCAGTGTGGGCAACGGCGAGAGGGAGGAGACCCTGAACCAGCTGCTCACGGTGAGTGGGTGAGTCAGGGGGTGGGTAGGTTGGTCTGTATTTGCTCATATACACCCATGTACAGAGCGTGCTTGTGAGCCGGTGACACCTATGTACCTATGTATGTGCCTCTTCTGCTTTCAATGCAACCTTGTATCCTCCACTCCACTACAGTACAGCGGTGATTGTCCTTGCAACCACCAACGAGGCAGACGCCATTGACCCTGCCCTGCGTGATTGTCCTCACACTACCGTGCATGCGTGCTTTACACCCATGTCGTGAGCTCTTCCATCTGTCACAACAGGAGATGGATGGGTTTGACAGCAGCACGGCAGTGATCGTACTCGCAGCCACCAACAGGGCGGATGTCATCGACCTTTTCACCCTTTCTTTGCTGCCTTTACGCGTGCATCCCTGCTCCCCATTCCCACACCACAGGAGATGGATGGGTTTGACAGCAGCACGGCAGTGATCGTACTCGCAGCCACCAACAGGGCGGATGTCATCGACCTTTTCACCCTTTCTTTGCTGCCTGTACGCGTGCATCCCTGCTCCCCATTCCCACACCACAGGAGATGGACGGGTTTGACAGCAGCACGGCAGTGATCGTACTCGCAGCCACCAACAGGGCGGATGTTATTGACCCTGTCCTGCGGTCCTGCGCCTGTGACACCCTTGCACACTCACTTTGCCTTCCTGTGTCCGTGCACCCTCTCATGTTGTTGTGCACTAACAGGAGATGGACGGGTTTGACAGCAGCACTGCAGTCATTGTCCTTGCAGCCACCAACAGGGCAGACGTCATCGACCCCGCCCTGCGCCGCCCAGGGCGGTTCGACCGGATTGTAGCGGTGAGGAACGGTGGGGGGTGGTGTAGTGTGTGTGCAGATTTTCAGTGTGGTAGCATAGCATCACTTTTGAGAATTCTCAAAAGAGATTTCGAGGTAGCATAGCATCACTGTTGAGAATTCTCAAAAGTGATTTCGAGGTAGCATAGCATCACTGTTGAGATTTCGAGGTAGCATAGCATCAAACAGCTGTCTGGCGTGCTGTTCTGTGTGTGTGGTAATGGGGCTTGATGGGTCTTGATGCCATACTGACAGTGCATGTGGAGCAGAAAGAGCTGCCACAACCCCATGTAAATGAGCTCTTTCCATCCCTTCTTCCATATGCGTACCCTCTCCTCCACCTCCGCACCACCACCACACACACACACACTCACACTCACCCTCTCAGGTGGAGCCTCCTGATTGCAAGGGGAGGGAGGCCATACTGACGGTGCATGTGGAGCACAAGGAGCTGCCACTAGCTGATGCAGCTACATGCCATCCCATCTCACAGACTCACACCACAGCCACATATCTTCTTCCAAACCCACACTCCCACTCTCAGGTGGAGCCTCCTGATCGCAAGGGGAGGGAGGCCATACTGACGGTGCATGTGGAGCACAAGGAGCTACCTCTGAGCACCGATGTGGACATTCAGGAAATCGCTGTCGCCACCAGCGGATTTACGGGGTATGTGCATGGGTTGGGAGGGGTTGGGATGGGTTGAGATGTGGAGCAGAAAGAGCTACCTCTGAGCACCGATGTGGACATTCAGGAGATTGCTGTTTCCACAAGCGTATTCACTGGGTGAGTGAGTGAGTGTGTGCGTGCGTGCGTGCGTGCGTGCGTGCGTGCGTGCGTGCATGCGTGCGTGCGTGCGTGCGTGCATGCGTGTGTTTAGATGGTTGAGATGATATGGCCCCCTCATCAACCCCTTGGGCAAATTCGGTGAACGAGACAGCAAGGAGAGAACATCAAGAGATTAGTTTTGAGACTTTTCAAAAGTGATTATAACATCCGTTTATCTCACTGCCCCACTGCCATGCAGCACCCTGACACATCCGGCCTCCTTGCCTTCCCTTCATTGCTAAGTTGTTTTGGCAAATCTGGTGCACAAAGCAATGTGGCTAGCAGCAAGGAGGAGGGACCACGAGAAGATGTGCTGTTCTTTACCCCCTCACTGTCATGCTGTAGGAGGGAAATATGTTGCAGCGTATGTTTTTTGAGAATTCTCAAAAAACATACGCTGCAACAAATTTCCCTCACGGGACCACGAGGAGATGTGGTGTTCTTTACCCCCTCACTGTCATGCTGTACCCATACCTTGGTTCCTCATCTCTCCCTTCCCTTCTTCCCCGCCCCCCCCCTTCTTCCCCGTCCCCCCCCATTCCAGGGCTGATTTGGCGAATCTGGTGAACGAGGCAGCGCTGCTGGCAGCAAGGAGGGACCACGAGGAGGTCACTAAGCAGGACTTTGATAGTGCTGTTGAACGGGCTCTTGCGGTGAGTGCTGTGAATCTGTGATTACAATGAGTGACTGACATGGGATGTGAGATGAACAATAAGGAGGGACCATGAGGAGGTCACTAAGCAGGACTTTGACAGTGCAGTTGAACGAGCTCTTGCGGTGAGTGTGGCTGGTAGGAGTGCGTGATTGCAATGAGTGGCCGGCATGGGATGTGAGATGAACAATGAGGAGGGACCACGAGGAGGTGACCAAGCAGGACTTTGACAGCGCTGTTGAACGGGCTCTTGCGGTGAGTGTGGCTGAACGAGGAGTGTGATTACGAGGAGAGATTGCAGCGCAGAGTGCAGCGCTGTTCAGTGAGCGCTTGCAGTGAGTGTGGCTGAACGAGGAGTGTGATTACGAGGAGAGATTGCAGCGCAGAGTGCAGCGCTGTTCAGTGAGCGCTTGCAGTGAGTGTGGCTGAACGAGGAGTGTGATTACGAGGAGAGATTGCAGCGCAGAGTGCAGCGCTGTTCAGTGAGCGCTTGCAGTGAGTGTGGCTGAACGAGGAGTGTGATTACGAGGAGAGATTGCAGCGCAGAGTGCAGCGCTGTTCAGTGAGCGCTTGCGGTGAGTGTGGCTGAACGAGGAGTGTGATTACGAGGAGAGATTGCAGCGCTGAGTGCAGCGCTGTTCAGTGAGCGCTTGCAGTGAGTGTGGCTGAACGAGGAGTGTGATTACGAGGAGAGATTGCAGCGCAGAGTGCAGCGCTGTTCAGTGAGCGCTTGCACTGAGTGTGGCTGAACGAGGAGTGTGATTACGAGGAGAGATTGCAGCGCAGAGTGCAGCGCTGTTCAGTGAGCGCTTGCAGTGAGTGTGGCTGAACGAGGAGTGTGATTACGAGGAGAGATTGCAGCGCAGAGTGCAGCGCTGTTCAGTGAGCGCTTGCGGTGAGTGTGGCTGAACGAGGAGTGTGATTACGAGGAGAGATTGCAGCGCAGAGTGCAGCGCTGTTCAGTGAGCGCTTGCAGTGAGTGTGGCTGAACGAGGAGTGTGATTACGAGGAGAGATTGCAGCGCAGAGTGCAGCGCTGTTCAGTGAGCGCTTGCGGTGAGTGTGGCTGAACGAGGAGTGTGATTACGAGGAGAGATTGCAGCGCAGAGTGCAGCGCTGTTCAGTGAGCGCTTGCGGTGAGTGTGGCTGAACGAGGAGTGTGATTACGAGGAGAGATTGCAGCGCTGTTCAGTGAGCGCTTGCAGTGAGTGTGGCTGAACGAGGAGTGTGATTACGAGGAGAGATTGCAGCGCTGAGTGCAGCGCTGTTCAGTGAGCGCTTGCAGTGAGTGTGGCTGATTGGGGACTCTGACTTTAGGGAGTGGTGAAGACGGAGAATAACAGCGAGGAGGGGCCACGAGGAGGAAACAAGGCAAGACTTTGATAGTGCTGTTGAGCGGGCTCTTGCTGTGAGCGGTTGTTGCTATGAGTGTGGTTCTTGCTGTGAGCGGTTGTTGCTATGAGTGTGGTTCTTGCTGTGAGTGGTTGTTGCTATGAGTGTGGTTCTTGCTGTGAGCGGTTGTTGCTATGAGTGTGGTTCTTGCTGTGAGCGGTTGTTGCTATGAGTGTGGTTCTTGCTGTGAGCGGTTGTTGCTATGAGTGTGGTTCTTGCTGTGAGCGGTTGTTGCTATGAGTGTGGTTCTTGCTGTGAGCGGTTGTTGCTATGAGTGTGGTTCTTGCTGTGAGCGGTTGTTGCTATGAGTGTGGTTCTTGCTGTGAGCGGTTGTTGCTATGAGTGGTTCTTGCTGTGTGTGTGTGGCTGTTGCTTTGCGTTGTGCACGCCGTGTATGTCCTTTATGTGCAGTTGATGTTTGATTCATTGTTGTTTATCCACATGCGATTCTATTTTTCCCTTGTTCACAGGGAATTGAGAAGAAACGGTCAGCTTTGGGCCGGGCAGAAAAAGCTGTGGTAGCACGGCATGAAGCAGGCCATGCGCTGCTGGGGGCAGCCATTGCAAAAGTTTTACCTGACCAGCGGGTAGTCCAAAAAATCTCCATCGTACCCCGGTCGGGCGGCGCATTAGGATTCGCCTACATGCCGCCCCCAGCGGACGGCGAAGAGCGTCTTCTAGTGTTTGTCGACGAGCTCCGCGGCCAGCTCGCCGTCCTTCTTGGGGGCCGGGCGGCAGAAGACGTCTGTTTTGGTGGGAGAATCTCTACAGGAGCAGTAGACGACATTCGCCGTGCTACAGACGTGGCATATAAGGCAGTAGCAGAATATGGGCTGAGTGGGACCATAGGTCCAATGTCAGTGGGTACCCTGGCGGGAGGAGGGTTGGACGGAGGGGGAGGGTTTTCCTGGGGGGGGAAGGACCAGGGGAGGCTGTCGGATCAGGTGCAGGATGAGGTGCAACAACTGTTACAGGCGGCTCTAGAGGTGGCCCGGGCGGTGCTGGTGTGCAACAGAGGGCTTCTGGAAGACCTGGGAAGGACGCTGCAAGGTGAGACTTGAGACTGCCTTGTGATCGTTGCCTTGGGGGAGAAGGACCAGTGGAAGGTGTAAGATCAAGTGCAGGATGAGGTGCGAGTCGAGGTGTCTCAGTCTTGCGTAGGGGAGGTTGTTGGATTGGATGAGGTGCAGGATGAGGTGCAACAGCTGCTGCAGGAAGCTTTAGAGGTGGCGCGGGCTGTGCTGGTGTGCAACAGAGGGCTGCTGGAAGACCTGGGAAGGACGCTGCAAGGTGAGGTTGCCTGGAAATTGTTGGTTGAAGGTGCACCTATACCCGCTTCTTTGTACTGTTTCTCCTCAAATGTCCTCAAATGTTGTCTTCTTTCTTTTTCTGAAGTGACATTTCCCACAGCCATTCATCTTTTCTCCATATACTCCCACCCACATTTTTATGCATCGCACCAGATAATGAGACGGTGGAGGGAGCAGCTCTGAGCGCTTGGCTGGCGCAAGTAGAGGTGCCGCCACTGCTTAGAACTTTTGTGTACGGGCGGACGGTTGACCTGCCCCTGCTCCCAGCTGAGAGCAGTGAAGAGGATGCATGATTTCTTTTAGCTATACATGGATGGTGGGCTGCTTGCCCCCTTCACCCATTTCATGCAGTGCTTGATACAAAATGCATCATGGGTGTGTACAGTGGGGTCGTTTTAAATTGTCATTGTATTCACTATTGGCGTGTATATATATTTTCCTTGGAGAAAACGTAAATTGTACTTTTGGTATGGGTTGGATGCTATTGAATGCATATCTTGTGATGGAATATCCTAATGTGCATATTATACTCGTTTACGTCAAGCGAATAAGGGAATTGTGTAGAGCACCTAGCCTTTCGATAATATCGAGGCCCACACAAACTCGACTCTTATCGTCTCACCAGATTACAGCCAGACGTACACATCTGTTGGATCTCCGTCATTCCCACCGACGCGTCCCGTCCGCCCCGTTCGGTACGGAGGAAGCCGTGGACTTCCCTCAAAAGTTGGTCACCCTTCTCAACCGCTCATATATGCTGGTTTATGGCATTATATAGACATCGCGTCGCATTCCACCGCAAGGGAGATTCAGACTTGCCCTCCTTAGCTCAAATACAAGATCCCGCGATCCAGATACTATTTTTCAGATTAGGAGTAGCTTCAGGAGGGTTTGCAACTTATCCTGTGAACCGTACCGACCTGACTTGTCAGCATCGCGGGCAACAGCAGCCGTCACGATGTTGGACCATTTTTCGATCTTTACGCGCGGCGGGCTGGTTCTCTGGACGTTCCAGATGACGGCCATGAAAGGCTCGCCGATCGACGCGCTGATTCAAAACTGCCTGCTGCAGGAGCGGTCCGGCGAGAAGACGTTCCAGTACAACGCCAAGGACCAGTCGGCTTATACGTTAAAGTGGTCCTTCCATAACGAGTTAGGTTTGGTGTTTGTCGCGGTGTATCAGCGTATGTTGCAGTTGCTTTATGTGGATGATCTGTTGACAGCTGTTAGGGATGAGTTTGCGGATGGACACTACGATCCGAAGAAAACGTCCTATCCGGATTTTGACGACGTTTTTAAACAGCTGCTTCGCGAATCTGAACAGCATGCGAACGAGTTGAAGCGGCCGAAGCAGGTTACCAATTTCGGGGAGACGAAAAAGGGTAAAGGCATGAATAAGGCGACGGGAGCGGGGAAAGGGAAAGGAACAGGAGCCAATCAGAGAAAGGGGGGCGTGGCGAAAGATGGCGGAGACAGTGGGAGCGACGATACTGGCGATGAGGACGGAGCGGCTAACAGCGAGGCCGAGCAGCCGGCTAGCCGTCCCAGCAGCAGCTCGCCCGTCTCCTCCGCCGGCGCGTTTGACGTCTCGAAGCTCCGTAACCGCGCCAACCGCAGCAAGCAAGCTGCGGCGAAAAAAACCGGTAACGGGCTTTTCGATTTCCCGCTTAATCCCTCAAAAGGCGGCGGGAAATCCGACGGAAAAGCCGACGGAAGCGCGTCGGAAAGCGAGTCGAAGAAACCGAAGAAGCAGATGCGGAAGTGGGATAACGACGGGCCGGCTCTGGAGCGGCAGGACTTCTCGGAAGCTTCGGATCACGACACTGACGTGGAGGTTGTCGACGTGGCAAAGGTGGGGAAGAGCATGATGGATCGCGAAGCTGAGCTGGAAGAAGAGGAGGACGCTGAGTGGGGAGGGGAGGATGAGGATGAGGAGTCGGAGGAGGAAGGGGGGAGGGACCGGAAGGGGTCGCGCCGGCACGTGGGTCGCGGGGATGATGGCAGTGAGGGGAAGAAGACCGGCTGGCTTGCTTCGGTCTTCCAGAGGTACGAATGAAGGGGGAAGTGGGGAAGGGGGAATGAAGGGGTAGAGGGAGGGGAAGGGCGGGGAGGGGGTCTCGCAGGCACGTGGGTCGCGGGGATGATGGCAGTGAGGGGAAGAAGGCTGGCTGGCTCGCTTCGGTTTTCCAAAGGTATGAGGGGAGGGGAGGGGAGGTGGGATAAGGGGGAGAGGTGGTTTTTGTAGCGTAGTGGGCAAGGCGTCCCAGTAGCTGCGCACATTTCTTACATCCAAATCACCCCACACCTTCCCTTATTCGCCCTCTCCTCCACTCTTTCCCCTCCCCCACCTCCCATCCCCCCCCCCCCCCCACTTCCCCCCTTCATCACCTATCCCACCCTTCTCCCACCCTTCCCCCTTTCCCTCCCTCTCCTGCATCTCCCCCACCCTCCCGCCGCTTCTCAAAGCGTGGTGGGCAAGGCCTCGCTGGAGCTGGCGGACATAGAGCCGTCGCTCAAGGTGCTCAAGGATCGCCTCATGACCAAGAACGTGGTAAGCTGTCCCCCCCTACCCTCTGCTCTTGAGTCGACTCACTAGTCACGGAGAGCCGTCCGTCGCTCAAGGTGCTCAAGGATCGCCTCATGACCAAGAACGTGGTAAGCTGTCTTCCCTTGCCCTCTGTTCCGTCCCCACAACCCACCTGTCACCCCCGCTGCCATCCTCTTTGCCATTTGGCCAGTCTGCTTCTGATTCCTGCAGTCAGTCCATCTCCCCACCCCCTCCCCCTTCTCCCCTTATTTTTTCCGGTTTATTTTGCCTTGTGTGTGTGTGTGTGTGTGTGTGTGTGTGTGTGTGTGTGTGTGTGTGTGTGTGTGTGTGTGTGTACGCGCGCGCGCGCGTGTGCGTGTGCGTGTGCGTGTGCCTCACCCCCTTCACTCCAGGCGGAGGAGATAGCGGAGAAGCTGTGCCGCTCAGTGGCGTCGAGCCTGGTGGGCAGCAAGCACGCGTCCTTCACGCGCATCTCCTCCACCGTGCAGGCGGCCATGGAGGACGCCCTCACGCGCATCCTCACGCCCAAGCGCTCCATTGACATTCTCAGGGACGTGCAGGTGAGCAGTGGTGACCACCTCGTATTGTCCCTTGGAGGGTAAGGACGACTGGGGGCAGGAGGGGGGAAGGGAAGGGTTGGGGTGACAATGCAGGCGGCCATGGAGGACGCCCTCACGCGCATCCTCACGCCCAAGCGCTCCATTGACATTCTGCGCAACGTGCAGGTGAGCACGTGAACGCCTCTTGAAGGGTGCGGATACCCGTAAGTGCTATTCTCGAGGGGTTGACCAGGGTGGGCAAAGCGGCTACCCTGGCCAATGCAGCCCACTGGCTCTCACAACCCATCGTTCTTCATTGACTCTAGTGTACTTTCTCTTTCTTCCTCTGTCTCGCCGCCCTCTCCCAGGCGGCCAAGGAGGCGAATCGGCCGTACGTGATGGTGTTTGTGGGGGTGAACGGGGTGGGCAAGTCCACCAACCTGGCCAAGGTGGCATTCTGTCGGTCGCAGCCTGTGTCAGATGCACCCGCTATCTCTTATCCTCACCCACCCTCTCGCCCGCACTCCTTCCCCAGGCTGCCAAGGAGGCAAACCGCCCCTACATGGTGGTGTTTGTGGGGGTGAACGGGGTGGGCAAGTCCACCAACCTGGCTAAAGCTGCCTACTGGCTGTCACAACCCGGCCCTTTGCATGGACTCAGCTGCACCTTCTATTCCTCGTTTCCCTTCTTCCCCTCTCGCCCGCTGTCTTCTCATCAGGCTGCCAAGGAGGCAAACCGCCCCTACGTGGTGGTGTTTGTGGGGGTGAACGGGGTGGGCAAGTCCACCAACCTGGCCAAGGTGGCCTACTGGCTGTCACAGCACGACATCAAGGTGATGGTGGCGGCGTGTGACACCTTCCGAGCGGGAGCTGTGGAGCAGCTGAGGACTCACGCCAGGAGGCTGCAGGTGCGCTCAACTCAAAGGCCCTACCTACATATCTAGTGTGGTAATATGAGGTGTGGCCAAGGTGGCCTACTGGCTGTCACAGCACGACATCAAGGTGATGGTGGCGGCGTGTGACACCTTCCGAGCGGGAGCTGTGAAGCAGCTCAGGACACACGCCAGGAGGCTCCAGGTGCGCTCGACCCAAAGACCCTACGTACCTATCGCGTGTCTAGTCTGGTAATATGAGGTGTGTGTGAATCTAAAGCTCCTATTCATTGGGATGGTATGAGGTGCATGTGTCCCTTTCGAATGCTATTTCCCCTTTCTCTCCTCCTCTCCCTCGCCAGATCCTTGACAGGGGGTACGAGAAGGACCCGGCGGCGGTTTCAAAGGAGTCGATCATTGAAGCCCATCCCCTTTCTTCTTCTCTCTCTCTTTTGCTGTCTCCTCACCCTCTCCTCCCCCCAGATCCCGCTGTTTGAGCGGGGGTACGAGAAGGACCCGGCGGCGGTGGCAAAGGAGGCGATCAGGGAGGCGACGCGCACCAAGATGGATGCAGTGCTGGTGGACACAGCCGGGCGCATGCAGGACAACGAGCCGCTCATGCGAGCGCTCTCCAAACTGATTAACATCAACGAACCTGACCTGGTGGGTGGATGCTGTCGTGTGTGTGTGGCTCTGGCTAAGATTTTCCCAGCAAAGGTTTCGACCATCTGTTTGTTGCCATGGCTGAGCTGACCACGTTCAACCAGCGCTTGGCTGATCTCTTCCCTTTCTGAAACGTGTGAACGCATGTGTTGTTTCATGCTCCTTCCATCCCATCCACCGTGGCTGTGAGCAGGTACTGTTTGTGGGGGAGGCGCTGGTGGGCAACGATGCAGTGGATCAGCTGACCACTGTTGAGTCACCTAATTATGTGATATGCCTTCCCATTCAATGCCACTCCATTACCATGGGCACAACAGGTTCTGTTTGTGGGGGAGGCACTGGTGGGCAACGATGCAGTGGATCAGCTGACCAAGTTCAACCAGCGCTTGGCTGACCTCTCCTCTGCTCCCACTCCCCACGCCATTGACGGCATTTTACTCACCAAGTTTGACACTATAGATGATAAGGTGAGCTCTCGAGTTTCTGGTTTCAGAGCTAGGGTGAATTTTCCTTTCACTTGGATGTTGCCAATTATTTTGCTTATTGTCAAAGATTAATTCAGGCTTTCTTGCGTTTCTTGTTTGGGAGCAGGTTGGTGCTGCCCTGTCCATGGTGTATGTATCAGGGGCGCCCATCATTTTTGTCGGCTGTGGTCAGACATACACTGACCTGCGCCGCCTAAATGTGAAGCACATTATCCGTGCGCTGCTGCAGTAGTCGGCAGCAATATGCACAAATAAGCGGCAGTATTGGTATTGATACTATGGATAAAAATATTGACTAATGCTCCATTTTATCTCGTTTCACAACATGCTAGATAGATTAGAACTCTTCCTGATGTATCAGTCTTACTCTTTGAATTCTTTTTGTTGTGCTATTATTTGATTTTTCTATTGCGCTGCTACGTATTCTTCAACTTCGGACATTTTTACATCGAGCTCATCTCTTAGCGAAATCCTTCGTTTGAGCGCGAAAATTTTGAATTCTGACAAGCACTCAGAGACTGACACGGCATTTCCAAGGTCTGACGCGACTCGATCTGGAATACCCGAGAGCAGAGCAACGAAACACATCAGGGAGACCAGGAGAAACGAACCTCCTCATCTCCCTGGTTCCCTCCGCTGCAATCAAGCACGCTATTCACCGCTATCTCTGAAACTCAGGGAGTAAGTCAAAGATTGGTGTAACGTCCTAGGAAAAGCAGTTTAGACTGCTGACTAATAGTCCTCTGGCTTGTGATTATCGACTGGCATAGCGAGTGTGTCCTTAGACTTAAGCTCGGTTGTCGTATAGCTAGTGAGCTTGGACGTAATGGCGTCCAACACTGACAAAGGGGTTAATGTCCAAGTATTATTGCGATGCAGGTAAACATTTCGCATTGAGGGGTTTATTTGAGCTGTTTAGAATCAAATTCCAGATTTCTGATCGTCGCCGCCTTCTTGAACAGGCCATTATCCTCGGACGATGTGCGGCTACGAGCACAACAGGTGGTCAAATGTAATGAATCCCGCAAGGAAGTCATGGTTGCCCATAATGTCGCGGGGAAGTCAAGCGAAAAGGCGTTCACTTTCGATAGAGTAAGCTTCATGCAATGAAATAGCAAGGTCGATTCAGTTCTAATCTAGAAATCGCGTTCGCTGAGAGTTTGATGGATGTCCTCTGCAGGTATTTGGACCGACGTCGAAGCAGCAGCACCTATACAAGCTCGCGATCGCACCTATTGTCGAGGAGGTCCTCGAAGGCTTCAACTGTACGATCTTCGCTTACGGCCAAACGGGGACGGGGAAGACCTTTACTATGCAAGGAGACGTAACCCGAGCCGGAGTGAGTGCCGAACCGCGTTCTGAATCCCGATTTGGCATTTTCCCTGCCGTACTGACAGCGTGTGTGTTTTTTTCGCAGGAGAATGGCCAACTTCCGGAAGGAGCAGGAGTTATTCCACGGTCTATCAAGCATATCTTCGACACCCTTGATAGTCAGGGAGCCGAGTACAACATCAAAGTAACTTACCTGGAGCTTTACAACGAAGAGATAACGGACCTTCTGGCTCCAAATGACATCCTTGTGGCGTCCGAGTCAAAGAAGCCACTCGCCTTGATGGAAGATGGTAAAGGCGGAGTGATTGTACGTGGCCTTGAAGAGGAGGTTGTCAACAACTCGTCTAACATTTTCACGCTATTGGAGAGGGGGTCGGCCAAGAGACGCACAGCAGAGACGATGCTGAACAAGCAGTCCAGGTTCGTTTGCAACACTTACTCATGCTTGCTTTCTATTGTAATTTTATGACAGCCTGAACGAGTCTGTATGTGCTGTATTTATATCCTTTCATGTGCAGCCGCTCCCACTCCATCTTCACTATCACTATTCACATCAAGGAGTCAACTCCGGAGGGTGTGGAACTGATCAAGTGCGGAAAGCTGAACCTGGTCGACCTTGCTGGTTCGGAGTGCATAGGAAGATCCGGCGCCAAAGAAGTAAGTTCTGGTACGTGAAGCCTTATGGATGGTTCTTTTCATCAAACTAATATTTTCATGCTTCTTTCCAGGGACGCGCACGAGAAGCTGGTGAAATCAACAAGAGCCTCCTGACTTTGGGACGAGTAATCACAGCCCTTGTAGACCACACCGGTCACATTCCTTACAGGTAAGATCAGTCAATGGTGTGACCTCAATATTAGATGAATCTTAACAATGGGTTGACACCGATTACAAAGTGGAATCATGCAGGGACAGCAAGCTCACAAGGTTGCTTCGTGACTCTCTTGGAGGCCGGACAAAGACTTGCATTATTGCAACAGTCTCTCCTGTCGCTCCTTGTTTGGAAGAGACCTTGAACACGCTAGAGTATGCTCAGCGTGCTAAGAATATCAAGAACAAGCCCGAGGTGAGCATGGCAAACTATCCACATCTGGTGATCTGGAAACGACATAAAAACTAGCATTTGACAAACTTTCCAGGTTAACCAAAGGACGACGAAGTCTAAGCTACTGAAGGACATGGCAGGAGAAGTTGAGAGGTTGAAACAAGGTATGTAACAACTACTGGCATGTCTGTTGTTATCTTCTACTAAAATTCCTGCTCTAACTCGACTGGCGGATCTATGTTTCAGAGTTGAAGGCTCAGCGCGAGAAGGAAGGCGTTCATCTGACAGTTCAGCAGCACGAGAACCTGCTGAAGCAGGTGCAGTCCCTCAAGGACCTCACTGGCCAAAACAGTGACGAGCTCGAGCAGAAGGCGGAGGTAAGAAATGTTGTGTACATTCAATGCAAATCTTTTTGGTCTCATAGTGGCACCTGAAAATAAGTGTTGCCATGTGCAGGAGATTAAGCAACTCAGTGAGCAACTGGAGGTATTTTCGGGCCGAGTGGATGATTTGACCAAGGAGAGGGATGGTCTTCAGGTAACTGAAACAACTGAGTGAAGTCATATGGTTCCTTGTTGAATAAAATTGTACAGAGTATTACCTATCATTGATGTGTTGAGATTAACAAATGTTGTGTTTTTCAGGGACAAGTTGTCTCGCTTTCCCAAAGCTTGGAGAAGACTGAAGCTGATCTTCGAGAAGCAGTATCAACTATTGAAAGCATGACTCAAGCTGGTAATTTTTATGTTTTTGGTTGTATTTCTGTACTGGAGTTTCTCAGCCTCCACTCTCCTGGGTCAATGCAACTGAATTTGTTCAGCATCTTTCTCATTGCTATGTGATTCTCCTTGCCGCCCTGTACTTGATGGCAGAGACACAGCTGGTTATCACCTGCAATGGCCTTCGACAAATGCTCATCAACGTCAATCACGATAATACTCAACTGTTTGAAAAGATTGGTGAGCTTGGTCCTTGGAACTTGCGTCATTTCTATCCAGAGTCCGTGTTGGTTAGAAAGACTTGTACTGACATTTGCTCTTTAATCAGAGAGAATGCAGGAAACTTCAGTCCACAACCAGGCTGCAGCTACCAGTCTGAAGCAGCAAATGGACAGTCAAGTCGATAGTGTTCGGGCCTTTGTAGTAAAGCAGATGGAGATTCTTGCTTTCCAAGAGCAACAAGCATCACAGGGCCTTGAAGACGTCCTCAGCCAGTCAACTAAGGTATTCTTCAGACAGTGGCTCCTCATCTTCTTTATGTTGAGCATTTTTGCCTTTTGAGCAATGATTGACTAACTGTATGTTCCACTTGATGCAGGATTTGGGCCAAGTGACGGAGGAGGTATCTCAGTTGCAGCAGAAGGTGTTCGGTGCGACACGATTCATGAAGGAGCGCGTGCAGCAGTTTGTGGATAAGAACAACAGTTCCCTCCAGTCCTTGGTGGACGGTCTCGGTCCACAACAGGAGGAGATGGAGAAGGTTCGTAAGAACAACAATGTTATTCCCACTGTTATCGTCCCAGATATTGTGCAGATTTTGCTCACGCAAGGTTATGGTTAGCCTGCAGCTACTTGAAGAAGCTTCTGCCTCATCTAAAGCATCAGTTCAGCAAATCCAAAGTTTGCTGACCGGTCTCTCAGCTGGCTGGGACAACGTGCAAGGGTGGTGGAATCAGGTGGGCATGGTAGACTTTCTAGGGTTGTAAGCATCCAACTTTCGTTCTCCTGATCCATTGTCACTTGGATATTGCAGTATTTGGAGAAGCGCAGAGCAGAGTCATCCTCTGCCCTGTCGTCCATGGAAGCCTTGATTGAACGATTGTATGAAGAGACAACTGCTTGGGCTGAGATGATAGCTCATCACACGGAGAGTCATGAAGAGGATATGAGCAGCCTAGAGAAGGCGGTGATGGTAAGTCGCAAGTTGGCTTTGCATCCGTGTTTGAAGGTGAAAGATGTATCTCAATGGCTTACATTTCTGTGATTGCAGGACATTGAAATGCAGAAGGCCAAGAGGATTATGGAGGCAGTGACCGAAATTGTACAGCAAGGGATGAACGACACCAAGGACGAGGTGTGTGAGCAAATAACGTGATTCAGCCTGTCGTTTCTTGAACCAATGATCCCTAATGCATGTTTGCTTGGCATTTTTAGGTCAAGGGACGGATTGCTCGCATGGGAGCCAGTGTGAAGAATTTACGCTCCGCAAATGATGATAAAAGGCGTGCTGTGAAGGGTGTTTTCTCTAACATTTCAAGCGGCATTGCTGATCTTCGAGAAAAGGAAGCCATGGCTGACACGGAGGCCTCCAATGAAGTTGCACGCAAGAAGTCTGAAGCTGGCGAGAAGGTGGCTTCGTGGTAGGCATCTTCCTCAGCCTCTTACACCCTCCATCTGTTCCTCTGTTCCTGTTGTTCGCTCCTCTGTACGCTTTCCACCTTTTCCCTGTGCTCCTCTGTGCTTTAGTTTCCTGGAGCCATTGTGAATGCATTGAGTTGCACATGCACACACGCGCACACAATTTCCTCATCCTCAACTTCCTCTGTGTTCCCTAATGCAGTGCGGGTTGCGTGGAAAGGATGGATGTAGATAGCAGTGAACAGCTATCACTGCTTGCATCACGGTCCAAATCTTATTGCGACCGTATGAAAAAGAGCATCGGGTAAGCCTACTGAGAGAGAAGTTCAATCCGCAACAGTTTTGAAGTCCGAGTCCCGTTTTCCTCTGAGAGTAAAATTAACTTGGTGTATTTTGGCAGGGAGCGCAATCTAGAGTCAACCAGCCTTGGCAACAGTACAACAACTGACCAAGAGCAGGTTGAGGCAACGTGCAATGCAGGAGCTGACAAGCTCGTCACTATGATTTCAGGTAAACCATGAATTTCTGAAGTTCCACGTTCCTGTCAACGCCACCTTGCATATAATAATCACTTGTTTCTCTATTCGTTTTCCCCCTTGCAGGAAGTTATGGTGCACAGCAGGAGAAGCTCACAAGTATCGCATCCTCGCTTGTTAAGTCATCTCATTCTGTGCCACTGGCACTGGACCACCACAAGCAGCAAGTTGAGGACGTCAAGGGAAGCATGAAGAGACATCTGGAGGAGGATCTGAAGGCAAGTATAGTCAAACCCTTTATTCTTTGTCAGCATGGGCTTCTGTGGTGTATTATGTTGACGTGAGTGTGCTTCCTTAATGCAGCCGGATGAACATACGTCAAGAACTCCACAGAAGCGGCGGTTTGAGATTCCAACAGAGGACATTTTGAGGATGTGTCATCGACCCAATCAGGCCAACGGGCCTGTGCTAGTGCCTCTTCCTCTGAAAGCAGCGCCCTCACCCAAGCGAGGCGTTCCTTCTCCTGGGAAACTTAAGGCTGCGATGCAGAAGTCGGGGAACCCTCGGGGCCCTCGCGGACCGCTGTTCACCATTTCCCAGAACTAATACGCATACACTGGCATTGGGATCCAGTAGCACATCTATAGGTCACTCCAAGTACGTAGCTAGCTATGGGGTATTTATAAGTAAAGGTGCTAGTGTGAGGGTCTAGTTATGCTAGACTTCTCTAGCAGTAGTAGCCGACTAACTTCCTTTGTCCTCTCGGCAAAGGATACAGGCTGACATAGGTACCGTAAGTTTCTGAACCATTTTAAATGTAGTGCAGGCAACATAACTTGCCCAGCTTGCTATCTCCACCAACGCCCATCAATCTACACAATAGCACACAAGATTCATTCTATCCTCGCACTTATAGCTCAGCTTACCCAAAACAACACGAAGCCCTCACTACCACCACGGCCGCCTCAGCCTCCTCCTTCCTCCACCAAAGAACATGTGTGTATCTGGATACAGAGATTCCAAGCTGGCATCCGCACTCCTGTGAGCCTCAGAATACTGCGACAGATTGACATACTCTTGAGGCCCCTCCTCGTCCTCATAATCATCACTATCAGAATCCCTGTCACGGTCTGCCCTAGCCCTGTGCGCCGTGCTCCCATCCCCCCACGGAGCCCTGCACCAAACGCACGTCACCATGCCGCCCCTCTTGGCAGCCTTCCAACGAGAGAAGCAGTCCGAGTGGACGTTGTTACCGCAGCGCTGACAAAACACCACCGCCTCTGCTGGCTTCCCACCACCACGCTTCCCTGCGCCTGTCCCTCCCAGAGGCTCGTAACAGATGGGACAGTCCCCTTCGATCGGCCGCTGCTTTGGCCTCTGGCCTGTCCCCCCAACTGCAGCCTGACTGCCACCTTCATTCCTGGAATTCAAATCAGTCAAGCCCAGAGCACCAGAACCAGGCTGCCCCCCTGCAATGCGTGCAAACTGCTCCCTTACAGCCGGACTCGCTAGAATCTCCTCACCCTCCTCAGCAACAGCGAGTGTTCTCCTCTCCAACGCGTCTATCCTATCCAGAAGCTCGTTTAGCTCGGTAGAGAGCAACGAGCGCTGCCACACGCGCGGATCCTCCTCGTCCACATGCAGCACGCGCAGCAGCACAAAGAGCACGTGCTTGCACAGGTTGCCGTTGCCGTAGTCTGGGCACGTGCACGACGGCTGCTGCGAAATGGTAACCGTGTAGACGTTACCGGTTGCGCCCAGCACGTGGAAGTTACAGGAGCACGGGCGGAGCGGGGAGGCGGAGGGAGGAGGGGTGGAGGCGGGGGTGTGGGGGGCGGAAAGAGCGCGAGTGGGGGAACTGGCGAGAGTGGGGGTGGGGGGAGTGGAAATCGCGAGAGCACTTGGGGGTGTGCCAAGGGGGGAGGATGGGGAGAGAGAGGATTGCGGAGGCGGAAGGTTGTGGGGAGGAGGGGTGCGGGGAGGCGGAAGAGCTAGAGCGAGACCTGTATCTCCTGCACCACCCGCGCCACCCGAGCCAGGCGCAACATTCCCCCTGCTAGCGGCCTCGCCAGTTCCGCGGGGCGCGCGCGGCCAGTCAAAGCCGATTAAGTACAGACGATGCACGTAGGCGCGTTCTATTCGGTCTAGAACCGCACGCGACGGGTGCGGAAGGAAACGCGTTAGGCGCTTCTCCACTACTGGCTTCGCGGCTCGGCCTCGCGAACCGCGCGAGGCTCTAACGGCTCGCGAAGGTGAGGGAGTCGAATTAACGGCTGAGATTGCGAGAGCCGTTTCCGCCGCTTGGCGCGCTTGGCGCTTCCGGCCGTGACTTGCGCCGGTCTCCGCAAAGCCTATCAAAGTTTCCGCCGGGTCTATTACAGATTCCCCCAAGTATATCGCGGTTTCCGCCGTTGCGCCAACGGCTCCGCGCGGCCTCCCCCAGCCGGTCGCGGTCGTTCCCCAACGACCTCCTACTGCTCCCGTTTCCGCCAAGACTATCGCGGTTTGGGGAGAGCTACCTCCGGTAATTGCGGGAGTAACTAAGTCTATCGCGGTCGCGCGAGTGCTGCCAATCGCAATGGCGGAGGTTCTCCCAGTCGCGGTAGCGGGGATACTTTCAAACGGCGCAGCGGTGCTCCGAATCGCGGTCGCGGGAGGGCGTCCAGATAGCGCAACAGTGCCCCCACCAATTCCAATGGCGGGGGTGCTTTCAAATGGCGCAGCAGTGCTCCCAGTCGCGGTCGCGGGAGGGATTCCAGATAGCGCTCCGTCAGAAGGCGCTTCGGACAGAAGGCCGCTATCCGCGTGGGTAGTTAATGCTAACCGCCTCTTTCGGGAACCGCTAGCCATTGGCAGGAAAGTGGAAGCTTGAGGGACTCGAGAAGGCGGGAAATAGCGCGAAGTGAGAACCGAGGGGAACTTCAGACTGACGGGGGACGAATAACGAAGTGACCTGTAGAGTGGATACAGACAGAATGTTAATAACGACGAGAGGAGTGTGTTAATGGTGGACCACCACTATACGCTGCTTTCACATTCACACGTCCTAGCAGCACCACGTGCTGACATTGCAATGTGAATGCAGCAGACGGCAAAGCTTTCAACCAAGCAAGCACAGATGCAGAGTGGGTAGGAAATGTACGCTTATGTGTCGCAGAGGTGGAGGGAGGCTTCTTCTGGCACAAAAACTCAAAAAGCAGGATTTGAACCTGACGTGAATCGAACACGCAACCTTCTGATCTGGAGTCAGACGCGCTACCATTGCGCCACAGATCCGTGGGAGGCCTGGAAAGAAAAAATATTTGTTAAATTACTAAATGTAGCTTCACCAGACTGTTCGTGTCGTCGTTGATTGTATCGCGATTCGTGATGGCGGCCATTGCTAGCAGCACGAGGGCGTCACTGCCGCCGCCCAGCCCCGCCACGCAACAACCGCCATCCATTGCACCTCACGCTTCGTTCGCGCGGCTGTTTCGCTCGAAAGGGTCTCATGAGACGAGATTAGGACCGTTGCCGCATAGTACCGCTACACGAAGGTCCACCATAGTACCTCCCGTCTCCGCGGTCGCAGAATCAAGGAATCCGGCACGAAGCTTCTCTTGTTCTCCCTCCACCTCTCCTCCCCAGATCAATGATTCGCTACATTCCGATAATGCCACATCCCTGCTCGTTATTCCCACCCTCGCTACAGTCACAACCTTGAGTGCTCTTATCGCCCCGTCAGCCGTTGCTGCGGTTACCGGTGCTGACGTCAACTCGGTAGCAGAAGCAGCAGCAGCAGCAGGCGCCGCGGTTGGGACAGCTGGCGATGGCGCATTGGCGAGTTTGAGTCAGCTGTTCCTCCTTGGCGCGCTCTCATTGGCCGACGAGCCCTCCAACGCGCTGTCGCTGCCCACGTGGATCATCCACGTGGCAAGCGTTGTGGAATGGCGAGCGCGACTCGGAACAATTGCGGCTTGGGCTGGTGGGTGTCAGGAGATCAACACAGGCAGATGTAACATAGGGTGTGATAAGGACGTAAGAAGGACGTAATAAGGACGTAATAAGGACGCATCATTCAGGGTGTCGTTAACACCTCCTGCTCCCCCTCCACTTTCCTCCCAGGGTGGTGGCGATGGCGCTGGTGTGGCAATACAGCGCAGCGGAGAGCAGGAGGGCGTGGAGGGGGCTGATTGCGCAACCATCCCTGTGATCTCATCTCATGCTTCTGGCATCCCATTGTCCCATTCGTGCTCTCCTCCTTACCCCTCAGGGTGGTGGCGATGGCACTGGTGTGGCAGTACGGGGCAGCGGAGAGCCGGCGGGCATGGAGGGGGCTCGCATGGGCCATGGTGCCGCTGCTCATGGGGGCCATGTGCGCGTGCACGTGGCACTTCTTTTACAATTCTCCTCAGCTAGAGGTAATCCAGGGCTACAGCTGGTTCCATGTAGGGTTCTGTTTTGTGATGCCGTGGAGGGGCCTCGCATGGGCCATGGTGCCTCTTCTTATGGGGGCCATGTGCGCATGCTCGTGGTACTTCTTCTTTAACTCGCCGCAGTTAGAGGTAATCGAGTAACTGGGTCTGACCAATCACTCTAGCGCATTTACATGGGCCATGGTGCCGCTTCTCATGGGCGATATGTGTGCGTGCACGTGGCACTTCTTTTACAACTCGCCACAGCTAGAGATATGCGACAAGCCAGATGTCTACACCCAGGACGACAGTTGTGTGTCGCCGTATGGTTGGCATGGGCCATGGTGCCCCATGGTGCCCCCGTGGTGCCCCCGTGGTGCCCCATGGTGCCTGTCCTTATGGGCCCCATGTGCACATGGTGCCCCATGTGTGACGCCCATGCATGCATGCCTGATGGCTTATGCCTCCATCCATGGTGCCGCTGCTCCTCTCCCTCCCCTCCCTCCTCTCCCTCCTCTCCCTCCTCTCCCTCCCCTCCCTCCTCTCCCTCCTCTCCCTCCTCTCCCTCCTCTCCCTCCCCTCCCTCCTCTCCCTCCTCTCCCTCCTCTCCCTCCTCTCCCTCCTCTCCCTCCTCTCCCTCCTCTCCCTCCTCTCCCTCCTCTCCCTCCTCTCCCTCCTCTTCTTCCCCCACTGCACCGTCTGCTTCAAGTGGAGCAAAAGCACTTCTGGGGAGGGTCTTGAGTCTTGAAATGAAACACCTCTCCCTCCTCTACCTGCCCTCCTCTCAGGGTCTCGTGGTGCTGCAGTCCTTCATGACCCTCCTTGGAAACTGCACCGTCTGCTTTGCTGCCTTCCGCATTTACAAGGCATCCACCAAGACTGCTCCTTAGGGCGTCTATAGTGTTTACAGTACACTACCGTTCCAGGTACCGGTAGCATTTTGTACAAAACAGCTGGTATACTTTCACCTTGGGGTGCTCAATTTTTTTAACACAATTCTGGTATCTATCTACCCCTTACCTCTCCCAACATTTTTCTTATTGCTCAATCATCAATCATCTTTCAGCATACCGTACATGTGAAGTGATTAAAAGCAACACCTTCATTCAGAATGAAAGTAAAATAATCAAATTCAGCGGTCAATCTCTTTCTTTAGACATGCAATGCTGTCTTTATTAGTGGCACCACAAAAAATCACAACCACATACCACCTACTGTACCTACTGGATGACTGACTAATAAATCAAGCGCCCAATCACCTGTTTCAGGCACATTGGCTATGCATTCGTTAGTAGCAGCTTGCTTAAAAGCACAGCCGTGACAGGAACAGATATGTTGTCATCGATGTACCAGTTAACAGGCAACGATTCAACTACTGTAGCTCCCAAGTTTATTAGGAAGACCCGGAGGAGAGGGTGGGAGGGAATAGGGCAGGAGAAGAAGCCTAGGAAACAGAAGAACCATAAATAGCTGTTGGGTGGGGTTGGAATTGGGAAAAGAGACGGCAAGTGGGGTTCGGAAGGGAGATAATGATGGGGGAAAAGTGAGGACCAGCTGTGGACGAAGGCAGAAGGAAAAATAATGCAATCAGGATGCATCGATACCATACAGAGAGGAATTAAGACTGCGGTGAGCAGGACTTGGAGACACCTGCACTCATGATTGGAGCAATGTTCAAAACACTCACATTAATGAGAGAGCAAATCCGCACAGCAGCATGGCAGCACTGCCAGCCCAGCTTTTCTGCTCATTCCATGGAAGCTTCCAGGAACCACACCGCCGCCCCACAATGTCCGCCACACCTGAAGGGAGGAGAGTTAGAGCAATGCCTCGGATTAGGCTTGGGAGGTGCAGACAGTTGAAGCGTTAGGTATGGAAGCGACGCATCAGAGATGCTTTACAGATGCGTCAGAGTTGTGTCAGAGATGCGTCACAGATGACTCAAGCTCATACTGATTCACGCCCACGCTGATTCACACCCATCCCGGTTCATGCACATGCTCTGCTGACTCACGCCCATGCTGACTCACCATCTCCACCACACATGATGACAAGAGCAAGCATTCCCACAGGAGACGTTCTCCAGTACATCACAGTCATGAGCATTATGGTAACCGCGTAACACAAAGGCCCACTTAACAATTCACTGCATACATCACAACGACAACAAGGGATAGACAAGGGAGAATACATTAAGCTCATGACATAACATGGGTATGACCAATTTGCAATTGCACATGCTAATTATTTCCTTCTTCGCAATGTTCACTACCAATTTACATAGCAAATACATAGCGCAGCCAGTCTGTCGAAAAGGACAGGCGCATGGGGAAGTCCTCACTCACGCGCCCTTCTTCCTTGCGCCCGACCCGTTTCCCCCACTCCGCCCGAACTTTTCTCCACCTCGCCCGGCCCTTTCCCCCACCTCCCCACTTGCGCCCGGCCCTTTCCCCCACCTCCCCACTTGCGCCCGGCCCTTTCCCCCACCTCCCCACTTGCGCCCGGCCCTTTCCACCACCTCCCCACTTGCGCCCGGCCCTTTCCCCCACCTCCCCACTTGCGCCCGGCCCTTTCCCCCACCTCCTCACTTGCGCCCGGCCCTTTCGCTTCCGCTTGCTGCCGCCGTGGCCCTTTCCCCTTTGCTTTTCAGAATCTTCTCGAGGCGCATCCGAAACCAGTCCATTTCCGCACCTCTTACTGCCACTGCGGCTCATGGACTTTCCGATCCTATCGTTGCGCGTGAACCCCGGCCCCACCGCGTTCTTCCCGCGCGTTCCCTTCCCGCTTGCTTCCCCTTCCCTCACCTCTTGCTGCCGCTGCGGCTCATGGACTTTACGATCCCGTCGCTGCGCGTGACGCCCAGCCCCAGCAGCAAGAGCTGCACCGCCGTCGTCACGGGGGCCGCCGCCGCAAAAAACCGCGCCTGCGGATACGCGCTGGCGGAAGGGGAAGGGGAAGGGGGAAGGGGGAAGGAGGAAGAGGGCAGGCGAATAAGAGGGGTTGAGAAGCGGAAAACCTGAGAGATGCGCGAACATGAGAACCGGCAAAAAGAAGAAGAGCAGGGGCGGTCGTACCTGAAGAGCGGTCGTACCTGAGGGGAGATCGCACCTGAAGAGCGGTCGTACCTGAGGGGAGGTCGCACCTGAAGAGCGGGCGGTTGTACCTGAAGAGCGGTCGTGCCTGAGGAGTGGTCGTACCTGAAGAGCGGCCAACAGACGAAGACGAAAAAGAGACCGATAGTGATGTGAAGGACCTTGCGACTCAGCTTCTGCGCGAGGTGATGGGGATTGGGGAACGAGGGATGGGCACAAGAGGTGAGTTAAGCGAAGACGAAAAAGCGACCGATAGTGATGTGGAGGACCTTGCGACTCAGCTTCTGCGCGAGACGACGGGGTGAGAGGGGATGGGCACAAGACGACGAAGTACAGGCTTTTACAAAGCTTTCTTCAGTCGCGAGACGTTGAGGTGAGAGGCTTTTATTATCAGGGCGGAGGGCAAGAGGTGAGTTTTGAGTTGAGGAACAAGTCCCGATGGTGATGTGAAGTTTTTCGCGACTCGGCGACTGCGACGGGGGATGGGGGACGGTGGTAGGGCAGAAGTTGCGTTGCGCGACATCGCACGGGATGTGAGTCGCGAGGCGTCGCACGGGGTGTGAGTGTCGCGACGTCGCGCGGGTGTGTGTCGCGAGACGTTGCATGGGTGAGTTGCGCGTCATCGCACGGGGTGTGAGTGTCGCGACGTCGCGCGGGTGCGAGTCGCGAGACGTCGCGCGGGTGAGAGTCGCGAGACGTCGCGCCGGTGTGAGTTGCGCGACGTCGCGCGGGTGCGAGTCACGAGACGTCGCACGGGGATCATCCGCGCCCACGACGTGGCGCATGTTACTCAAGCGCGCGAACGACCGTCGCAAGATGTTGCTCAACGACGGATGTGTTGCTAAAGACGACGACGAAAAGGCACATGGCGATGTGGAGGACCTTGCGACTCGGCTTCTTTGGGTGACATAAGGCGATGGAAAAAAGGTAGTAACAAGCCAAAGCCGCTTCAATGGGCAAAGATTTGCGACGCGGACAAAAAAAAAGTGGGGCAGGTAAAGGAGCGTGAGGAATCTCACCCGCTCGACCAAGTTTCGTCGCGCGAGCAGGTCGAAGAGCCTCAACCACGCAACGACGAGCCCCGTCGTCAGCACAGTCGCACACACGTCGCGCGGCAGACCGGGGTAGTGCAGCGTGTCGCGCAGGCCACGCCAGCCATCGGAGAAAAAATCAATTCCAAGGAAGATTTCGCGCAGGAAGGCCCCATCGAAAAAAGGATCACCACCCGATAGGATATCAACTCCCGTATGCATGTTGTGCTGAAGCCGTCCCTTCAGTAAAAAGTTACTATCATTTCCCAAGCCGCTGCTGCCGTTCAGCGCTGTTAGCGGGGATGGCGATAGCTGGCGGAGCAGTTGAGGTAAGCTGGCGACTGTGAGGTCCCAGACCCCCGAAGTCGCGGCGTCCATGGCTCCGCCCATCTCTGTTGACGAAATACCCTTTCTTGAAAAAAAAAAAAAATCCTGTTTTTCTTCAAAAGAGAGCCGTGCGCTCAATACGAGCTGGCTGTGTGGCGCCGCGCAACGCAACGGGCTTCCTACGTAATGGTCCGCGACTGATGTAGTCTGCGCACAGATTTAGGTCTGCGCTTTACTGTACGCAGTGCCAGAGCAGCTGACACAAGGCGAAGTTGGATGAACTCGCCGCGACCAAGTACCAAGCTTTTTGCGGAGTGCTCAGAGAAAGTCCTGTATCTGTCTGGATTAGAGTGTGTCTCGTTCTACTAAAATACATTGATATGGTGCGGGGTAGCGGCTGGTCCCTCACGTGACATCCAGCAGCCAAGATCGTGACGCTCCTATCAGGGTGTGCTTATAACAATTTACGAATGAGGTAATCACGCTTGCGGACGGCGACGGCACGTTGCAGTTTCTCTATAAGTTCAAAAATGAACTTGCAAGGGCGTGGTGTCTAGGAAAAAAACATGCCAAAGCGCCTACCTAGACATCTCCTATGAACAGGTAGGTTTGGGAGTCGTGACCTGATGTGAGGGCCAGGCCTGGGAGGGAGGGCGATGTGGTTTGGGGGAAGGGGCACCAACGAACGACGAAGAAGAACGCGCACGAAGAATGGCGGCTGCCAGAACAGCAGGTATTCGTGACGGTTCGAGAATAGTTGAACCAAGAGTTCGTGACCGAGGACAACGCTGCACGGAACGAAGCACATCTGCGCCGTTCGGTTTCCTGGTTTTCCCCACATTCTCAGAGCAGCCCGAGGTGAACGAATATTTTTCGTTCTTCTCTTCAGGTTGTTGGAATTGATCGAAGCGATACGTGTAGCGTACACTATGGGCTGTTCAAAATTATCCGCCGCCTTATGGGCAGAGTGGCTTGCGCTGTTTGGGCCGTCTGGGGTCGGGTGCGTTACAGCGACGGGCGAATCGATGTGGGGGAGAAAAGAGAGGCAGCCATGGCGCCTCCCCAGCTGAGGTGTACACTTGAACTGATGCGACACGAGCCGCTTCAAAACCAAAGCAAGCTTTGGACAAATCAAGGAAGGACGGTCAGCGCCCCGCAGATAATCCATCATCCCATTCCACGTCATCCAGCGCCCATATTGCTGGCGTTACCAGATCGTGGAAAACGTCAATTGGTCACGAACCACTAATGTGAGGTCTAGGGGGGCTGCCAAGCCAGACGAAGTTGGTTTGGCTCCGCGTCGGTGACCCTAGGCAGCTCGAAGTAGGCGCACGTTACAAGGATACGGGTTACCTGAGGCGTGTGCCTCAAGGAACCAGAGGCACGCGGGTGCGCCAAACCAGGGATCGAAGTGTCACTTTTACGAATGTGCTCATATCGAAGAGCAAACAGTGTGTAGCCACCTGGCACATCAATTAGGGCGTACGTGGCCCAATATCCTCACACAAAGCCACTTCCTCATCCAGAACGCGCGCCAGCCTTCCGCGCGCCCGTACCCTTGGGGTGCACACACTACCACCTTTCCCCCATCCCCTCTTGCGCCCTTACCCTCCGTTTGCGCCGCTCTCCCCGTGACCGTCCCCGATACTACGATCAACTACCCCTTGACGCAACCGAAGGCGGGAGGTGGCAAACTTGGAAGTTGAGAGTTTTCCACGGTATGTTGTGTTTCAAAACGTTACCAAACGGTTTCGTTCGGTAACCACCTGAACTTCAAACAATTTCTGGGCGTTTGGATTGACAATGGACTCACAGCTTTGGCTGAGACGCTAGGTTTCTCCTAAACCCTCTCTTATTTTAGCTTACGGGGAAGTTCGTGTGTACGGCACTCCTAAGCCCAGTTACGTCTTGAGTCTGCCGTCGCATCGTGCCGCCATGGCTGCCGTCACTGCACTGTCAGTTCGAGCAGTTTCAACGCCCACACAGGCAAGATTCTTAAAAGATTTCTCGTATGACGTCATTCTTCGAACAGTGAAAGAACAGATGTTCGTTTTACTTGTCAGCTCGCATTCCTGCTGCGCTGTTAGTAATGAACATTCTATAATAAGTTCCCGACTTAAAACTAGCCGCCGACACACATGTTCAGAAAAGTTCCCCCTTCCGATGGTAAGCCTTTTTTTGTTCCAGCCTAACCCTAATCCTTACCTCCGTTCGAACAGGGAGCGTTGAAATCCAGCTTTCTCTCGGGAGAGGGTTCGTCGCCGTGCCAGCTAGCCACCGGCGGTTTCGCCAAGCGGTCGCTGCTGGCGGCGGCTTCCGCCTCCCCCTCCGCGCGCCTGCACCGCCGCGTGGTCGCCGCCTCCGCCGCCACACAATCAGCCGCCGCTGCTGTCGCAGCCCCGGTGCGTCCAGGAAAATGCTCTCCTGTCGAAGCAGTGTAGATCCACTTGCATCAAGAGCTTAAGTTTCTCGGTTTTAATAAATATTATTAGGATCCTAGTCACGTATTGATGTGTCTCAGCCTAGAAAGGTGTTTAGCGAAGGCGGGAAGGGGGCAGGTGGCTTGAGGGGGCTTGACAGGTCGGAGAAGCGGGTGGTTGTGGCAGCATTTAGCGTCACAGGACGGGATTCGTTGTGTGCTGGGCATCGTGGGATTCGTGTGACGGGTTTCGGCTGAAATAAGATCGTGTGACAGGATTCGTTGTGCACGGGACACGGGACCGTGAGACGGGACTCGTTCGGACCATAGGGAAGGGAATCGTAGCGCGCGGCAGTGGTTGGGCTCGTGTCATGAGGGCTTGCCTGGCTGCAGTGGTTGCGTTTCCACATGACCAGGGAACGGGAAGCGGCGAGGATTAATCACGGTGAGGTCTGTTGATGGGAATTTTGTCAGATTGTGTGGAGGCCTCTCGTGCTCTCGTGCCAGAGAGAGTTACAGTTGTAGTTCCGACAGACAAGGGGGTACAGAGGCAAGTGGATGACAGACGGAGGGGGGCAGACGGATGGGGATAGGCGAAGGGGGACAGACGGATGGAACAAGACGGAGGTGGACAGACGGAGGACAGACGGAGGGGGACAAACGAAGCGAGACAGACGGATGGGAACGAGAAGGAGGTGGGGCAGACGGAGGGGGACTCAGGGAAAAAAGACGGAAGAGGACAGACGGAGGGAGACAGACGAAGGGGGGCAGACGGAGGGGGCAGACGGAGGGGGGCAGACGGAGGGGGCAGACGGATGAGGGCAGACGGAGGGGGCAGGCGGAGGGGGGCAGACGTAGGTAGGCAGACGGAGGAGGCGGGCGGAGGGGGCATATGGAGGTGGCCTGACGAGTTTGTAGATGGTGAAGGAGTCAACCTTCAAGCGCTACGTGTTGGTGTTAAGGTCGCGTAGAGTGCACGTGAAGCAGCTCCGCCTTGGGCTGTCCATCCAGCCATGACCTACCAAAGCGTGCACGTGTGCTCCCTATGCACACTTCTGCATCTTCTGATAGCCTCATTAGCTTCAATTCTCTCCCATTGCGTCATGTTTCATGGTACCCTGTAGGCGTTATTTGAATCTTCAGAAACGCCTACAACATGGTAGGCAGCTTCTCATCCACCTCTCAGTCCCGTCCTCCTTCCCATTCCCACTTCTCCCGCTCCCAATAACCTTCCCTCATACAGGCTGTCCAGAAGCAGCGAATCCGCATCAAGCTCAAGTCGTACCAGGTGCCTCAACTGGAGGCGGCTTCCGAGCAGATTCTCGAAGTGGCGAAGGAGACGGGAGCAGGCATCATGGGCCCGGTGCGTCTGCCAACGCACATCCGCAAGTACTGTGTTCTGCGCAGCCCTCACGTGGACAAGGACTCGCGGGAGCACTTTGAGATTCGCACGCACAAGAGGTTGATTGATCTGGAGAACCCCACTGCGACCACCATTGATGCTCTGATGCAGCTGGAGCTGCCGTATGGTGTGGAGGTTGATGTGAAGCTGTCGTAAATGTTTGTGAAAATGTGGGGGTTATGACGAAGTTTATAAGAAGGCATGTTATAGGATGTTAGCACTGATGTAAAACTGGTGTATGACATACATATTCATGCACTTACAAATCGCTTCAGAAACCACACGTTAGTAGCTTGCCAAAAAAGCTGGTCGTAGGAGGATCTGTAAAAGGGCGGTGGAAAGTATATTCTATAAAAGTATTCATATTTCATGCTTGTGAATTCGTCCGCCCTGTGCCTGGCCGCAATGGCAAAGCAACCCTTGATTTTGGCTTGGGAGCTTCCACTGATGGTTTGTGCTCGAGTAGCAGGGATCTGACAGACGAGCTGACCCATGGGCCAAGCGCCGGGCATACTGGGATTGCCGCTTCGATCATAACCGCGTCGCACCCCTCCGCGATCCGAGTGGCAGCCTTTTCGCGACTTTTATCCACTTGCGAGATTGTCAGCCCCCTCGTTGACGAATCAGAATGCGAGGCTGAGTACATCCACGTCAGAGCGATGAGTCTTGTGCGACACTCTGATCAGCTCTCTGATCCATTGATGGGTAAAGCAGAATCCTGGTTCCATCCACCGAGAATCTCGGTTACAGTACCTAGGAGTTGTGTCATGGGCTCCCACGAGTGTTGTTTGCTAGGGAAGTCCCCAGGACTTTGTGCATTCTTCAGTCGTCTCTTTCCGAAATGATCCAGCTGAAGATTTTTGCCAAATTGGCCTTCGCCCGAGAGCAAACCTATTAACAAGAACAAATTTCTCGTCTGAACTGAAGATAGTAGTCTGTTTCCATTAGAGACTATTGCGGGAACTTATCATGACGATTTCTGTTCCGCACTGTCAGCTGACAGACATTATTAGCTTCCAATCCAGGATCTCGTCAGCAGGCCATTCCTCTTACAGTCTAGCATGGCCTCGGTCACGCTGTCTTCCATGCGCTTACAAAACACAACAGAAACTTCTGTCTTTGAAACGAAGCTGTGTTACAGCCTCCTTCGAAGTCCCAGCCGCAACAGCAGCAGCCGAATCCGCGATATCTGCTGCTCCAAAACTCGTTACAGGTCTTGGGAGATCCGCACTTGAGTCGCTTCAGGCACCAACGTCGTTCTTCCACCTGCAGCCGTCGACTTTTCACCCTGTACTGACCGATGTTGGAACTAGCTTTTCATCCGGGAACGCTGGAATTGTCGCTCTAGATTCTGGCTTGCTGCCGTTAGCGGGTTCATGGCAGCAAGACGTAGCTGCAACGCTTTTCACCCTCCTAGGCTCGGTGGTTTGGGTCCGCGTGTTTGATGAGCTGGCCAGACGGGATGTCCTGGATCAGGTGAGGAGAAGTTGCTTTCTTGTTTTGCTGAACTGTTGTAAAGAACCAAGTTTCTGCTACTTCAAATGCTTCCTGTTTCTCCTTCCATGGTGGTTCATCCACAATTCATGGACCTTTGTTCTCTTTGTTGCTGTTTCTGCTGCAGAAACTGAGTCGCAAGATTGTGCACATCACCACAGGGCTGCTCTTCATGCTCTCCTGGCCTCTCTTCAGGTGCGACCTTTCAGATAACTTCAATGTGACTTCAATCTCCAAGTTTATTCCTGATGGTCTTTTTAGATGCCTTGCAGCTCAGGTAGAGATCACGCCAGTCCTTTCTTTCTCAAGTTCCTCCCGTCGACCTTGCTTTGTACCTTGTACTCTGCGTCCCTGCCTGCGTTCAGCTCCAACCCAGCAGCAAGGTTCCTCGCTGTTGCCGTTCCAGTGGCGAACGCTATCCGGATACTGCTGTTGGGAATGGGTATCACGACGAACGAGGGAGTGGTGAAGTCTATCAGCAGAGAAGGCAGCGCCAGGTGAGGCACTGAGGCAGTTTGTGGTAAGGCTTTGTGTAGAATCACGCGTCATGACGTTTGCTGTGCGAAAAGGCCACAATTGCTCCATTCACGCAGCCCTCTTGATTTTGGAAGTTCCGTATGGAGGGTTTCAAGGTTTTCAGCTACGTTCCCTTCCTCTGGTGGCTTCATTGTTGTGTCTCGCCTGTACTTCCTGTCCTCCTCCAGCGAGCTGCTTCGGGGGCCTCTGTACTATGTGCTCACCATCGTTTTAGTCACAACCATCTTCTGGCGCAGCTCCCCCGTTGGAGGCATAGCGCTGGTGCTCATGTGTGCTGGGGACGGTACGTTCGTCCTCTCCTCATGGGGTGGTTCTCAAGGCGCTGGTTCTATGTCGGTCTCCTTATTGGAAATGCTTTTGACCAATAAATATCTCACACGGACTACCTTTGATGATGTATTTCTCCTATTACTTTCACAGGAATGGCTGACATTGTTGGTAGACGAGTGGGTTCCGCGAAGCTTCCCTGGAACAGTCGTAAGAGCTGGGCTGGGAGCGTTGCCATGCTGCTGTGCGGCTCCTTGTTCTCAATAACGTAAGCATCTTCTGTTTGAACAGCTTCTGCTCGAGCAAACCTTCTACTGTTGTTACTTCATGCAAGCTTCTTGGCGCATTGGTGAAACTACTGCAGACAGTTATCTGAATCTCATTTTGGTCTCCTTATTCTTACCTCCTCCCCACCTCCACTGCAGGTTTCTCTTTATATTTTGCTCGTTTGGGTTCTTTCACACCCAGTGGTGGTCTGCTGATATCTGCTTCAGAATCTTCCTCGTAGCTGCAGGAGCGACGTTCATGGAATCCTGTCCCATAAGCGAGAAGCTAGATGACAATTTCACGGTTCCTTTCTCGGCTGTGCTGCTGGGGCGCTTGTTGCTTCCAATGGTGTGAATTCTTGTTGTATGCTGCTGCCTCATGTGGCATAGGTGTCATTTGTTCCATTTTCCCCTACTAATATATTTTTCCACTCTCAATCGTGTCTCAGCACCAGTGCTTCAAAAAGGAAATGGCATGCATTGCCACGTATTTACAGGTACTTCAGACAAGCATGCAAAATCATCTACACCTTCCTTACTTCACCCACCCCCAAACCCCCCCCTCCCATCCCTTGCTATTCCTTGCACATATCCCACTTACCATCAGCGACTGAACCCACCCTGCTACCCTCTAGGCTCGTCTCCTCCATCCCTCACAGCCTTGGTCCAGCCGAGTCTCTTCCTCTAGCCGAGCTTTCGTCCAGCCGACCCTTAATTCAGTTGAGCCTTAGACCAGCCGAACCTTAGTCTACCCGAATCTTCGTGCTGTCGAAGCCTCATGCAGCCAACATATGCATCTGCCTCTCCAACGCTTTAGCCATGTCCTCCCGTGCCCCTCTCAGCTCCCCTCGTGCTTCTTCCACCAGCCGTGCACTCTCCTCCACGCTCATTGGCTCATCCACCTCCTCATCCCCCCATCCCGTCACATTTTCTCCCATGTCCCCTGATGCATTCACGTCCAATCCACCTCCTGATTCGTGCACAGCCCCCTCTTCTCCCACTGGTTGAACCACACCCCCTTCCTGAGCCACATCCCCTCCCCTCTCCTCGGACCTAATGCATCGGGTCAGCCCAGCCCACCCTGTCTCTCCTCCAAGCTTTGCTGAATTCCCTGACACACTTTCTCCTGGCAGCTCGGACGTACCCATTTGTGGGGTATCAAAGGTATAGGGATGCCTTTCAGACACTCTCCCCCCAGGAATCCAGTCGGATGCCACTTTAGACGGCTCTGTTGCCTTCCCACCTAGCATTGACTCCTTGGGAGCGCCACTCGTTTCCTCTGCAGCCACGTCGCTCCAGTCCACGCCAGGCATCATGCTCTCAAGAAATCTTGTGTGCAGGCCCTTGGTCGGACCTGCACTCCTCCCTCCTGCAGCCAGGCCCTTGGTTGGAACTTCACCCCCCTCAGCAGATAATGTTTCAGTTCCTTCCTCCCCTTCTTCTGTATGACTCCAGAAACTTTCATCCTTCTGAGCTTCCAGAAGCTGCTTCTCCTGCATCTCCTGCAGCTGATGTGGCTGCATCTTCTGCTGCTGCTGCACTTCCCGTTCCTCCTCCTCAATCACTGCTCCCGCTCCTCCCTCTGTTCCCCTGGTAGGGGAGAGCCAGGAAGGGGGCGCAGCTGCTGCAAGGGCAGCTGTGGTCGAATGCTGTTTCTCTCGCTCTCCTCCTTCAACTTCCTTTTCAACAGTGTCACTTGGGCCAAATGCCTGCTCCACCTGTTCCTGCTCCTCCTCCTCCTGCCATCCGTGCTGGTGCTGCTCCTCCTGCTGCTGCTCCTCCTGCTGCTTCTCCTCCTGCTGCTGCTCCTCCTGCTGCTTCTCCTCCTGCTGCTGCTGCTGCTGCTGCTGCTTCGTCTCCTCCCGCCCCTTCCACCCTTCCTGCTCCTCCCCTTGCTCCTCCTGCTCCTCTGCCAGCATCTCCGTCTCCCCCTCTCGCCCCCTGCTTGCCTCGCCCTCACCTTCTAACCCCAGCATACGCACCACCGTCGAGGGTAGCATAGCTGCAACCACGGTGCCAAGTGTTGTCGTCTCCTCATCTGCTGGCGCCTCTCCCTCTTCTGCAGCAAAAGCAGCAGGCATTTCTTTCTCCTCATCCGCAGCAGTAAAAGCTGCAGGCACCTCTCCCTTCTCTGCAGCAGCAGCAGCAGCAGCAGCAGCAGCAGCAGCAGCAGGCACTTTGGTCTCCTCCTCAGCAGTGCCACTTGGGCCAGATTGCTGCTGCACTTGCTCCTGCTCCTCTTCCTGTTGCCAAGCCTTCTGCTGCTGCTTCTTCTCCTCCCGCCCCTTCCACCCTGCCTGCTCCTGCTGCTGCTCCTCCTCTGCCTCTGCCAGCATCTCCGTCTCCCCCACTCGCCCCCTGCTTGCCTCGCCCTCACCTTCTAACCCCAGCATACGCACCACCGTCGAGGGTAGCATAGCTGCAACCACGGTGCCAAGTGTTGGCTCCTCATCTGCCGGTACCTCTCTCGCTGCCTCTGCAACAGCAGTCGTCTCTCCCTCTTCTGCAGCAGCAGGCACCTTTTCATCCTCAGCAGTAGCAGTAGCGGTAGCACCACCACCACCAGGAACCATTTCCCCTTCCTCCTCCTCCTCCGCAGCAGTAGCAGCAGCAGGCACCTCGCCTTCCCCCGCAACAGCACCACTACCACCATCACCAGGCACCCCTCCCTCCTCGTCTGGAGCAGCAGCAGTACCATCGGGCACCTCTCCCTTCTCCGCAACAGCAGCTGCTGCAGGCACCTCTCCCTGCACGACACCTGCCTCCTGAGCCGTCCCAGCCCAACCCTGCTCTCCCTCCTCGTCTCCCTCCCTGTCACCCTCCACAATAGCTCCAAGAACCTCTTCCTCCATCATCCCTTCCCGCTCAGAACCTCCCAACTCTTGTCCCTCTCCCATCATCCGTGCTCCCAACAGTCTTCCTTTCGCCCCCACCAATCCGCCCTGCTCTGACACAGAACCCTCCGCCTCCTCCCCTGCTACCCCGTCATCCCCTTCTCCAATCATCTCCTCCACCTCGCCCAGTTTCTTCATCCTCGCACCAGGCGGCGACCCCTCCTGTGACTGGCTGCTCCATTCACTTGCTGCGCTCTCCTCCCTCCTCCCACCATGAGTACCACCCATTGCGCCACCCATGCCGCCCATGCCGGCCAAGCCAGCCAAGCCACCTCGATCACCTATGCCACCCATGCCACCTGGAGTCTTAACGCCAGGGTTGCTGGTTCCTTCAGCGTCCTTTCCTCCTGCTGCCATGCTTGCAGCAGCACGTGCGCCTGCTGCTGCCATCACAGCATGAACCATGGAAACACGCTCCTCTGCACCACCAGTACCACCACCACCGTCACCAGTGACAGTACCAGCAGCAACAGCAACACCAGTAGCATGAGCATCATCAGCAGCACCTTCCGCACCAGTAGCAGCACCAGTTGCTACAAGTGGCAAATCAGAGGCAGGGAATTTTGCCACCCTTCCTTCCATTCCTTCCCCAACACCCTTCGCTCCACTTTCTCCTGCTTGTGCTCCTGCTATAGCCTGCGCTCCTGCTGCAGCCACCACTGCTAGAGCCACTGCAAGCCTCTGCCTCTCTGTATCCCGTTCACTGTCAATGACAGTAACCCCTCCTGACTCAGCAGTAACAGCACCAGGGCCTGCTGATTCTGCAGCAACAACATCCGGACCTGATGACTCGGCACTTGCAACAGCAATCGACGGCTCTGCCGACTCAGCAGCAGCAGCGGAGAGCACATCGGTTGCAGGCTCCCCTGTTGCGCCTGCTGCAGCTGAGAGAACACCAGCGGCACCAGGAGCAGCAGCAGGAGTAGCTGCCGCTGGTACAGTAGCAGGAAGCAGCTCAGTGGAACTGAGTTTGGAAGCAGAGGGTGCAGCCTCCTCTTCTTTCTCTGTTGACTGTAGGGGGCGTGCTGCTGACGCCGCACCAGGAGCAGCAGGAACAAAAGCAGCAGGCAGCTCAATTGAAGTGGGTGGGAGGGGAAGGGGTGCAGCAGCTGCTGTTTCTGGTGCTTGTGAAGGACCTGACTCAACAAGGGGAGCCACAACGGGAGATAGAGGGAGCGCAGCAGCGATGGGAGGCTGGGATGATGGCGGTGACTCTAATGAAGGCTCCAATGTTGAAGTCTCCTCGTGTGGCAGCTGCCACAGACCAGGTGGCGTTCCAGCCTCAGGTAACGCTTCAGGTGATTCTTCAGGTGCCGCCTCGGGCCCCAGCCCCTCCCCAGTCAACACAGGCCCCTCCCCGGTTACATCAGAACCTTCTCTGGTTACCACAAGCCCCTTTCTGGTTACCATTGGCCCCTCTCCAACTACCACAGGGCCCTCTTCGGTCACCACAGGCTCCTCCCCAGCTACTTCAGGCTCCTCCCCGGTTACCGCAGGCCCCTCCCTGGTTACCGCAGGCCCCTCACTGGCTACCACAGCCCCCTCCCCACTTACCACAGGCCCCTCCCCACTTGCCACAGGCCCCTCCCCACTTACCGCAGGTCCCTCCTTCCCCTTCAATCCCTCTGCTACAGCCTCTGAAATGGCTGCCTGCACGGCCACCCTCAGATTCTCCTGCTCTGCGGCATCCAACGGCCCATAGAACGACATGTGGGCATCATAGAACACCTCGTCCGACCCCTCACTCTCACTCCCCTCCCTCGCCCTCCCGCCTTCCACTCCTCCCACACCTTCCATCCTCTCTCCTGACTCTGCAACCCCCACACTCCGCCCACCTTTCATTGACTCTCCAGTCTCTCGTCCCTCCGCTCCTCCTGCTCCCTCCAGAGCCTTGTTCCTTGTGATTGCCCTCGTTTCTGTCGTTCCTGCTTCTGTCGTTCCCGTTTCTGCTTTTCCCATTTCTGTCGTATCCATTTCTGTCAGGCTTGGCGTTTCTCCCTCCCTCTCCTCCACCTCCACCAGAGCCTCTGCAGCCTCCTCCGCCTCTTCCTCACTCACCCCCTTCAGTATAAGCTCTTCTGCAACTGCCCTCAGCCGTGCCACGTCACCTCCTTCCCCTCCTGCCAAGTCACCACTTGTTCCCGCTTGCATCGCTTCCGCAATCGACGGTGCAGATGCACCCAGATTCTCCACGTCAGCAGGAGACGGAGGGGGCGTGGCTGGGAGTGGTGGGGTAGGCGGGACACGCTTCTCCAGAACTTCAGGAGCGTTTCTCGCTGCTGTTTTGTGTGCGGTAGGAATGTTGGGTGCACTGCGTGCTCTGGTGAGCCATGCAGGTGGTGTTACCGCTGCTGCTGTTGCTGCTGCTCCTCTAAAACCTTCACCAACGCTCATTCGTGTTCCTGATGCTGGTTCGTCCACTCCTTCATGCCTTTTGCTTGCTCCCTCTCCTCCTCCTTTTGCCGTTCTCACCGCCCCCAGGCTTTTCATTTTGGGAAAAGGTGGCTTGGCCGCGGCTCCTGCTGCGGCAACTGCTGCTGCCTCAGTCGCTACTTCTCTCTCCTCCTCCGCAGCTGTTCTCGCTGCATCAGCTGCTGCTGCTTCCATCGCTGCTGCCTCGCCAGGAGTGAGTGGGCGAAAGGAGGGAGGGGAAGGGGATGGGCTGGCTCGAGCCACGTGGACAATCTGTGCTACTGGCGAGGCCTCCCTCACTCCTAGGGCCCCACTCGTGCCCTCTCCCTCCCTCACTCCCAGTGCCTCCTTTCCCTCTCCCTCCCTCACTCCCCTAGGCCCCCCTTCGCTGCTTCTCCCGCTCTCGCCCTCTCCCCCTGTTGCTTCCACAACCTCCCTCTCTCCCTCTCTCCCCATTCCTCCTGCCAGCACCCCCTCTCCAACCCCCCCTATTCCTCCCGCCAACACCCTCTCTCCCCCTCCCCCCGTTCCTCCTTCCACCCCCCTCTCTCCCCCCCTCTCCCTTTGAAACCGGTTAGCTTCAGGGGGGGAACGAGGAGTGAGCATGGGGCTACCGCCGCTGCTGGATGGTGTGCTCAATCCGCTGAGGTCCAGCTGAGTACGAGGAAAGAGAGACGGAAGGACGGGGGAAATACACACACGCATGATGGTGAGCTCGAATGTAGAGCGAGGGGTGAGCATGGGGCTACCGCCGCTGCTGGATGGTGTGCTCAATCCGCTGAGGTCCAGCTGAGTACGAGGAAAGGGGGACGGAAGGATGGGGGAAATACACACACGCATGATGGTGAGCTTGAATGGAGAGCGAGGGGTGAGCATGGGGCTACCGCCGCTGCTGGAGGGTGTGTACATGCCACTGAGGTCCAGCTGAAAGAGAGAAGGGGAGAAGCGAGAAGAGATAAGAGAAAGGAGAGGAGAAAGTTGGCACAATCATACAGGAAGGTGAGATCACAGGGGCATGGGACCGCGTCCGCTGCTAGATGGTGTATTCAAACCGCTAAGGTCCAGCTGAAAGAGAAGAGAAACAGGGAGGCAAGAGAGGGCACAAACATACAGGAAGGTGAGGTTGAAGCGGGGGCAAGGGATGAGCATGGGGCTGTCGACGCTGCTGGATCGTGTGTGCGTGCCACTGAGATCCCGCTGAGGCGAGTGAAGAGGGAAGAGGGGAAGCACAGAGAGGAGGAGCACAGACGAGAGAGGGAAAGGACAGGGGAAGATGGGGGAGTACACAGAAGCAGGGTTGAGATCGAAAGGGAGAGTATGGAGAGCATACAGGGGATTACCTACACTAATTCTAGCTGTTGCAGGCATAAACAAACTGCCACTACATTTTTTTCTTAACACATGTGATCCCCTCCATATACCTTGCGGCTCCTGCCAGGGCGGCGGTGTGGGTGCAGTGCCCCTTTCACCCTCTCCCTCATCCTCCTCACGAATCCGCCTCTTGGGCTTCTTGTCCCTTGTGCCATACCCTCCTCCTCCCTCATACCTTGCACGCTACTAATGCCTCCCGACTCTGTCCCCTCCTTGCCCTCCTCTCCTCTCTCCTCTCTGCCCCCCTCTTTGACCTCTTCTCCCCCCGCCTCCTCTTCCACCATTCCAACAGACAAGCTACGGCCTTCTGCTCGTCGTCCCAGCCCTCCAGACCTCTTTTCACTCCCTCCCACGCCCACCCCACCCACACCCGACGCCTCCGCAGGCCTTGCTGCTTCTGGTGCAGTTGCTTTCCCCTTCTGCTGCTGCTGCTGCATCACTTTCTGCTGTGCCTGCTGCGGCCTCTCCCTTTCTGCTGCCTCCACGTGGACCTGCCTGATTGGCTCCTGTCGCTGCTGCCGGGGACTGCGATGCATTCTCTCCTCCACCTTTTCTAGGAAGCTTCGCACATGGCCAAGCGGTCCTCGCCTCGCCTTCCTCCCACCCTTCACACCGCCAGTCATACCCTCTCCACCTCCTCCATCCCCAGTCCCTCTCCCACCCTTCACATCGGCCGTCACACCCTCTCCTCCTCCCCCCTCTGCAATCCCTCCAACACCACTGCTCCCTCCTCCTTCAGCAACAGGCCCTTGATCTGGCCGCTGTGCCGTATGGGCAACAGCAGGATGTGCTTCAAAAGAAGGGCCAGAAAGATCCTGTTCGGTGGTGAAGACTGTGTGTCCACCACTGGGATTTGAAGGCATCCCTAGATGTAGGCTCTCTGCAGCGGCTGTATCACCATGGTGCTTCACGTCTTGAGAAGCTGATAAAGGATCCATGGATGAGTGCTCCTCCTGCTTTGCCACCTCCATTATGCTTTCATCTGCACAAAGCGCGGAGGATGAAAATAATTAGAAGGAAAACAATCTCCGCCCTAGCAGGGGCTTTACATGGCACTTGTTGAGGAGATTTTATTCCTATTCAAATTCCTGAGTTTCTTCCCATTTTACTCACCATGTATTGCAGGTGGAGGGCGCATGAGCTTCCTGTTGCGGTCATCCACGGACGGATCCATCCAATCAGGACACGTGGACATTGTGCTGGGCAGCAGGTAAGGAAGTGCGTGCTAAGACAGGACTAGTACGGTGATATGGACAGAAGCGGCGTCAGCAGGTAAGACTGTCAGTCGCCTAGTTAACTCCGGTTGTTGGTAGCTACGTGCGCAAGATCTGCTGTTAGTGGTGCGACGAAATTTAACGCCAATGCTGCTGGTCTTGTTCGAGTTGAACGAGGGAGGGAGGAGTAGGAGAGGGGCGTGCGGTGCAAAGAAAGGCAAACCAGCGTGGGCACCATTTTGGCCCTGTTCGGTAGCCTTCCAGTCACACTGGGCCCACTCGAACTGGGGAAGCCTACGACATGTTTCATAGCCTCGGGCGTCCACTAACACTGAAAGGAAGTCTCGTCCACAAATGCAAGAAGTTACCGTGTGTTTCTCGAGAAATTACTGGTCGAAACTTTTACTTCTGTACGAGGCTGCCCAGATCACAAACAAAAAACAGCCCGCCAAATGAAGCACCCTCGATATGGATAAAAGAAAATCACGAACGGGCACGATCTCTCATCGTTTGAACGAGCGGGCTGAAAAAACATAATTTGACCCGATTCGAAACTAATGCAGCGTTTACCCTACAGCGTGCCACTCAGAGAGGGCCTGCCTGAGTGGAACTGGAAAGCAGAAATGGGGTTGACTTTCACTGGCGGTCGAGCTTGCCTGAGCAAGCATTTTCGTGGTAGCGTCCTCAACTTCACTCGGACTGGGTTTTTCACGCGTTCGGTAGCCAACTTGCACTGGGCAGGTATGGTGTTCTAATAACGGTTTGGTGGGTTTTAAGGTGAGTCAAAATTGGGCGGAGGAAGAGCACCTGCACCAACCGCAGTGTGACTGGGGGGGCTACCGAACAGGGCCTTTGGGAATAAAACAGAGGAAGTGGGAGTGGAAAGGAAGTGGCAGGGAATGGGGAAAAATGGGGGGCGAAATTTAGCTGGATGAGTGAAAGTCTCGCGTCGCACATTTTGGGCGCGATTCGCATGTGCATGGGTTGTTTGCGGGTGAGCGCAAACCTCGGAAGGTGACGCGTGGCGGACTGTCACTGGCAGCATGTTTCGACAAACCAGCAAAGCCAGGCATTTCCATTTCGTTTAGAGCAACAAAATATGGGCAATCTCAGAAAAGTCCAAATCGAATTAGTCTATGAGCGTACGAAATGGGAGAGCTATTTCTTGAAGTTACGGCCAGCCAGCCTGTCACCAGCTTTTCTTCGCGTCCATAATAGTCGACGCCAGATCAGCACGTGCTCACAAGAGCAAGCACTACGTGGCAGCTCGTCCCTCCGGCGGCCCGCTTTTGCAGCTGAGTCAGTTTCGCGTCGCTCCGCGCGTCGATATCCCTCGCTCAGCATTGAGATGTCTCGTCTGCGCAATCGCCTCCGCGAATCTTCCCCCGTTTTCCCCGCGTGGCGCCGTTAACCTGTGCGCACAGTACTCCGCGAATCTTCCTTCACGTTCTGCCACTGTTGCTTCTTTTCGCTAGCTCCGTTCGCTTCCTCCCTCTAGCTCCGTTCGCTGCTGACGAATGTCACAGGGTTACGCTGTCATTAGGCGGACGGGTGGCGGCTTATTCGTCGAGTTATAAACGTTACCAGGTTTAGCGGTTGCGCATTTCGTGCTCACACGTTATTTTTTCTGAAATCCTTGAAGATAAGGCTCTAAATCCTCCGTTAATGACACCTACTTTTTTTTAAACCAGTTTCGTTACTGGTTTGCGTCATGTCGTGGAGCATCATTAGAGACTTGCCGTTTAGCCTCCTTTCCATCGGCAAAGGGAGCGGAGATGCTAATAGCGAGACTGTGGAAGCCGCCGTTGCCAGTGACTCAAGCGCTGTGACTCTAGCGAATGAAGTTGTTGCAAAAGATACTGTTCATGAAGTTTCGCGAGAAGGTTCTGCTGTCGTAACGGCAGCAGCAGAGTCGAGTTGTCGTTTGGCACCAGAAATTGACTTGACGGATGGTCGTGATAAGTTGACTGACGGTGGTGAAATCCCGACGGAGTTGACAGCCAATGGCAGCAGGACGCGTGGAGAGAAGGAGGAGGAAAGGAGAGCAGGAGGGTGGGAAAGGCTTGATGAGATCGAGGGTGATGCAGAGGGGAGTGGAGACGGGGCGGGCGGAAGGGGGGGAGAGGCGGAGGGCGGAAGGGAAGGACTGGGTGAAGGCGGAAGGGCAAGGGTGGAGGAGGGCGCTAAGGGGGAAGGATTGGGGGAGGGTGGGAAGATGGAAGAAGGGGGGGATTCACCTATGATTACATTACTTCAAGCCGGGTCTGGGGAGGAAGAGTTAGAATTGCGGGCAAGTGAACGGGCAGCAGGAACTGCAGAAGTGGTGGAAGCAAGTATTGATGATGAGACGAGTGCAGCAGCAGCAGCAGCAGCGGTGGCAGTGGCGGCGGCGGCAGCTGCAGGAGCATTGGGAAGCCTTGGTCGCACGAGCAGTGTTGAAGGCAAGCAGTCAAGCGCTGGGAACGGGGAGAATGGGGCAGCAGCATTGGGCAGCGCTGCTTGCTTGATCAGTGCTGCTGTTGAGGAGAAGGAGACAAGTGCTGCAGAGGACATGAGTGCAGCAGCAGCAGCAGCAGCAGCAGCAGCAGCAGCAGCATTGGGAAGTGCTGGTGGCACGAGCAGTGTTGTTGCAGACAAGCAGCAAACAAGTGCTGTGATGGGGGCGAGCCTGTCAGGGCGACAAGTACCTGATATGGTATGTTAACCTTGAATTCAACTGCTGATGGGGGCCTCTTCTTGTCTATGTTGGTTTCTTCTTCAGTGTGGTGTTTGTGTGTCTGCTTTCTAACCTTTTCCAGGCGACCCTCCCCCTTCCCACACCAGCAACCTCATTCCCTTACCCTTTTACCTTCTCCGTTTCCTCCCCATCCCTCTCTCTCCGATCCCCCATCCACACCCCTCCTCCCTCCTGCTTAATCAGAAGCTTTCCCACAGCCTCAGCTCTCCCAGATTCGGCAGAAACGATACAATCCATGTTGCTGGCGTCAGCAACAGCTCAGAACACCCTCCACGTCATCGGCACACGTGTCCTGAGTCACACATCTATCGTAGTTCCTTCCAGTCCACGTCAGCAAGCAACCCATCATCCCCCAGACCTGACAACCAGGATCGGGAGAGAGAAGGAGGATCAGTCGCACCAGTGGAGATAGAATCACATCAGATAGAATCACATCTAGTAGAATCACACTCGATAGAGTCACATTTTTACTCGGAAGGGGATTTGGTTCAAATGGCAAAGGAAGGGTGGGAGCGGCAAAAAGAGGAGAAACGGAGGAAGGAGGAGCAGCAGCAACGGCAGCAGAGTTTGGGCCCTGTACCTCTCCTCTCAATGTCCTGGCAAAGGTACTGTGTGGTACTGTGAGGTGCTGTCAGTTATTCCGGGGTTCTGCAAAGTTCCGTGAAGTACTGTGAGGTGCCAAATGGTAGTGTGAGATACTTCAAGGTACTGCCCTTCCTGCTTGAATGGTTGCAGCATCCCTCTTCCCCCTTTACCTCTCTCTTCTTTGCTGCCATGCTTGTGGTTCAAAAGAACGCCTTTTTTCCCTGCTTCAACTGATGCTTTCCCTCCTCCCATTGCATCTCTCTTCTTTCCCGTCAGGCTTGTGGGCGGTGTGGAGGCTCTTTTGAAAGGCTCCTCTGACGACATAGGGTGGCTGAAAAAGTACCCTGCGCTCCCCCCTGTGACGGATGTCACTGACAATTACGAGGCGATTCTGGAGTGTGTCATGTGAGTTGTTTGAGTGGCATTGTCAAGAAGTTCGAATATCACCTGCCACTATGAGGCCATGCCGCATTGTGTTATGCGAGTGGCGTGATGGGATTTCAGCCATGCTGCATTGCATGGCCTGATGGCATTCCAGCCATTAATGCTGGCTTATGTTTGGGATATTGCATTCCACTGTAACCCTGCAATCTCTTGTTTCCGTGTTTTTTTTCCGATTATCATCTGTTCCTTTTCTTCGTTTTCTTTTCTTTCTTTCGGCAGGAGTGGCATCCATGCGCTGCCCGACAACCTGGTCTACCTTTTAATTCCGGGGTTATTCAGCAATCTTAGCCCGCTCTATCTGTTTGACACCAAGAAGCATTTTTCCTCCATCGGCCTCGTCTGCCACATTGCCAAGATCCACAGCCAGGTGGGCATTGGTTGAGTGGCTGGCAGGTGGGCATGAGGTGTGTCTCTGGTTGTTGTCAGCCAGGTTTGATCAGTCTCAGGAGTCACTCTTCCTCCATCAGTCTCGTCTGCCCATCGCCAAGATCCACAGCCAGGTGCGTGTGTCAAGTGGCTGTGGGGTGAGCGTGGGGTGAGCGTGTCAGGTTGCTGTCAGGCGGGTGTTGAGACATCTTAAAAGTGGCTTCCCCTCCATCGGCCTCGTCTGCCACATAGCCAAGATCCACAGCCAGGTGAGCGTCAGGTGGGCGTCAGGTGGGCGTCAGGTGGGCGTCAGGTAGGCGTCAGGTGAGCGTCAGGTGGGTGTCAGGTGGGTGCCAGGTGAGGGGTTTTCGGTGGGTGTATGTTGCACTGGGTTTTTTTATTCTTTCAATCCATGACTCCTCTTTCCCTCTTCTCCCCCATCCTCCCTTCCCTTTCCTTCCCACAAACACCCCTTTCCCTCTCCCACTCCCCCTGGCTCCCCATAAAAGCCAACTCCACAGTCATCCGTGACTATATTGAAGATATATTTCTGTAAAATCTTATCCTCCTTTTTCCACCCCTCCTTCCCCCCCCCCCTTCCTCTCCCCACCCCTCCCCCTCTCCGCCTTGCAGGCTCCAATAGAAGCCAACGCTATAGTCATCCGTGACTATATCGAAGAGCTTTATTGGGCGACAAAAAAAGTGGTCCTAATCCTGGGCCGCAGCAAGGGCGCCATGGATGCAGCAGCAGCCCTCTCCCTCTACCAACCCCTCCTGCTTGACAAAGTCGCGGGTCTAGTTTTCATTCAGAGCCCCCACTCCCCGCCCGCCTTTCCTCGCCACCTTGTATCCCTCAGGCTCCTATAGAAGCCAACGCTATAGTCATCCGTGACTATATCGAAGAGCTTTATTGGGCGACGAAGAAGAAGATCTTGATCTTAGGCCACAGCAAGGGCGCCATGGATGCAGCAGCAGCCCTCTCCCTCTACCAGCCCCTCCTGCTTGACAAAGTCGCCGGTCTCGTCTTCATTCAGAGTCCCTACGGGGGAAGCCCTGTGGCATCGGATTTGCTCCGGGAAGGGCAGTGGGGTGACGTGGCATCCCGCACGATTCTTGGGATTCTCATGGATAAGATTTTCGGGGGGGATATCCGGTGCTTGGACGATTTGACCCATGCGAAAAGGAGGGATTTTCTCGCGAAGCACCCGTTTCCGGTGGGGGAAATTCCGATACTGTCCTTTCATACGGAGGCGAGTAAGGCGGCAGCAGTGGTGGCATCGCTGTCGACTGTGGCGCATACTGAAGTGCCGTGGCTGGCGCAGCAGAATGCAAAGCTGGCCGTTGGATTCCCGCTGTCGGCCGGGCTTGCGATCATGGCCGTCCATCTGGAATACAGGTAGGTTTGGATTGTGAGGAGGTGTGGGTTATTTCAACACGTTCCTTGGCTCCCTCTCCTGCACTCCCCATTCCTCTCCACGCCTCTTCGCCCATTTCTACTCATCTCCATACCTTCTGACCCACTAGGTACGGAGCAGCAAGCGACGGGCTGGTGACAAGGGCCGATGCAGAGGTGCCGGGGTCAGTGGTGGTGCAGAGCAGACGGAAATTAGACCATGCCTTCATGGTGTTCCCCCCCACCAGCGGAGTTGGGGGAGGGGGAAGGGGAGGTGGAGGGGGGAGTGGCGGAGGGGGGAATGGGGGCGGGGGGAGAGGGGGAGGAGTGAGTGGGGGAGGGGGAAGTGGGGAGTCGGAAGCTGGGTCAGCGTGTGTGCATGAGGCGAGTGCTGCTGAGATGTGTGAGGCCCTGGCGACCACACTGCTGGCAACACTGCAGATGCGGCCAAAAGAGGCCACCCCATGACGCAACAATACAGATGCTGCCAAAATGGGTCACTCCATGACACAGTGCTGCTGCATATGTAGCCGAGACAGGTCATCCCATGAGGCCCTGCTGCATATACGGTACTGGGAGCAAGGCAAGGTGGCTCATCATTTACTCGACAATAGACCCAAGAGCTGGAGGTATATGCGTTACAAGAGTGACTGTACAGGTTGTCATGTAGAGGCCTGCGAGGAATGTTTAAGCAGCTGCCTTATGCTGTTATGATTTGCTTCTTTTGAACTGGAATCACCTATCTGTTGCTGAAGGGTTTGAGAAGACGCCAGAGAAAACAAGTCTACCGGTTCACCTAAAAGGTCACTCCAGTCATGAAAATCATTACAAACCAAATCTGCTCCTATAAACCACTATAAACATACGTATGTTGAATTGCTGGCATAGCCATAAACATACTGTCGGGTTTATCAAGGCGTGAATTGCGCCTCTTTGAATGCAGTCAAGTCCAGGCGAGGCAAAGCTTCCCCCTTACCACCCTCCCCTCTGCCAGACAGGCGGATACGAAAGCGACAGCGACAGTGACAGAAAAGGTGGTATCCTCTCGTTTTGCCTGCCCCGACCCCCCCTCCTCCTCCGTCTCCTCCTGCCATTACCTCTGTTCCCCCATCCTCCACCTCCTCCTCCTGAAGGATAACGAGGAGCATCGTACGTAAACCTTGGAACCTCAGACGGGTGGTGAAACGGACGGTGAGGATACGAACCTTTGCCAGCGAATGCGGCATCTGCGGCAGCTTTTGCGTCGGCCAATCCGGAAGCGTGTACGGCTGGAGGGGTACCAGCTGCCCTGTGATTGGCCGTGCCTACACCAGCAGGTTCGGCCCATACCTTGGGGTTGTGACTTTCGGTATAAGGTTCCTCTTTAACAGTGTTCACAGCCCATGCGTAGTGCGTGCGCACCCCGTGCGTACGCTCCCCGTAGTGCGCGCGCTCCCCATGGTGCGTGCGCTCCCCATGGTGCGTGCGCTCCCCATGGTGCGTGCGCTCCCCATGGTGCGTGCGCTCCCCGTAGTGCGTGCGCTCCCCGTCCCGCGTGCGCTCGCCGTGTCGCGACATACTATTGCTGCTGGGCACCTTCTCCGCCGGGCCAGGCGGCGGAAAATGCGGCGCCCCTTCCGCGACAGATTGTTCAACCTCTACGACGATTTGCCTCTGAGAAGAGATTCGAGCGCGACGCGCCGCTGCCTGCCGAGTCGCAGCCTCGGCACGACGGGCCTGACGGTTTTTCTGCGCCAAGATGCTGCGGAAGCGCTCGTCCATCGATTTCGGCTCGAGATAATCATCCAAACGCTCCATTGGCTGATGTGTCAAGAAGATGTTACGAGATGGGGCTTCTAATGCAGATGGGAAACTGTATGTGTTTCTCACAAGTAGGGCGAATGTGAAATCGAAGGAATGGCGAGAACAACTAATGGAATTGGTCTCTCTGAATTCTGGGACTTATAAGTCGCAAAATTAGCATTCTAGAGCTGGGTGAATGTGCAAATCTACTCTGCACGTCGGAGGAATTTCAAATGCATAGCGAATCTCGAATACAGCGCAATTTCCTCATGTTCGATTAAAAAATCTCAACCGTCCACACCAAAAGCACCTCCTCACAGCGCCAGATGCGCCCGAACCATTCAATTCTCAGTTCCCGTTGTAGCCCGCGGAATTCGTTCGTTGGCGACGATCGCGAAACAAGAAACATTCTCCCACAAGATTCGCCCGCATACCCTTTACAGTTCGATACGTCATAATCCGAACAACCTAGCGTGCCTATGAACTCTACTTTACAAGTTGATTGTCACCAAAGTAGGCCAGACAGATGCTTGGGAAAAAATATTGAACTCGGAATGGAATTGCTGTAGAAGTACATATATTCAAAAATACACATCAAGGCCCACCCTCTCACTTGCCCACCCTCCCTCCCAAACACCCTTCCTCCTTTCCCAGACATAGCAAATTTCAGAGCAACCCTCCTTCCTCTTCCACCCTCCAAACACCACATCATCATCTCCCTCCCTTTCCCTGATACTTCTCAGCCATGTAAGACTCAATCTCATCATCCAATGCTGCTTTCGATGCCACACTCACATTCCCTCTCTCACTCCCTTTTCCCTGACCCGAGCCATGTCCCATTCCTTCTCTCCCCCTCCCCCCTCCCTGCACCTCTGCCCCAACCCCAACCCTTCCTGCACCAAACCTATACCTAGGGTCTGGAGACACCAAACCTCCGACCAAACCTCCAACAGACACAGGTACGGTCCGAAAGAGCACCGGATTGGGAAGGAGAGGCCCGGTGGGAGCAGCAACATAGGGGGTGGAAAAAGGCGGATGAAAGGCCGTCATTACTCCACCCAGATTGGCAGCAGGCACAAGAGGGGTTGCATGGGGAAGAGACAAGATACCAGCTGTGGGAACCAAGCGAAGTGGTGCTTCTGCTGCGGCTACTGCCGTTGCTGGTGCTGCTCCTGTTGCTGCTGCTGCTGCAGCTGGGGAAGGGTTGGAATCTGAGCCTTCAAATGACAGCCTCATGTGTACAGGAACACGTAGCCGCGATTTCACTGGTACTCTCTTAGCGGGGACGCTCTTATCGAGTGCAGCGCCAGCCGCAGCCTTCCCTGCACCTGGCCTCTCGATCCGACCAGCAGGAGCAGCGGCATTGGGAGAATTACGAGAACGATCAGCGGAACGAGAATGTTGATGAGGATGAAGAGGAGGAGGAGGAGGAGAAGGTTGAGTGGACTTGTGGCGGCCAGAATCCCTTCCCCGATCGATAATGCGATCAGAACGGTGAGAACGATCAGTGACCGTTTGAGAGTTCTGATTAATGCGACTACCGGCCAAAGCAGCAGCGGCGGCGGCTTTTGCGGCGGATGCGGATGGGGTTTTGGCCGGAGGAGCGCTGTCATTGGCTGAGCGTCTGCCAGCGGGATCAGAGGTGTGACGCGGCAGGTTGCTAGAACCGCCAGCTGCCAGCGTGGCGTGTTTGCTTGTAATCACACCCCTAGAGCCACTTGTCTTGTAATCATCTATAGTCGCATCTTCCATCTCCTCCTCGTCCTCCAGAATCTCACTTGCACGACCTCTGTAACCTACAAACGAGTCGTCCAATAACGGATCTGTTGGTTGATGAAACCCAGCAGCAGCCGCCACCGGAACATGCGCCGTGAAACGCGGCGCGAAATCTGGCGCCATGTTCGCCACAGCGTGAACGTCTTCTACCGTAATTTGCCGCTGAGACGCGATCCGAGCCTGCCGCGCCGCTGTCTGCCGAACCGCGGCCTCAGTAGCCCGAAACTGGCGGTTTCTCTTTGCCAAGATGCTTTGAAAACGTTCGTCCATGGATTTCGGCGCGAAATCCGCATCGGACGGTCCTGCGGGCTCCATCGGTGGAGCCGTCACGCTGACGTGGCGAGACGAATTTCCCGCCTGAAACCCGAAGGCCGAGGAGCTTATAACAGGAGGTGTTGCAACGTGATCTACAAACGAGGGACTTACGTACGAAACATCTGGAAGGGTCGCCGGATCGCCCCATGCCCCCATTCCAGCAGTGGGATAAGCTGACCTGGCAGACGATTGTTCCCAAGTCGGCATGGCGGCAGTGGGATGAGCGGCCCTGCCAGAGGCATACATGTTTAGGCAAGATTGATATTCAACAGCGAATTACTCGAGAGAAATGCGGGAAATTCTGGGTTCGTGTAGGTGAAGCACTTGGGAGATAAGGGTAAACCAGGGGTCAGGTCTGGGGTTGTGAAGCATCCGAAGCTCACATAAGCATTCTAAGCGTTCTCTTTATTCAAGTCTGGGTCGCTTCTCTGCGACTTCTAGATCCAACTCAGTATATTTTTTTTTTGCTAACTATCAAGTATTCCTGATTCTCGTTCTATCTCGGCAGGTCAATAAGGCGCGTCACAAGACAAATCAATAATTTATTAGGCGTAAAATACCCAAAAAGGTTAGATAAAGAGCTGGAGGTCAAGAGAAAAACAGCTGTACCATTTCCCCTTGCCAAATTAATATCACACTACTGTGCCTCAAATTGCACGAGTACAGTGCAATTGGAGAAATTGAGATTTCAGGAGGACACTAAATCAGTGACCCTCATCCTGAAGCCTCATGCGTGAGGACTAGATGGTGAGGAGATGGTTCAGATTACAAGATGACATGCAGCAATTATGCTGCTGCTACTGCTGCAGTCACTGTAGCTGCTGCGGCTGCTGATGTGGCTGCTGCGGCTGCTGATGTGGCTGCTGCGGCTGCTGATGTGACTGCTGTTGCTGCTGCTGTTGCCAACATTGACATTGATACAAGGAACTACTTTGAACGGCTAGCACCCGCAGTGGTTCAAGGTTGCTGATTAGGAAACCTTTAAAACCTGAGGAGGAGCTTGATGTTGTATCTTCTGCTGCTGCAACAGCTGATATGCCTGTTGCCCTACAGGTACAAGAAAGAATCTGATTGCTCTCTCTTCTGCTGCTGCTGCTGCTGCTGCTCATGCCTTGACTCTTGATTTGTGGCATGATATGATATGCACGTCCTCTTCCCCCGGAGTGAACGTCACATTGCATGAATACGTGTACTGCACAGTACGATGTGGTAGAGAAAAGAACAACAGAAAATAACCCTTTATATAGAAAGTTATGACTAAGACACCAGCAACTAAAATCACAATACTGTAACACAGGAAGAGGGTTGGTAGCCAATAAGGAACTGTAGATAAGAAAGCAATTGACGCAGGAAGCAGGGAGGGACACGTAAAGAGCGACAGTCAGACTAAGTTGCCGAAAAGGATAGGGAGGCTTACGTAGTATGAAGGAGTGTTGAAGTTATGATAGACAACATGCCCTAGAGATTTCACCACCATCTGTACCAACCAAATAAGCGTGGCACATTAAATAGGGAACAGGTTGGAAGCGGTTGTGAGTGACAATAGGGAGCAGCCAAATCCGTCACCACAATGATGGTAACCCTGTGTTCTTCAC